GCACGCCTATCGACCTATCCATAACATGAACAAGCAGCACTCAGTGAGAGCTGCTCATTCAGGAGTGTCGCTCAGGCGGAGCTTGCTGCATACCGCACGAGCGAAACGCTAGGATCCAATGCAGAATATACAAGAAAACCATTAATTTATTCCATTTATTATCAATAACTTATTCCTACTCAAGAGTACTAGACGCTAGTGGTGGGGTGTGACTGCAGAGCATTCCACCTGCAGCGATACCCCACCAACAGTGCCAGTCCATACAGCAGCAGTAGCACCCCACCAGCGTCGTGTTGTTGGTGCCAACACCAGCACGCAAGCCACAGCAAGCCACACCCTCCTGCTGCTGCACGCTTCCCTATGCTCGTCGCCTCCCAGCAGGTCACTGCGCCCTTGCGCTCGTTTCCCTCCGCTCGATGCCCTTACCGCCCTCGCCTTGGCGGCTACCCTCCCCATCGCCCCACCTCCGGTCCGCCGCCTCTTGCTGTTCGCTCCGGTTCTCCTCCTCCTCCTTCCCGCCGTCTATCCTCCACGGCGCGGCCGTCTTGTCCTGCGCCGCCATCCTGGTGCCCACCGCCCTGCTTCAGGTAACCGTCATCGTCGTGCTGCGCGCCATCTTCCTAGCCTCCACCGCGGACCACTCGCCCGCCGTCGTGCAGCCTACCGCCGTCCTCCCAGACACCACCCACATCTTGGCAGGCGGAACTATGCAGGCCCCCCCCCCCTTTTTCGCCGATGTCCTTCGGCTCGCCGCCCTCCTTGATGACGCCGCGCTCCTCCATCCCCGCTCCTCCCACCCGCCGTCCTTGCCTGCATCTTGGAATTGACATTTGAATCAGATGATTTGACCAATAGATTAACCGCTCAACTAAATGCTTATTTCTACCAATCACGACGCTGTCGGCCACTGTCGGCACCGTCATGGTATGGGCTGTTTGTCATCATAAATCAAGTAAAGTTAGCAAGGTCTCGAATGCATAACAACAATCATCTCCATAGGCACTGCAGCCGAATTGTGTGGCCCATATATATGGTATGCACGTGCTGATAACTGTCGGCAGCAGTCGCAGCTATTAATTTTTATCTCACGGTACACAATAACATTTAACCCTCACGCACGCGACCCCGTCAACCGATGCATGTTATGACTACATGTATATTGGCTGATACATAACTTCCACTCGTAGGGCATGATACGCTAGTGCATGTTGATCTACGCCTGCTAAAGAGCAGGTAGACGTAGTACACGCTTCCCGGCGGTGGGGGTTCTGCATCGAAAGGTAGTTTCCACTACCTGGAACATGTACTTAAGTATTTACTTCGAAATAGATGTAACATTACACGTTCTGTACGATGCACTCAATAATAACACGAAATCGTGTACATGTAGGCCGGATAGAGTAGCGGGCCCCCTTTGTGTTGGCGTCCGCTAGCACCAGCAGCCCGAACACCTCGAGTAGAAGCTAAAATACAAGGTTGACAGTCAAGGAGTCAAATTGACGCGTTGTCGGCTGTTGTCTGATAGGGAGGGTACTGTACCAGCAGGTGAGTCAATAAGAGCGCTCTGGTTGGTGCTGCGGCGTGCAACCCCTACTCACTCTCGTGCAGCGACTTCGCCGCATGCGGCCAACTCGCCGCATGAGCGCCTATTTTTGCATGCGGCCGCATGCGACCACCTACCCCACTAACCAATCACAAGTCCTTATTTCGGCTCATGCGGCCGCATGCGGCTAGGAATTCCGGTTGAGAACGGGCCGAAGACTGACTTGTGAGGGACGACCTCAGAAGTTACTGAACAAGAGATGTAACCAGCAGCATCGCAGCTTGCATCGTAAGTGTGCCCATGCCCTGGAAAATGGTGGCAAGCGGAAGGCCGAACACCGAAGGAAATCTTCAACAAGCTCAACCTAGATACCAAGAAGTGGCCGTATGACCCCAACGTGGAGGTCTACAGAGCATACAAGCTGTATCTGCTGTAGGCATCCATGTTATGACTTTAAACGTGGTAGAAATGTGTTTTATAAAGCAGATAGAAACGAATGCTTGAGAAGCTGGAACATGAACGGTGTAGAGGTGGCTGGATCATGCATTAATTTTCAGGTGGTGCGATGCCCGCTGAAGGCGAAGTCGAACAGCGATACAAAACAACACAAACTATGAACGAAAAAAAATATAAAGTATGTGCTGAACTACAGTACTGTATTGCAGCAGTGCCCTAACGATGTTGTTTACGTTTGCAAACGGCTTCTTACCATTTCCAGTCGTAGTACTCTTGAACCCCGTCCCAAACCTCAATACAGTACGTTGCTCCTACACTTCGTAGTTCGTTGTGCAAGAAGAAGAAGAGTGGCACAACAGCGAAAACCTCATGCCTCGATACTGAATCGCGTTGATGGCTGCTGTGCAAGACCGGGAAGGCCCCCCGACTTAAGTGATATTTCAGGTGAATGTTACCTGTGGCGGCGGGACACCCCAAATAGTTGCATTCAAGCAACCTCTGTCGAAAATTTGCGTATAACGATCAGAATATATCGATAGAAAAATACGTTAGCTGAGTGAGTGTTGTACTTAGTATAGTCTTAGCGCTAAACATCAATCGTGTTGCGTCTTTTGATGGACAGGGTATGACTTCACGTTTTGGTATCATGCCTTCATTGTTCTCTCGTTTTCGAGAAAATCACTCGAGTAATGTACGGTACGATCAAATTAAAAAAAGAAAACATTGCGCCACTCACCTTGAATAAAATCCCGGATCTGGAGTTTGCAAAAGGTTACTCATCAAGCGATCAATGGTTTTACCCTTACAGTACCGCTGTAATTGCAAGTCCCTCCTTCCCCGCCATGTGACCGAGCTGAATTTTCGAGACGCTGCACCAAACCGGATTGCTATCGTCACTTTTGCTATCGTCAGGCCAGCACACGTGTGAGTGTCGTGCAAAGTTGCTGTCGTTGGCGCACGTAACAAAAGACAGTGTCGACCGCAATGTTAGTTTGGGTACGTGATTTCATTTATCGGCGCCTCTGAAATGCATTGTTTGTGTAGATGGACTAGTATCATCGTGTTCAAGACGAGGGTCGGTTAGGCTAGAGGTCATACTCTGTCTGTAAATGCCTCTACACGATTGATGTTTAATATGAAGCCACCTTGGTAATGTTTTTCTCGCAATAAATTCTGATTCGTGTTTCGCGCAGGTTTTACGAGAATTAATTTCACTAGAAAGTCACAATAGCGTGCACAGTTATCGTGCTGCAGGCGTTGCAAAGCAGAATAATATCGAGCTTCGAGTTACAGCTCGCAACCCAACGGTAACTTACGATAATACACGTAACACGCCAGGTGAAATCTGGAGCCTCAGTCCAGCAATCCGATCCACCGCCAAAGCTATACTATACTGTAGAGCACCTTTTCTTGTCAGCGCTATAGTCCGTTGCCCGATGGTTGGAGCCGAAGGCGAAGGCAACACCGCGCAACCATCAGCGTAGACGCCGCGTTTACTAGCCGTAGCCCGATGCGATTAGTTCTACCCCCAGCCAAAACACGTAGCATAGCAGTACCGTATCGCTGCACCCGATTACTCTATAGCCCCAGAAACAAAAGCCTGCCATCACCTAGCGTAACTTTTTAGGCACCTGAAACTTGAAATTTCAGAGCTTCTTCGGGCTGGAGGCACGACTTTGTCCTTTATGCTTTGTCCTAGAATCAAAAGCAAGCTCTTCCCGGTCAGTGGCCAGAATTTATCAATTGCCAGTTATCCTGGGAGACCAGCTTGCTGGTTTACCAGCCTCACAAACTTTAATTCGTCACGCAATGTGTTCCCAGTTATAGGAAACGTTCAGGAAACATCAAAATCGCAATTTTAGCGTGTCTGTACAACTTCTGAATAAGTAAAACTTCCCTAGAAGTTTTGTTTTAAGTAAACAAGACTGCATTCAAAGCTCGTTTCACTTTGTATGGAACATGTTTTCGTACTAAATAGCTATTTATCCAGTTGCACACTTCGGCCAGTTGATGGCCGTCAACTAACCGTCCTTCTTCACTCGAATTTCGTGATCTAAATTTGTGCCGCAAACCGCTATCCACGGGCATCTTCTGCGCCTGCTTCGCAGCCGCAGCATCTGCCTGCCTTTAACTGTTAGAATCGTCCATGACAGGCTTCCCGAAAGCTGGAGCTGCAAAGCTTACTTCTAACAATCAGTTCCATCGGCAGCTCGCCAACTATTGTACCGATCAGTGAAGAATTTACTATACGAATTCTGTACAAACAAACGTCAATTAGACGTACACGCGTCTATATTATTACTTAGCGAGTTTAGGATGTGTCACAACAACTTGCACTTCCAGAATAAAAATACGAAGTAGAAAAAAGGTCTCCCAGCCAAAGCGCAGCAACCTTGTTAATAATACCTAGCTCCATCATACCTGACTGGGAACTCACTGTAGTCCTCGTAGCTAACAGCTTGGCTCTGAGCAGACTCCTGTGTATCCCGTTTAGTTCTATTATTCCTCAACACACTTTATGCAGGACGTGATCTTGCGCTGGATGGGCTGTTGGTCCAGCGCGATGAAGCTGATCCGCTTGTGGAGCTTGCACATAGCAGATCTTGCTCTGTACACCCTCAACACGCTCATGCTTCTGACAATACACTAACGAACTGTATAGGCTGTTCTCATAAGCCTAACATTAGACAAGTCGAAACTCTCGACTCGTCCGCAAAAATTCTCATCGATTTAATCTTCTACTACAGTACTTATCCGCCTCTACCATTCACGAACGTTGCTGTGACTGATGGTGTTGAAGACATTGATGTCTGGCACGAGCGCTTGGCTCACACGTGTCCAGAGTACATCCACCTAATGGTCGACCGTGGAATGGCCAAGGGCATCATGCTGAAGAAGCGTGGAAAGGTTGACTGTGCTGATTGCCACTTCGGGCAAGTTTTAGCTTATGAGTCGAGTTATTATTCGCTTCATAAAACAAGTTCTATCATAACATGGATGCCTACAGCAGATACAGCTTGTATGCTTTGTAGACCTCCACGTTGGGGTCATACGGCCACTTCTTGGTATCCAGGTTGAGCTTGTTGAAGATTTCCTTCGGTGTTCGGCCTTCCGCTTGCCACACCTTGAACTGCGCCGTCTGCAGCCGCTTGGAGACGGACTCGGTCGTCTTGTCCTTGGTCGCAACCTGGATCGCCTTGGCTAGCTCCATCTCGTCGTACGACGTCACCAACTTCTTGATTATGAGCACGTAAGCCTCTGGGTAGCCCCCGTTCTTCAAATAGGAGAAGTAGGTCCAAACGCGCAGCATCGGGTTCGCCAGCACCTTCTCGATGCTTCCATCGCCAACTTTCAGCATACTGTATACGATGTCCATGTTTAGTCCGTTCCCCACCCAACCCTTCAACTGGTCGCCCTGCAGCCTTTTGGCAAGCCTCGTCGTATACGGGTTCGGTTTCGCCAGCTCGAGCATCTTCGCCAACGGTACACCGCCGTAGAACTTGGTCAGCGTCCCGATCAGCGTCACCTCGTTCTCGTTCTTCTTGTTGTAGGACCTCATGAATCTCACCCACGTCGTGAGCTTTCGGTTGTTGAGGACCTTGTTGATGTTTTGGTCCAGCTCCAGCAGCCTGAACACGTCGTCCGGCGTTAACTTCTCCTTCGTCCACGGTTTCATCTGCTTGGAGTCGGCGTACCAGGCCTTGAATCGGTCACGGTTCTCTTTGATCCACTCCTTGAACTTCGACAGACTCCACCCTTTCATCTTGGACAGCCATTTTTTGACCTTCGACAGCTTCGACTGGTTAGGGATCGCCGCCCCGGCGATCGCTCGCTCTTCTTCATTGTCTTTTCCAGTCTTTGTCTCAACCCTCAGTAACCTCTTCTCGGGGTGGTCGTTACTGAGCGATACAGGACTGAATTTCAGCGTCGAAGTCGCCGAGGCAGCATCGACGACCGTGAAGAGGGCGACAACCAGCAGCACGAGGAAAAATCGCTGCATCGTCGTCCGAGCTCCAAAAAGGGAGCGAACTCCCAAATTGGGAAGTGAGAAAGAGGCTGATTGGCGATTGAGAAATTGGAGCCACCCAGACGTTGGCACAAACGAGAAAGAAGGGGCAAAACCGATCCTGAAGCTTTCCCATTCCAGCTCTTCAACATGCTATCCGACGAGAGCTGCCCCGCTCTGCCAGTCGCTAACTGTTTTGGAAAATCATCTAAAGGGCGCTTTCTGGATCCTTTCACCGCGAAAGGGTTAAGAGAATGGCTTCAGGCTCGGTTCTATAGTAAATAGTGGTCCATTGATGATTATGTCGTTGTTACATGTATTTCTCGGTGCTTTTATCTTATCTAGCGCAGTAGCAACTGGGCTAGAACTACTAGAATCACTTTCCGTCGCCGCTACAACAACCACTGCCACCACCCTCCTCCCGTTACTTTCGTCACTATGACTTCAAGCTTCGCGCCAATATAATTCGTGCTAGCTCGACCTCCCTCTGCTCTGTGCATTTGGCACGCCAATGAAGCTCTCATACATGACAGCGCATTCCGCGGCAGCCGTACCTGCCAAATTATGAGATGGAGCTGGGTCGACCAGGCAATCGTAACAGACCAATATACCAAAGTAAGTATTTTAAATAATAAACTAACTACATGTAACCTGGCAATCGACTTATTATCAAATCTTCGTTACCTTACATTGGCTTGTGGATACCACAGAGCGAGCAAGGAGCAGCTACACTGTACCTGCGCTCTGTTGCGCATCATGGAATTTATCAGATATTATGGATAACAACAGCTCTCTAGCTTGGTGGACCTGGCATCACCACCACACAGACTGAAATTCTTGATCGACGCAGTGTCGGGACTACCCGTGAATTAGTCCCGGTGTGACAACGATTCACACTCGGCCCCATGAATATATATCTTGCCAGGAACACAAACACTGTTGATAGCGACTTGTAGAACGCATTCTCTAAATCATATGCTTCACTTGCCATACTAATATATAGATCTTTGTATGGTGCCTAATTCAAGATTTCCAAAGTGCCGATTTCAAGTCCAAATGGGCATTAGGCACAATATCCTAGTTTGTTGATGCCTGACTATGACGGGCAGATTTAGCGTTGCTCTAACGACTTCGTCGAATTAAAGAATTTGTGGCCATGTTTTGCAGCGGATGTTGTTATTATATAATTTTACTCATTTCACATAGGAGAAGAAGCTGGAAACGGGCGGGGTGAAACACAAGCATTTATTTACGTTCCTAGTTTTTGATCTGGCTGGGCCTTTTGAGGCTATTGCTCCTTCACTTAGTCAAAATGTGAAGAGGACTTATCAGTTTGATTTTCTTTGCTGAGTGTGACTTGAATCTAGTAGATCAGTACTGTGTATATTGTGTGTCCGCCAATCGTGCATCGCTGTAGTGTAAAACAATTTGGGCTTAGTGCGCTGCTTCGCCGGCGCTTCACCTGGGATTCCCAGAACTGGCAATTTGGGTTTAACCATTAGGTTTTTCCCTGGTTAAAACTCAAAAACCTAGCAGTCGATTTTTGCTGGGTTTTAGGTTCAACTTCATCATAGTAACTACTTACTACAACTTTCCTCGTTGCTTCTGCATGGGATGCTGGTCTATTACATAGATATATTGCATAGATATATTGCAGCGGGGCGTGCTTTTGCTGAGTCTGGCTCATTACGATCGACGTGGGGTTATAGCCATCCCCACACTGGGGATGTGGATTATCCGGAAGTGCAATGAGCGGAGCTAAATGAAACGAGTGGATAATTAGCTTTCCGGATTGCAGGAAGAGAACAGCTACTGAGTCTGGGCGAGCAACCAACAAACTGCTGGATAAGGTCAGCAAGCACGGATGCACTCTTGACCGAGGCAACTCATTCTGGGTTGAGCGTCACGGAGCTCAAACGACAAGCCAGGCAAAGCAAGCTCCACAGGGCTCAGCCTGACACTGCTGTGGTCGGCACGAAGCACGCTCAAGTCGGCACTAGGCCTTTGGCACCATAGAAAAATTCTACCCTCCCACCATCCCTTAGGGGCTGCCATTGGGCACATTGCCCTCTAACCAAAGTGCCTCATGCCTTTGACCCATTAACACAATGAAACACTTGATACCCCAATACCTGGATGCATTGAGGAAATACTGGCCCTGTGTGGGAGAACGCCAGATGCCCCTGACTTATGATTGAATGACGCTGCTACTGTATCAGTCAAGTCAAGCTTTAACCAGCAACGAAGACCGAGGATAAGGAGATGCATCCGCACCTGCGTCCCAATCTGGATGAAGGAGGAATAAGGGGGAAAAATGGTGATTTTCAATTGAAATCTGTCAGTCATGAACATAATCAGCAATAATTGCATTCTGATGAGTTGCGTGTGCCACGATGCGTCAACGAGCACCTTTATCAAGGTTTGCAAAGTCGATGCTAGTGCATTAGCAGCGATGCATACGGGCTCGTCGTACATAATAGAAGTGACGATGACGACTAGTCAAGGCGAACCCGTGCATGCGTATCGGACCTAAAGAAACGGATGCTGCATCAGTGATGCATATCGGAACGAACAACAACATATTAAGGTAATAACGTGCACCTTATATATGCGTTGGGGTGAAGAGGGTGATACATCAGAGTGAGCATGACAGTGGACGATGTCTGGTTTAAATCTAGTAAAATCAGTTAAACCTACCCAAAAACCATAACCTAATTCATTTTTTTTAAATCAACAGGTTTTTCCAGCTCTGCCTGGGAATAAGGGGGTTAGGCGGTGGTAGCACGCCTTCGTTCCGCTCGCCTAGCTCGCTGCAATACTCGCAGCGTGGGGCCGAGTATTACTGTAGGGGCGGAAAGCGTGCCGGAGTGACACACACACCATACAGCTTGAAGTCTCCCAGCTGCCCAGCACGTGAACTGCTCTAGCCTCACCGTAGCATCGTCTAGGACGATGACTTATTTGAAAGCATAGTGGCCATCGTGACAGCGAGTCTCTCAGGGCTCATATCGTTACGGAGCACTTCACTATTCGTGCACATTACTTCTCTTGAAGCTAGCTTTATTAACAGCGATTTTTGTGCTGCTTATCGAATGTTTGATAAATACATGATTCATGACCAACTGCTCTCCCGTCTTGCCCCTCTCGCCAACCGCTAGTCGCACGATTTCTTCTTGAACACCTCTTCACGGCGTCGCCCACTCCTCTTTCTGGGATAGCTTCGTCGTCATCGTCATGAATCTTCAACAGATCGACTGTCGAGGGTCACTTAGTAGAATGCTTGCTGGAGGGGGTTCCTGCGGACTACTGAAGCTGAGACTCATTCACGGCGGACCAAGATAGCCGCTGTTGGACGGCGAATAACGCGCCACACAAGTTTCGCTACTGTAGCGAACTTTTGCTCTCGAGTTGGCGGCTGGGACTTCTTTTTTTCTCCCGAAAATGAACTGACATTGGCGCTCGGAAAGAGGAATTTGGTATCACAGTACCTAGCTTTCCGTGTGCATGTACATGTAGCTACTGCAACCACGTGCACAGCACCTGTAAGAATTCTGTCGGATATATTGCGAGGGTATTGCCGCTTGCAAATACTTTGTCCTCTAAAATAGACCTCGCCTGTCTCTTAATACGAGTGGACACGAGATAGGCGAGGGCTGTTTTAGCTTTGTGCTTTAGTGGAGGCCGATTTTAGGTCCAGAAACTCGGTTTGGTCCGGCATTTCTATTTCTGCGTTTCCAAGCCGCAGAAAAGCGTTTTGGGCAGCCCCAAGCTTGGATCTTAGACCGTACTGATGATATATATAAATCCGAGGGAAAATGACTAAACCGGTATGAAATCGCATATTAAATGCTGAAGCGGTATGACCCCCCCCAATCACGCATACCGGTCCGGTCACTGGGTGGTCGACACCCGAACTAAACATCTAGTTGTGAGCTTGCCTATTGTGGACTACTTGCTTGTTTTCATCATATCCTTACCTGAGAGCAAGTGCATCTTCTCTGATGCTTCAGTTTTTCTTAGTATATGGTCATCCAATCTGCCAACCCGTTAAGATCGATCACATGACAGCGACGCCATATATCCTGAAGTGCCTAAGACATTTAAAACCCTAGCAAACTTCTTAAAGCTGTGTCTAGCGTTTCTCCGCCCGACAGAGCATCAATTTGGTGGCGGCATGCCAGGTTATATTGATTGTTGTGTTGCACTAGATAAGCACGAAAAGTAGTTCGTACTCATACCACAAGTACAGCAACCATGTCAGGAATGTTATGACACTTGTCTGGGAGTCTGCAAGAAGCGAGGGCGTCCGTGGCGTGGTAGTTCGCATATCAATATTCAAAATTAACGCATACCGATTCAGTCACGAAAATACCGATTTGGCATATAAAGGGCGCATCCTGTGCCCTTTTGCACAAGTTCAAGCTAGTAATCAACCTTCTTTTAAAACAAATCAAAATCGGTACGCAGAGTAATCATCATGTAATCATTATCTATACAAATTCTAAGTCATACGCATTTATTCTATGCATCCTGCAAATCACCGTAGATAGCATGTCCCATGAGACACACCGAAAAGGCTCCGTAACTTTGTAAAAGGACGCCTAGAGCGCCCTTTTAGAAGGAAATATCAATGAGTTGTATATTATAATTTATTGAGGATACTCGCGAAAGGGTTAAACAAGGACATTTGGAAAACTCCATTTAGGTACTTTGGATTGTTTATGTACCAAGTGCCTAGTTTGTTGATGCCTGATCATAGTGTTGCCTCAATTTGGGCAGCACAGGACAAAAATGGGATGGGGCGTATTGTACGCGCCCCCTTCAAGCTAAACGTTGGTTTGATTCATGTGAGTGGTTGCTGCTCATTCGCAAATTTGCCACCTCGGACGCAGTGCTCGTCCCCGCCGCCCACTGACGAAGAATCGCGTGCCATACGCTGATAGGGATAGATTGGATGCAGAGCTGTATGATAATGTTCAAGCGAATATACACGTTTGAGGCTAGTAAGCTTATTGCTTTGTATTCTTGCGTTTGTGAGTCACTGAGCGGGAGTGAGCAGCTACGAGATCGCGTTGCCGCAGCAAACCCGCGCGGGGTGCCCGCAAAGCAGGACCGCGCGGTATTCGCGGAGGCGGGGCCAGTACATTCCGGCGAACGGACTCATGCCGCACATCGGGGTTAGTTCTACAGCGGTGGTCTGGGGTTGTTCCCCAGAACACACCGGCACGTAGCACTCGGTAGCTCGCTCCAGCCGAGACTCGAGCTACAGTATGTAGTGTCGACACACAAAATAACGACGCGTAAATTACGCTTTCCTTGTTGATTGTGTTAGTGTTGCCGCGTGTTAGCGTTGCCTGTGTTAGTGTTGCCTGTGTTAGTGTTGCCTGTGTTACAGTAGCGTTGCGCGTGTTGCCCTATGAGCTCAAGTTAGTGTTGCTCTAACGGGCTCCTTAATTCGACAGCGACCGCAACCCAATACAAGTAAATACTAAATGTATAACAGCTGAAAACTAGAGGAACGTGCCACCCAGTCGCTTTAATACAGTAGTTTCCCCTTGCTGACGCCCTTGGCATACTCGTTGACGTACGCCCACCACATATTCCAGAAAGGGTCCTTTTCCCCACTTTTCCACATAACACCCAGCTTTTCCCACACATAACGATCACGCCTTTTCTCGCGGACCCAGTGCTGGAACAGTGCTTTCTGCAAGTCAGTGGCGACACTCTCCGTGAACACCTTGCTCTTAGCGACAGCGATCATCCTGGCCACCTGTTCTTCTCCATATTTGTTGATAATGGCGCTCATCATGGTCACTTGGTTCTCGGGGTTCTGCTGGTTGAGCTTATTGACGAACGTCTTCCACGTATCGAGGTTCTTCCTGCTGAGAAGCTTTTCCAGTCCGTCATCGAGCTGGAGCAGCTTCAAGGCGTCGTCTGCGGAGGTTCCTTTCGTCACCAACGCCTTAAGCTGATCGTCCGTCCACGTAACTTTCGACGCCTTGAGCCAATTCGTGACACCCTCCGTAACCAAAGCAGTATTAAACGCTCGATCCTCGTCGTCACCCTGAGTTGCTGTAGGTTGCTGTCTCAAATTCCGCCCCGCGCGCACATTGTTGGTCTGGAGGTTAGTGGAATCAGCGCTTGCCTCCACATACTCGACACTCGTTGAGGATGCGACAGCAAGCAGCAGAACCAGTAAATGGAGACGCATCACTCACTGTATGTGTCCTGGCACAGGACTCTTGGGGTTCGGAAGCAAATTGCAGACTGATACAGTAGAGGGAACGGACACCGTGCTAATACCAGCCAATGTTTGACTGATACGGTAAAGTTGATTGTAAGCGCACAGGAGCTTGATAAATCTTTACAGGGAATGAATTAACGTAGTTAATTTATACCTCAATGTTGGAATGTACCCAAGCGGATATGACGGGTATAAGGAATATTAGGAGCATTCGCTGGATGTGGAACCCATGCGACAGTACCAGTTGGTTTACGACCACTCCCTATCCTATCACTGGAAGGTGAAAATTATCCCGCAATCAAATGCTAACTGCAGGAGTACTATAGGCGATATGAGAGGGAATAAATGATGAAACTGAAAAGTAGTATACAACAGCGATCGAACCATGTGAATATTCAATCGGATCGGACGGGATACATAAATATCAGGGTGCGCAAAACGGAGGTACTGAGTAGTTGTTTGATAACTATACGGAGTTTGTAGGTTGTGTTCGGAACCCATACTGTCGGATCCGCTTGGAAACATCCCAGGGCTTCATTTCATTTCATTTTGCAGGTGAGGATATTGTGTTCATTTAGTGCGTAGTCTTAACGATACATCCCAGGGCTTCCTTTGCTGGGCAAATACTTTATTATTTATTACCGTACGACAAATGATTTAGTACATGAATACTGTGACCTATTTGCTCGATCCACCTTCGTTTGGCAATACAGACAAACTTTTTAAGGCGAAGAACCTGGTATCTACTCTTTTTGGTAATCTGTCTGCCCATACTTATTTAAGGCGTGTAACCTGGTATCTACTCATTGCCCGGTTAATGTGGCAGCGCATCGCTCGTATTGGTTTTGGAATAAACGAGGGATGAATACGCAAGACGCTTAAAGAGGAACAGCGCCTCTTGATGAATTCACGGCTGGCGGCCTGCTACCATTTGAATACTATTAAAGTAATGTAATTAAATAAAACAAGCAATGCTTAATAATAAAAGTTATACAATAGTTTATACCCCCACAAAGTAATAACACAGCTGTACGCGATGAAGAATCGCGCCCAGGATCTGGTGTACAGAATATGGAGCGATTGAAAACACCTGCTTATGATGCTAATTTGAAAGGGAGAAAGAAGCTGTAAAAAAACCTTCGTATGTTAATACCAAGCGAATTCCTGCAGATTTTCTAATACACGGTACTAAAGTATTGAAGCAACGTTCAAACCTGTAAAGTTACCACCCCAGAACCGAGCGAGCGATTCCCGGCCCAAACTACGGCCTAAACGAACCTGGGGCAAACAACTTATGCTATTCTGTGGGTCACAGGATTGGGATATATTGCTAGAGGAACCGCTTCACTACCTACCAAACGTGTCCACCAAGCCAATGCAGGTTTGGTTTAGTGTTCGCAACAGATTGGGCATACTACATGTACAAGTTTTGCATCCGGAGTGGCATACTCGTCATCGGAGCCCAACTTTCATCTAGATATACGCGGGCAGTGAGTGATAAAAGTCGATCTTCGTCTGTGCGATAGCACAAGCCATTGCATGACAACAGGGCACCAAGATTATTTATTGCGGCACACACTGCTTGTCAGGCAAAAAAAAGTTCCTGAAGCTCTCCCTTGGCTATGAGAGAGGGTTGACAGGTGATTCTTAAACGAAGATCGCTATATACTCTACTTATTTTTCTCGGCCTCCTTTCTGAGAACCCTACCAATCATAGTTAGTTTTTGGTGAGGTACATTACAGTCGTTTAAGTCTTGCTAACAACTCAGCCAATGTCCGTCCAGCAGAAGCCTACACATCTTCTGCCAGCTTGCTAACTACTTGTGGGTGCTAGCACATGCGCGCTTATCATGCGCGCCTGCAAGTTTGGCCGGTCCGTGGCGTCTGCGTCGTCGCTTGAGGACGGGTGTGTGGTTAACCATTGGTCGATGTCCCCTGGACCCTACCAATCATAGACTGCAGACAACGAAGAGAGAAGCTGGGTGGACGGTATCACGAATTTGGTAAAGGTGTCAACGTCGATGAGCAGCTTGAGAAGCTTCTAGGCGCTAAAACATCCCCGGGCCAAGCTGTCGAGCTGCTCAATTTCGAGGAAGGATTGAATACTTACACAAACATCAAGGGCTATGGAGACGGAGAAGTGGCCGACACGCTTAGAAGGTAAAGAGCACGAGCAATGGTGCGCATCCTGGATTCTGGTTACATCATGCAACGTACATGTTCAGAACTCTAAAGTAGGCAAGCTATTATCCAAAATGAGCTGTGCACTTGATCGAATATCTGCAGTTGGTACAAAGTCGATAAGAATTAGGAACTAATTTCCCTTGACAGAACAAAACAGAACTCTCGATTTCTGCCTAACGTAAATTCCCGAATAATACTCCGGGCACTATTTATTAGTACCCTCCCGTTTTTTTGACAAAATCTGATACGTTATGGATATCATACAGTGTGTCATGCATAAAACAACTTTCGACAATAAATTCACAAAACTATACTTGATATTTGTATTGAAGTAACCATGTAACCCTGGGATACGCCTTGGGTTACCTTTTAGAGGGTACTATACGGGTAAGGGGTATTGCTCGGGAATTTTCGTTACTACTATTTTCAAAAACGTTTCTTGAGAGCCCCGCCTCGTTCATCGTACTAGTACAACAACACCTAAACTAATGCGCCTTGGCAATTTTGTTTTGGTTCGAGGCGACAACTCTCAACTTATCAGATCGAGTGGGGACTCGTGCCAGACGCGGCTGCCCATTGTCGTCTGAAATAGCCGAGGACCCCGATAGGCCTTCCAGCGTTCATCTGACAATCCGCCCAACAACTGCCGGTGTCTAAATCCTGCTTATTTTGCCCTTACGTTCATGGACATCAAGTCCTTCAGGGTCATACCCTGAAGGTTCAGGTCCTTGAGATCACCAAAGATCGCCTTTACGTACCCTTGTACAATCTGTTCGTTCAGGTTCTTGTCTAACGCCGTCGGATTCGTCTTCAGCAAGTCATCAACCTCGTCTGGAGACATTGGCTTCTTCATCCACTGCTTAAACTGCGCAGCCTGCAGCTCGGTGGCAATTTTCTCCGTAGCCGGCTCGTTCTTGGCATTCACGAGCATTTTCGCCTCTGCGTCGTCTCCGTAGGTCGCGACAATTGTGCGAACCATCGAAGCCTCCGCTTCCGGATTCTGCTTCTTGAGCATGCCGATATACTTGGCCCAACTATTCACGTTTCCGCTGGTGAGGACCTTGTCAATGTTCTCGTCGAGCTTGAACAGCTTAAACGCTTGCTCCGCGGACGTCTTCTGTGCCAGCATCTTCTGGAGCTGCTCATCGACGTTCGATCTGGTGAGTGCGTTGGCCCAACCTGCAAGCATTTCCAGGTTAAACGTCCTCTCTTCACCATTCACAGTCGTTGCACCATTCCTCAGCGCTCGGTTCGAGAAGGAATCCTTCTTCTGGCCACTAGAGACGATCTTGGAGTCGGTGCTTGCAGCGGCGTCATTAAAAACGGATGCGAGGAGGACAGCGGCGACCACGGCAAGGTAATGCAGGCGCATGGCGGTATTGATTCAGAGAAGCGGTTCTTGGATCGTGGCGAAATGCAAAGTGGGCTGGCTGGTACCGACAACTTTCATTTTAGGACTGGGAAATCGCTCCTTGACTTGGGATCGAGTTCCCATGTGCTTTCAAAGGAAGTTAGATTACGTTAGATCTGAAGTGCTTCGCTTCGTAATTCGTAACTTTATCTGTGACTATCGGCAAAATCAATGATTGCGTTAGCTTTGTATAACTTTTGTAGCCACTAAATCATCCGCCTGCGAGTTGTACTTGTACCATACTGTCGTGGGAAAGTAATTGCCAGGATCGTGCAGCCATATAATACAGGTTTCATTTATAAAATCTTGGTAAAAAAAGAGTTTGTCATAATTCCATTTATTGACCATCTGTAGCGAGTGCTGTGTGCCGTTTGCGGCTTCTTGTATACTTCGAAGTACGAAGTAACCACTTTTGGCACGCTGCGCTCGTCAAGCATAGCGGGTAATGAGTTTAACTTTATCAGGCATTGTGGCGATTTGCGTTCTTTGATCCCCGGATCCACCTCCACCAACTTATACCAAGCTTTTGCTTCGACCTAGCGACCCAAGAGAGAGAGAAGAACGTTGATTAACTGCTTAATGAACGTCTCGTTTTGCTGGCTACCCGAACTAATCTGTTGCGCTAGTTATTGACAAGGAATCCACTTTTGGCTTGGTGGTGTGGGAATGAGTTGCTCGCAGGGTTCTTCGAGGTCCAATCGGTGGAGGACAATGCTGACGGCAAGCTCATCAAGAGAGAGGCTGAGCATTACTATAAGCACGTCATGAACCACAAGAATGACACCTTGTCGCGAGCAGCGCAGGGGCAGCTGTGTTGGGTCAGGCCGAGCCAAAGCTGTTGACCACACTGGCAACTGACGAGCGAGCGCTTAAGGACACAGCAGCGAATATCGACACAGACAGCGAAGAGAGGGGGGGGGGGGGTGAAGGACGCGGTCAACTACGTGGCGTCCCTGTTCAGCAAGAACAAGCGCATCCAGCGCATGTTCGCCAAGGGCAAGTCGAACGAGGAGGTCTTCTCGAAGGGGGTCCACCCCATTGACGTCTGGTTTGCGCTCAAGATCCCCAAGCTTCAGGCAGCTCATACGCTCTCCGAGCTCGCGAAGAACCCCAAGTACATGTTTTGGGCCAAGTATGAGGCTTTTTGGAAGGCGAGGGCTGCTACGAAAGTGTAATACATGTACCACATCAAGTGATTGACCCAACAAATTTCCGTAGCCGAGATAGATTCTTGAAGCCCGTCTGGATGTTTGTAATTAACAGGAGATCCCGCTAAGAAGGGAACAAAAAACGCCCAAAACGGTGAAAGCCGAAAAAAAACTAAATGCGGTCTTTGCCACTGCAGAATGAAAATGGTACCACCGTGTAGCTCAGTATCTAAAACCTAGTATCACGGGTCTTCTTGCTGGGCAAGTCCAAGCTCCTGTTCGCAACGAGCGCTCCGGCAAGGCGCCTCGGTCGATTCACCTGCCTGTGATGGGATGCACTTTTCACAATTTTGAAAAATATGAGATAGTACCTTGCCCACCATCCGCGCAACGTCACGACAGTCACTGCAGGCCGTGCCCGAAACGGCCCGCACGCTGCTGCCATCGCCGTAGATACTTCTGTCGCTCGCAGGCGTGCAAGCACCGCAGCACCTGCGTGTTCAGCTCCAAAATCACCACGCATAGTGAGAGCTGGCCATCCTGCCATTCCTGCGGCTCAAGACAGTCGTTGGGAGTTGTCGCCGCTGCTGTACGACCAGAAGCCCACGCGCTGGCAGCACACGCTGTTCCACGAGGCCAACGGGGGCGTGGCCGCTCGCGCATATTCCCTCATATCGGCGGACAGCATGTTTCTCGGTCCCCTGGACGCGGTGTCGCTGCGTGGCTGGCTCCGACCTGGACGAACGTGTCGCTGGCTGGCGTGGGGTCGGGTGCTGCCACTCTTGTGACGCTGTGCGACCAGGCATAGGCCGCCAGCTCATGGTCATCTGACTGCAGATCCAGGTACTCGTGGTGTCCGTGGTGCACTAGCTGTCGTGCACGCCCCCGTAACTGATGCCGCCACCAAACCACCTCCAGCGCCGGTAAAATCCAGAAATCCAGATCGGCTCGAAGAACTCGGACCCGATCGAGGACATGTGCCACCAGTCCCTCGCTCATGCAGTTGCTGGTGGCGACGGTGATGTCGCGCAGCACGAGGTTCGACTGGCTCATGATCACGCGGATATTGTCATCGGAGATTCCTGGGTTCAGTCGACGCAGCTCTGCCACAGTCAGCCACGTGTGGTCCAGCAGCCGCTTCATGTCGAAGCCGCAGGTTGAGTTGGACTCGAGCGCAGGCTTCAGGTTGGTGATGTCCTTCTCGCTGAGCGAGTCGACTGTCTCGCCCATCGTGAGTTATTCATGAAGCCCGTGTCTTCATGAAGCCCGTGAACCGTTTCCAGCTGGAGACGATGGCGTCCCCGTACGAGATGATTTCCCTCAGCGCGTACTCGGAGCACGCCGTCAGCGAGTTTGACTGCATCAGACGCCATTCCCCCATGCAGTAGGAGATGGTCACTGGGATATCGATATTGTCGCTCTGATAGAGGATGGCGACCAGCCCGTCTTCCGGAGCCTCTAGGTTGCACACCTTGAGGTAGAGAACGTACTTGAGGAACGACTTAGTGAGGCTGATGAGGTACTTGGTGCACTTGATGGCGAGTTGAATGCCCTAGTTCGAAATAGCGCTGTACATGTTCCACGAGGCGAGAGTAAGCGCTGTCTGCACCACAACGGCAGGGGTTACCCACGATTTGGATCGTGTCGCCGTCGTTATGTCGGATGTCCTCGAACCCGCTCTCGACAGAGCACGAGTACGGACACTCGGAGCACACCCGAAAACGACACCACTGAGACCACCTGCAGCACGTCCGCTGCAGCAGACCCATTATCCAGGGCCTCCAAAAATAGCATTGTCAATAACATTATTTCAGAAAATAACAATAAATTACGCATTTCGGCGGGTTCAGCCATCTACCGTGATAATTTATTGATGTGCTTTGTGATATTACATAATTTATGACAGTTACCTTTATATAATAATGTTAGTGTTTTACCAGCCATCTTCTCGCTTCCAGTCGTTCAGAAGAACTGGAATCACTGGCTGGCTGTGTTGCTAGTTGCAGCTCATTTGGCAGCGCTCACTTTTCAATTTTCACTTCTCAAGCCTCCAAGACCTCATCCAGCATGGTTCGCGCTATCCACCCCCCTCGCCCTACCTACACGAACTCCCAAGTCTCGGGGTTTTACTTCCGCCCGTGTCGCGACGAGAACGACGAGGTGATTCTCGAGTATTTCCGTTGCCGTTGCGGCACGGTTCGGAAGCAAACCCATAGGAACGGGTACTCCAACCTGATGCAACATATAAGGCGGGAGCACCCTGACTACGAGACCGTCATGCTCGACGCTACGACGGCGGAGACAGGCTCCCTCTTGAACTTCGTCCGCCACTCGGCGCTCAACCTCCACGACTGGATGGTTTGGATTGTCATGTGCAACCTGCCACTCTCTTTTTGTGAGAGCCGATAAGCTCGGCGGTACGTGTATGCATAAGGTCATTGTGTTTACATTACTACGGAAACTAACAACTTTACTTTATGGATGTTATTCAGCTACTCCAGCCTGGACCCCATCTCGGAGGAAACGCTGCGGGCTGGCATGGACGGGGTCGTCGTCGCCGTCGAGCGTTCGATTGCGTCGGAGCTCCCAGCACGCTTCGGCATCATGCTCGACGGCTGGGCACACGCATCTGAGCACTACATCGCCGTGTTCGCGTGCTATGAGGTGAACGGCTGTCCCAAGACAACGCTACTCAGCATGGCCCCGCTGCTGGACGCGCTGGACGACGATCTTTCCGCACAGGGCCATCTCGAGTTTCTAGCGACCATGCTGCCGCGCGATTACGGCGTACAGCTGGCGCAGTGTCCCTTCCTCGTAGCTGACAACTGCGCCGTAAACCGGCGGCTGGCAACTCTTATGAGTGTGCCGCTTGTTGGTTGCGCAAGCCACCGCCTGAACCTTGCTGTTTAGGCGGACATGGCGTCGCATGAGGAGGACCTGGCTGCTGTGCAGGCGCTCATGGTAAAATTGCGTACTCTCACCCAATCTGCCAAACTACATAAAGCGCCAATGTGTGTCAATATGTCTCTAACACAATTTGTGTACTTTTGTAATTTTTTTACAAAATAGGTTGAAAACGCCAATTCGGCCTGTCATTCGCCAGGACACGCGCTGGAGCTCTACGTTCGAGATGGTACGGCGCTACCTCCAGCTCCTCGAGTTTCTTGACGCCGAAGACGACGACCTCATGGACCTGCTGCCGCCGCCGGCGATGAACAAGCGACTGCGGACATTGTACCAGGAGCTGTGCGACATCGAGTCGGTCTCGAAGGCCCTTCAAGGCCACGACGCCGACCTGCTGGACGTTCGCGAGTGGTTCGACGAGCTGATCGCTGTCAAGCTACAATATGGGCTCTACATTGGTAAGTTTATAACTGTTGAATTTGTGTTTAATATTTTCACTAACAATTCTATAATGGTTTTTATTTTGCAGGGCCTCGGGCCAACATTGTGCACAGCCCAGATTTTGAGGCTGGGTGTGTACGCGTTCTCCGCGGGAAGGCGCAGCGGCTGACGCGTGCTGAAAAGGCCGCTTTGCAGCCCTTCGAAGCTGCCAGACCGGACGACGCGGCCGCGAGTGAGGAGGAGGAGGATCCAGGCGCGTCGTTCGTGGAGCGTCTTCGGAAGCGCCGGCGGCTTGCACAGGACCGTGTCAAGTATGAGCAGCTGAAGAGCATCCCACCCACGTCGAACGTGGTGGAACGCTTCTTCAGCATTGCTCGGGTGACGTTTGGTCATCAACGACACGGCCTGCTGCCACGCACGCTTGAGACGATTTTGTTTCTCCGCCAGAATCGGTCGTACTGGGATGCAACGACTGTGGACAATTTGAGCTAGATGATAAGCTAACTGGTGTCTTGTTAATAGACTTCATGTTTTTCATAATGGCATTATTTATTGTGGTACGTTGGGGGCAATGCCATAATGTACTGTTGTATTGGTAGGAGCGTCAGGGGATAATTTATTCAGCAACGCCCAACCTACTAAATAAAAATGCCATATTCGGAGGCCCTGCCATTATCCGACGGAGCATTCCGAGCCAGCGTCACCGTTGACACGGTCGACACGCCCACCACGCTGCCGCCAGCACGCTCCTCCACCTCCAACGAATCGCCGTCGAGGGTCAAGCCGCTCACAGAAGCGCCAAAGTCGCGCCCGTGAACTTCCACGTCCACGGACCAGTACTCGCGGTGATGTCCAGCGACGTTCAATGCGCTCATCGACAGCAACGCCGGCTCGTCCTCTCAGCTCTCCACCACCAACAGCTGCGACATCACCGCCGACGACACCAGAGACCGAGGATCGAGGATGCTCCGAACCACATGCCACACCTCCGCCACCACAGCGCGCGACGACACCGAGTCCACCAGCGTCACGTTCGTGGATACCGCCACGGTCTGCGACTTGGCAGTGCGCGGCGCCAACACCACCTCGCATGTCTTCACATCGCTCTCTTCGTCGCTGTTATCGGAGTCGGAGACGTTATGATCCACGTTCTCGACCCCGTCGTCGCGCTTGGTGAGGTAGCTGGCGATTCGGCTCTTGCCTGAGGACTCGACACGATCGCTTGGGCAGTTCATGTCCGGCTTTGTGGGAGGTTGCAATCCACCGTGGTCGGTTGAAAAGTAGGTAGGAGCGACCGTGGCTTGCGTAGACCGATGCCCTTGAGATTTCAAGTGAATCCGCTCCAGAAAAGTAGCATCAGATTCACACACTCGCAGTTAAAGGCGTGCTCGGTGTGTACCGCCCTGTCAACGCAAGTACAAACAAACGTGCACTGTAAGCACCCGAAAAACACTCTCAAACACGAAAAATACAGTCCGTACGCTTCTAGTCGAGCGCCTCAGTGATAGCAATGGTCCCCATCACGAATGTGTCAAAGCCATGGACGCCACCCCGCTGCTTCTGGCGCCGCCTGTGGCACATCTTCACAAACAGCAGCATATGCATTAATGGACTTGAATCAGCACCTGAATGAAGCTGTAACATGTTGCTTATCTGTCCTCTTACCGGGAAAAACTGTGCACAGCATTTCGTCGTTAAACCTCGCCCGCCGCATGAAGTAGATTACTTTGTGCGTACCCGCCAGACACCAGTCGCTCTCGTGCCACCGCGTCGCATCTAGTCCAGCACGGCTTGGTGCCAGGATATCCACTAGCTGTGGGTTACTTCCCTTGATGTCCGACGCAAATGTGCTCGATATTTAGCTTGAAGGTGTAGATGTAGGTGAGGAAACACGACTTCGACGTATTTTCGGCTTCCTTTGGAGATCAGAAACTTTATCCCGGACACGTTTTTCATCTGCCTTGCCCCGAGCATCAGGAAACTGGTAGTACAGCATGGCTAACGCATGTCTCGGCATGATTCGAGGATCATCTTTCACAAGTCCTGCCAAGAAATTGGCATAGGTCGGTACCATCTTCTTTTTCTTTTGACCTAGATGCTGCTGCGGATCTGAACGCTCGGTATCGCCACTCGAATTTGAAGACCTTTCCGAGGTAGAGATTTCAGGGAGTTCCAAGGCTTCTCTTTCAGCTCGCAGTTGTGGTTGTTGAGCTAGTTGAGATGTGGGTTGCCGTCGTCGCTTCATCAACTTTGTGATGAACCCTCGAATCTAGTTTTCTCCGGGCAAATTATACCTGTGTGGATTAGCCAATATGAGAGCCTCCAGCATTCTCGCCGGACCCATATTTTGACTTTGGTCTTTTTCACCTTGCTGAAACATCGCTTCAATCTCCTTTTCGTAAAGTGCTACGTATTTGGTGCCGTACATCTCTCCTCGCTTTGGCCGTCTTGCCCAGCCCATTTTTAACGGGTTCACAGAAATTGCTGAGCTTCCGTCACGGCCATCAGCTAAACAGGTACCTCCAGCACTAGGCGCTATGTGCTCTCCGAAATCTTGCTCAGATGAATCCGCATCAGGCAACACAAATTCGTTGTCGCTCTTTTCGCTGCCATCATCTAAATCAGACTCGAACGCGTCAGCATCGGTTGGCACAGTTTTGGATGCGTGGACTGCTGCTTCCAATCTCGTAGCAGGTGCCTCGCTCAATGAGCTTGGGTTAATAGCAGCGGAAGAAACAGCTTCATTACTCGCCGTCCTGGCCGTAACTGGAGGAGCGATTGCGTTTGCACTGGGATAAATGGTGAGCATCTTGGATGAAAGCTCGCCACGAGCTGCAAAATCTCCCCCAATATTTAGCTTGAGAAGTTTGCGCTTCGCGTACGCCTCGACATCGTTCTCAGTAACATTTTCTTCTGTTACACTTGTATCTTGAGCTTGCACAGGTGTAAGTGAGCTCATGACACGTGTACGACGTCAAATTTGAGCACTCGTTTTGATCCGAATCCCTGTCATGATCCCCGTAGCTTCGTGCGGTAATACCACCGCCTCGCCTACTACAGCTGAATCATCTTCTACCGGCGCTTAGGTCGCTATCGTCATCCAAAAGATATTCGTCTTCGACTTCAAAATCAGAGACATCTTCATCTCCATCACAGTCGTTTTGCCCACTATCTCGCTGAACACCATCGCACACTCGTGAATCGCCGACCACTTCATCACAATCAAAATGTAAGCGCCGCTGAATGTTGTCATTGCTTTCTTGGTTTTGTCGTTGGTGAGCGACAGTGCCAGCTCTGCCATGACCAGGTCCTGCACTTGCAGCAACAACAGAAGCACCATCGTCTTCAACAACGCCTACTCCAGAGGCAGGCTCGCAAGCAACACTACACCTACCGCCACTTGGATCAACAATTATGTTGGTTCCTTCGCCAACACCATCATTCTGTATGAAGGGACTTTCTTCAAGTCGAAACCCGACTCCAATGGCGCCAGCGGCAAGGGAAAATCATAGAAAATGTCATTTGCGCGATCAATAATCTTTGACAGCGACTTCTCCAGCGGCCGCACTTGTTGAGACAGCTCCGCTCCATGCGCTCGATCCTGCTCAATTAGCTCTGCAATACAATTCGGTAAACCACCGTCTGCTGTCAGAGCCTCCACAACTTTTGCAGGTGTTGCGCAGTCATTACCCTGGCGGACCCAAGACTTCACCTTCCTTGAAGCCGTTGCAAAGTGCGCATCCAACATCGATTTTCCGTCCTGCGTGTCCGAGTGCACGTACCGCATGACATAATATCCATGAACCTCTCCGAGAATCGGAAGCATCAATCCCAAATACGCATTTTGGTAGTTCGACGCGTTATCGGACTGAAATGTCAAGCGCGTGACATGGGGCACGTCCCGGCGAAGCGATAGCAGAAGCGCTTCGACCAGCGCTGCAGTCGCCTCCTTGTCTTGCTTATTATCTCCATTACAGATCTGATCAAAGTAGTGCTTGGTCTCCACGGCCTCCCCACTGTCTTCATCATACATCCAATAGCGCACAAGTGCTCCATGCCACGACATACCACGCTTACCGTAATGTTCGACTGTCTTCTCACGAAAATATGTCGGCTCAAGTTTCATCTTGAAGTCGAGAATTACTAAAGCCTCGTTGGAGTGTTTGGCTCTCTGGCTGCGGTTGCTTATGGCCTCCGCCGCTTCACGGATCGCCCACTGCTGATTTCGTACGCGTATGCGATGACCTAAGAAGAGCTCCATCTTCTTGTGCGACTCCTTTACAACTCCAATTGTGGTTGAATCGACTTCTGCAACTGTCAACCGCTTTGTAACGTCGTCGATTAGTTGACACATTGCCACACAAGGACGGCAGCACACGGTCCGAGAGCTTTGGTCGCCCGGTTTAGGCAGAGAAAGCCCGTACGTAACTTGATGTATTGGGCACTTAGAGCAATCGGGGTGGCTGTCCGTGTCGATATCAAAGCCGCTTCCATACTTGAGCCACTCCCTCAATATTGACAATTTGGGTAACAGCTCGATCGATGCTTCAGGAAGTAACTCGCGTACAATTCGCTCTAGCAGCCTGAAATTGTCGTTCACCAAAAAACCCGTTACGTAATCAACGGCACAACGCGCTTGCACCTCACCATGAGTCAATGCACCAGCAAGTCGATAAGACGTGCTTCTGGGAATACTACCCCCGCGCGCACGGTACTGCTCATAAATGACCGTAATTGATTTTCGGCGTTGAATTGACGGAGCGATCTGTTTTTTGCCATCAACCTTGACAGTCTTCGTCCCCCAAGAAAGAAAAGCTACATTGTCCATTGACAAGACATGCCGGATAGCTTCATCTATTGTGCTTTTTTCGTACTTAGCTCGCGACCACTTCGGCTTTTCGATCCGACCCTCCACTAGAAGCACTTAGAGATCCTTTTGCCCCGCCATATAGTTTTTTCTGCCAAATGAAAACTCTTCGATCTGCTCCGCCGTGTTCGTCAAAGTTGATAGAGGAAACGCGTCACACAACAGGGCTCGAACACACCACCGCTCACCTGATCCACGTTTTGTAGCCATGAAGACGCGGACTGGTGTCGCGATTGTAGAGATTGTAGAGATCTGGCCTGGACTGATCCACGATCGAAACAGCTCCAGAAACACAGAAGCAGTTTGTTTACGACACAATATCGTGCAAATGTGACTCAGCAAGTTCCAAACCAGTCGCAACGCGACAGCTCGTTCTTGATGTTCACGTTCGATCCGGGGCTGATCTCCAAATGCATTTTGCGATTCCTGCTGACGCGGATCGTTGCCAGTCCCACAAGCACTTGATGACCAAAATGATTCAGAACAACGCCTTTCCTTTGACGGAAGTTTTTTCTTCATCATATTGATCTGTGTTTCTTCGCAAACCAGAAACTGCATCACAGCAAAAATGTCCACTCGTTTTCGAGCTTTAGGCGTTGGCGTGAAGATAGCCGGACTCAGGTACATTCCAGCTTCGTTTTGCGCACGCAGACCAGCAGACGCAGCCGGCCCTGCACCGACACTCACAGGAGACAATATATCCATGGCTCCACAATCACTCACATCTGACTCCGCACTCAAGTTTACAGGCGGCGATATATCCACATCTCCACAATCACTCCCATCGTCAATCAGCACATTCCGGACTCTTTGAGACTTCTGTCGCGTTGATCTTTTAGCCACACTTATTGCAGGATCCACGCTCGACACGGACAGCGCACGCTCACAGCCCTCCAGCGCCACAGCCGCTAAAGGTCGTCCTCGCGTCCGCGCACGCTTTACGGATGGAGAAAGTCCGTCACAGCTACAGCCACACCTCGAACACTTCCAACAGCCTGTTACAGGACAACGCGGCCTCTTGCAGCCGCACGTAATGTCGGGGAACTTGCTAGCCTCCGTCTCCCCGCGCTGACCTTCGTTCTCGCTCATTTGGATTTTGAATTCTGCGGGGGCCGAGGGGGAGAAATACCTCCGAGTGGACCGCCGACAAATCGAAGGATGCATGCACTGATACCACTGTGAAATGTCTAAAAACTCAAAATCCCTACGCTTCGCTTCATACAGCACTACTACTAGAGCGCTTGCGGCACGTGGGGGCATTGCTTCATGTGCCTAGCATCGCTATATTGCATGAAGCACATTTCTAACCGGCTGCCCAGCCAGAACACGATCCGAAGTACCATAACGCTTCGACTATTTCCGCATTATGTGTTTTTCTGTGTTCCCCTCAAATTGTGTTCCCTCTTAGCGGGATTTTCTGTTAAACCGTGCGGAAGGAATTACATACACGTACGGGAAACGGTCCTCTAGACCGCTTCCCGTAGGATCTATCAGCAAGATTTCGGAAATCGATCACTGTTTTCTAGTGACCCTGGCTTGATGGGAGAAGCCACTTGAACGCATCCTTTAGAGAAACTTCGAATAGAACGTACACATTCATTGGCTTTGTTGGGATGCCCACAACAATTCATTCACTCGACACTGTCGGAGTGGAAAGTGGCTTCGACGCTTGTGGGATCCGGAGTGCACATCGCTCTAATTGCTCTTGGTGACCGGCTGTACTAGTACCAGCTAGCGAAACCATAGGCACCAGGAAGCGCGCGACTCCCTCCATTCCTTGAACCATTCGCCAAGTTGCCCCAAAGACGTTCCAAGCCTTTGTGACCCCAGCCGAATCATGCGAGTTCTCCTGCTTCTACTGGTTCTGCTTGATCATAAATCTTATAGCCTGGTATACTGCGTGCACGATGATTTGATTTAGTAATCTATTCGGCTGTAATATTCTATTATACTTCCGAAGTTTATCATGGGTTTATTGTTGGAGACGGTTGTAGTACAGTAGTGAGCAGTAGTGATCACAGTCCAAAGAGAGTTCGATAACCATACGGGGGATAGAGATGAAGTTAGACCGTGCGATGCCACGAAGCCTTTTTGGGGGAACAATGGCCTCAGGACACGGCACTCTCGGCGATTACTGTACCTGTACATACCGTGACTACTTTACTGTTCAGAAGCACGTGTGATTTAGTGCTCTTGCTTAGAGAACACCAGGATTTCAAGGTATGCATCGCTAACTAGCCGCTACCAAGGGAGTCCTCCCGGGCTCAAGTACGTCGACCGAAAGCTCTAATAGGTAATCTGCAAGCTTGGAGCTCCGCAGCACGTCCTCGAGTTCATCCTTACGCGGACAACGCCGAATCTGAGGAATGGCTGGGGCTGCTAAAGGAGAACGCTTGCACGCGCTCGAGTGGATGATGCCGGTCGTGGAGTCTGGCCTTGCGAAATGTTTGGTCAACTCGTGAGATCACATTTTGCTCGTATATTATTTAACCGATGTTCACCTACTTAGTAGATCACATCTAGCTAGTTTAGAACTGCAGTATTATTTAACCTATGTTCACCTACTTAGTCAATGAGATTCGGCGTTGGATCAAGAAACACACAATACTAGGGCTTCGCGGGGGCTGAGATAGTAGTGGTTCTCACCAGAGCTGGGCAAAATTGTATTGCGATTGTAAGATTGATGGATATTGACGCTTACAATCTTCCTGTCCATATTGATTGCAATCTCGTTCCGTGATTGCAAAGATTGTCCCCGGCGCCGAAACCAATTGATCCCGCCAATACGATTGTCACAATCGAGCCAAAGAAAGAAAACCAGTCGTTGGTGCACCCGTATGGTGCAATGCGAGCCAAACGCTGACGCATTCCCGCGCGCTGCAAGCTTAAGCCCTCTTCTAGCCCTGCATCATTAGCCTATTCACTCCCTGGTACTCAATCAGAACTCCGCCGACATGAAGAACGCCGACATCGTCAGCGTCCTGTTCAAGAATCCCACCACCACCAACCGCACGCGCTGCGTCTGCAGCTGAAGCACGCGGGGTACAAGAACCTGATCTCGCATCTTCAATGCCACCACCACGGCTACAAGGAAGCCGCAGCAACGTGCATCAAGAACGCTTCCGCCCCCACGGCCACCATGTTTGCTCACAAGGATGCCGCCAACACGTACGGCTGGACCAAGCTCGTGGCTCTGAAGAACTTCCCCTTCGCGCACGTGGACGATCCCGTGATTCGCGACACCGTCCGCTTCAAGCCAATGGATAAAAGGACGCTGCTGAAGCGGATGGTGTCGCTTGTTGGCGTCGTTGACGTTAAGGTCTGCGACGAACTCGCAGTGGAGAAGTTTGTGCTTGTCTTCGATGGCTTTACTGACGCCGCGGAACATGCGATCGCCATTTTTGCCGCCACGAAAAAGGGCATTCGGTTTCTCGCATTTTCGCCTTTCCAGGACGAGGCCTCCCAGACCGCGTCGGAGCACATCGCCTTCCTGGACCTGGTCCTAGATCACTACGGGTTGGATGTAGCCAACATGATTGCTATTGTGGCGGATAATATGGAGACGAATAAGGCCATCGCACGTCGCATCAAGGTGCCAATGATTGGCTGTGCTACCCACCGCTTCAACCTCGCGGTTCGTCAGTGGATCGAGCCGCACATGCCTCTTATCAAAAAGGTGAGCTCGCTGATGAAAAGACTGAAGACAGTGAAGCGTGTAGCCAAGTTGAAACTGAATGGGTGCAAATACAAGCCCCTCCCGCTTCATGAGCTGCGCTGGAGTGGCTGCTACCGAATGCTGAAACGCTTTGAGGACCTGCAACGCTTTCTCCACTTGTTCGTGGACGACTGTGACATTTAACGGGAAGAAGAGGAAGACGGCGAGGCTGACGTGGTGTCCAGCAGCGAGAGCAGCACCGGGTTGCGCCGGATCCCGATGGTGGATCTGATACCTTCGGCAGGAGAGCAGAGAAAAATTTCTGAGCTACTAGACGAAATGACAGCTTTCGACGTGATCACGACTCGACTTCAACGCCAGGACATGACCATTACCACGGTTTGAGATATGTTCGACGTTGTTATGGAAGGGCATGGGGTTTGGATGACTATCTAGCTGTCAACGGGCAAATTGTTGAATTCCCCGACTTTGAAGCTGGCATTGTAAAAGTGCAAAGCGGCTCGGAGAAGTCGCTGCTCGCGGCCGAGCGAAAGGCTGTCTCGCGCTTGTTGCGTTCGCAACACTCGACAGCTCACCAACCCAACGACGCGCCTCCGGCACCTCCGGTAGCTCGCTCGAAGCGCAAGCGCGCTGCCCAAGCGCTCGACAATGCGCTGTCCAAGAAGGCCCGCCTGCGAACTACCAAGGCGTCGAAGTACCTTGAAACGGGGTGGATTCCTGCTACTTCAGTAGTGGCAGAGCGCTTCTTCTCCATGGTCAAGAGCTCCGTTGGGTACCTGCGCAAGAGCATGAGCGCGTCTACGCTGGAGACGGTGATGTTTTTGAAGTTGAACTGGGACTTGGTTACCCTGGGCTCGGTGTCGGCGGCGATCGAGCGCTCTAACGAAGCCGGAGCATATAGTTGACAGTGATGACGAGTAGCAACTTGCAATATTTTGAAGGCTCGCAAGGTTTGAAGTTGTGAGTTACAATAAATACCGTAGTATTGATTGTTGTCCTCAATCAATAGTACAAATTGAGATTTCCCCAGCTTTGGGTTCTCACGGTTGGAAGGTCCGCAGGTTTCATCAACCAATAGGATTTACCTGCAAATCTGCAGTCAAACCTGCAGCAAGTCACAAAGTATGTGTTGAGCTGCAGCACCACGTCACAGATTATGTGCTGTACACAAGGCAACTTGCATGTTGCAGAGAGTGATGGTCGTCGAAGCTTCGCGAAGCGCTGATCAAGTTTGTCAGGGCTCTAGATTGTAGGAACTAGAGCGAACTGCTAAGGTCTCGTAGGTAAAGCTTTTGATTCAATCTCACTTAGAAGAGTTCAAGTCGGTTTTGGTTATGAGCCCAAATACGCTGGGTCCTAATGACGTGCTGAGCGAGGACAACTATTTCCTGTGGGAATTCAACTGCCGCATGACACTCGCGAGGAAGGACCTGCTGGACCACGTGGAGATAAATCCAGAAGATGCAGCTAAGCGGGGGACCGAGACGTGGAAAGCCGCCGATTTCAAGGCGCTGGCTGTCATCTCGAAGTTACTGAGTCCAGTGTACCAGTCGATGATCCGAGAATTCAAGTCTACCAAGGATGCGTGGGAAACGCTGCGCGAGTTCTTCGTCAAGCAGAATCTTCACAACCGCGTCCAGCTTCGGAAGCACCTGCACGAGTTCCAAATGGCATCTGGGGCTTATTTGATGGACCACCTACTGAAGTTCGATGACCTCTTTCTGCGACTTTCGGCTGTTGGTGACCCGCTGAGCGACGACGAGAAGCTCGTGATCCTTCTGGGGAGTTTGTCGAGCGAGTATGACGCCATGCTGAAGATTATTGAGGCTCACTCATCCGTGACTCTGATGGATGCGAAGGAGATGCTGCGCCGCGAGTCGGAGACGCTCAAGAAACGCGAGCAGCAAGAGGAAGCGTTTAACGTGTCTGCGCGTGGTGGAAATGGAAGCACAAGACGACGGAACAATGCAGGGTCACGCGGGACCCAGGCAAGCCAGCATGGGCATGGAGGCGGGCGGCATGGAAGCCGTCGTGGTGGTGGCCAGCAGCGCCAACCATGTGGAGGTCGTGGAGCGTCGAGGTTTGATGGGCGATGCTTTGAATGTAACCAGTTCGGCCACAAGCGTGCAGAGTGCCCAACGCTCAGTAAGAATGACGACGGAGATGAGTTTGTGTTCGCCGCGACGAGGGAGGCATCGACGGCATGGCTGCTGGATAGTGGAGCCAGCACGCACGTGACGCACAGCCGGCAAGATTTCGTGGAGTTCCGAGAGCTGCAGAGCGCGATGGATATTGTAGTAGTCAGCGGACAACGCCTACGCGCGATGGGAGTGGGAACTGTGCGCTTCCTGATTGGCGGCAGCCGGCTGATGGTTGATCAAGGTGACTGAAGTACTGTATGTTCCGGACCTCGACCGGAGACTGCTGTCGATTCCGTCGTTGGTGGCCAAGGGTGCTTCTGTGGAGTTTTCTGGTAATGGGTGCACTATCAGTTTTGAAGGGAGATTGGTTGCTCGTGTAGAGAAGGGGAAAATTATTTGTCTGGAACGTGGTGGCGACGACGGATGAGGAGCGCGGCAAGGACGTTGCAGCATCGGCGGAGCTGTCCCCTGGCAGCCTGTGGCACGAGCAGCTGGGGCATGTGTCGAAGAAGAAGATGATGTTGGTGTCGCGCGCTGCGGAGGGCGTTCCGAGCTTTGGTCAAGATGATGATGTGCCAGTTGACGTACCCTGTGCTGGCTGTTCGTGTGGCAAGATGACTGTGAGCCCGTTCTCAAGACAGTCCGGCAGTAGCGTGAAGACCGCAGGATTGCTGGGCCTCGTACACTCCGACGTCATGGGTCTAATGAAGCCTCAGTCGAAAGGGGGAGCGCGTTTCGTAGTGACGTTTGTCGATGATTATTCTCGCTACGTGCACATGTATCTGATCAAGGCGAAGTCGGATGTATTTGCTCGGTTTGTGGAGTACAAGGCGCTCGTGGAAGCGCAGACCGGTCGCCGTATTCGCTGCTTGCGCAGTGATAACGGAGGATAGTATGTGAACAAGAGGTTTGGGGACTTTTTCGCGGCTCATGGGATCGTGCACCAGACCTCCACGCCTCACACTCCGCAGCAAAATGGTCTCGCTGAGCGTATGAACCGCACGCTGGTTGAGATGACACGCTCAATGTTGTACCACCGCGAAATGGCTCGTGAGTGGTGGGGTGAAGCTCTGAGTACGGCTGTGTATTTGTCGAACCGCGTACCGAACACTGCTCGCCCTCAAACTACTCCCCATGAAGTTTTCACAGGACACAAGCCTGACCTGAGCCACCTGCGAGTCTTCGGATCGAGAGGATACGTTCAGGTTGACAAGTCACGTCGGAGCAAGTGGGATGCCCGAGCTCACGCATGCATCTTTCTCGGGTACGCTCCTGGCTCGAAGGCCTATCGCGTTTGGGATGCTGAAGATGAGCGTATCGTGACTACCAGGACCATCACCTTGGATGAGCGTCCTGCTGACAACTATCGCACTGTGGTTCACGTGACGAGGCAGGCTCCGTTGGAGTTCGACGAGGATGTGAGTACCTCGCAGCTGCCACACCAACCGGTTTTTCCTGCGACGGACAACAGCGGAGACGTTGAAATGACCGAGGTCGATGGTGATCCCGTCGACATGGAAGTCGATGCAGTACCAGACGCACTGGTTCGCCGTGGCGAAGGTGAGATGTCTCGCAGAGGGGGAGAACCACTTGTAATCCCAGTTTCAGAGCCGAGCTCGAACGTTACAGCTGCTCGACAACTCACCAGCCAGTCCTCTCTATGTCAAGCAGCTCTGATTCCATCGTCCATGCGCACTGGTGAAACCTCGCTGTTTGACCCAACTAGACCTCGTCAAGTTCGTATTTCGGCGCCCCACCAACCGCGTCTGCTGACAAGTGCTCAAGAAGCAAGAACCCCGGCATTACCAGCGTTACCACCGCGTGAAGGCAATGGAGAGACTGGGGAAGCCGAACGACTGCTGCTGGAGAATGGCGAAACCGATCCGACAAGTGGACAAGATGCGACGGGAGATGGCTACACTTCGGACGGAAGCATTGGTGAGCCGGACAGCAAGCGCCCGAGAATCGACGACGAGTACGAGATTGCTCTTGCTGCCTCGGAAAGTATTCCCAACTCGTTCCGTGAAGCGATGCGTTCTGCCGACTCGGACAAGTGGAAGGAGGCGTGTCGCGCTGAAATCCGAGCTCATGTGCGCAACCACACTTGGGATTTAGTTAACCGTCCGCCCGGTGTTCGAGTGATCGGGCACAAGTGAGTCTTTGCCCTTGAACGCGATGAACACGGAAACATTATCCGGTACAAGGCGCGTTTAGTTGCTCTCGGTTGCTTCCAGACGTATGGTGTTGACTACACATCTACCTGCTCTCCTGTTGCCAGTCTTAACACGGTGCGGATTTTTCTTGCGGTGTGCTGCCAGCTCGGATACATGGTGAAGCAGTACGATGTTGAAACGGTCTTTCTAAACGGCGACCTCGACGAGGAAGTGTACATGGTGCCGCCTGAGTGTATCAATGTTCGTGAAGGCATGGTGTGTCGCCTTCGTCGCAGTCTCTATGGCTTAAAGCAAGCCGCCGCTGTGTGGCACAAGACCATTCGAAGTGTGTTCATCGCCCTGGGATTCAAGCAGTGCAAGTCGGATCCCTGCCTGTTCGTTCGAGTTCGTCACAATGGACCCGTTTTCATCGTCCTGTATGTCGATGATCTGCTTATCGGATGTGCGGCCGAAGAAGAGGCGTCGAGTATTGCAGAGGCATTGGGTGCACGTTTTCATCTCAAGTCACTTGGAGATGCTCGCTTTATTCTCGGAATGTAGCTTCGCTACAACACGCAGTATGGAGAGCTTTTCGTTTGTCAGGCGCAATACATTTCGCGAATCATTGAGCGATTTGGCCAAGCAGAGGCGCACCCTGTCCGAAACCCGAGAGTCGTCGGACAAGATCTGCGTGCAAGTGACGAACACCCAAGGATGAACGAGAAAAAGCCATATCGCGAGCTTGTTGGCTCACTTCTCTACGTTGCTAATGCAACCCGGCCCGACATTTATGTCGCAGTCAGCATTCTATCGCAACACCTCGAGGATCCACGTGAAATGCATTGGAAGGCGGCTGTGCGCGTGCTACGGTACCTCAAGGCTACACTCACTACTGGTGTTGAGTATTGGCGCGGAACTCAGATGCGTTTGCGCGTCTTCAGCAATGCAAACTGGGGAAGCGATCTATCTACTCGCCGATCGACATCAGGCGTGCTTCTGTAGCCGTGTGGTGGACCAGTCGTGTTCAAGGCGAAGAAACAGGCGACCGTCGCGCTATCTTCGGCCGAAGCCGAGTACATGGCGCTTGCGGTGACGGTGCAGGAAGTGATGTGGGTGCGACAGCTGCTCGGAGAGATGCTGGTGGGAGATACGTGTGCTACTGAAGTCTTCATCGATAACAAGGCAGCGATCAGCGTGGCGAGCAACAGCGGGTACACCCCACGCGCCAAGCACATCGACCTCCGCGTGCACTTCGTTCGTGATCAAGTCGAAAACGGAACGATCAAGGTCCAGCGTGTGCGCTTTGCTCAACAACTGACAGACTACCTTACCAAGCCACTCCGACTCCGCGGTTCATGATACTGGTGAAGGCAAGTGGCGTTATCAGCAGCGGCGATCCTGGAATGCAAGTTGAGGGGGAGTGTTGAGCTGCAGCACCACGTTACAGATTATGTGCTATACACAAGGGCAACTTGCATGTTGCAGAGAGTGATGGTCGTCGAAGCTTCGCGAAGCGCTGATCAAGTTTGTCAGGGTTCTAGATTGTAGGAACTAGAGCGAACTGCTAAGGTCTCGTAGGTAAAGCTTTTGATTCAATCTCATTTTCCATTCTACACTGCATCGCAAAAGAAGAGTTCAAGTCGTTTTTGTATACTGGCTAACCTGCAATGCACTTTCTGAACACACCTGCAGGTTTACGCTGATTGGTTAGATTTACGTGCAACCTGCAAATCTACCAACCGTGAGAACCACTAGTGTCCAAATATCACCAACAATTCGGCATCAAGCTCCCAGGAACAGCAATCACCGTGGCGATTAGACAGCGCCTAAGACATGCGTATCCAGGCCTCTATAGTTATTATAGCAGTTAACATAAGTAGAGATTCTCTTTACCACTGCAATAATGCCTTCACAGGAACATCCAAATACTTTAAGCAAAATAATGTTTTTCGATTAAATATTATTATATTATTAGATTTAATCGCACAGATAAATCACGCACCCAGCAACAGCGGCTGACAACGCCTTCCGTGCTGTGGGGGTTGTACCTATCGCGCGTGAGGACTCCTCGTTGGTCCGCTTTTCGGGTTCTATCGTTAAATAAATATCACTCGTATTCATCCACGACTTTGGACATATGCAGTGGAAGCGATGGAGACATACTGACCAATTTTGACTTGGTACTTAGACGCCGCTTACACCGAAAACACCAAGAGTTTGCATATTAGCAACAATAATACGGTTTCACCTGCACGCACAACAAAAAGTCTTAGTTCTCAAACAAAATTAGTACTTCGAAGTATTTAATAGTACCAACTCCGATATACTGGCACTTAGGCGAAACAATGTTGATCAACACGATTTACCACATAGTAGCCCAATTTTAATTGGGCTAATTATTTATTCATTTAAAAATGATCGACAGCGCTGAACCCCTTTACGATGTACGCCTCCGCTTGGTACCTGCCCCCGCAGGTTCCTCATTTGCAGAAAGACACCTGCCAACCTCTGCTTTTGTCAGATTTTCAGATAGCCACTGTACAGTACCTTCATTTTGCCGACTAATAGCGGAGCGGATAGTAGCGCGAGAGCTGTCGTCCTGGAAAGTGGTATTTTCAAGCACCCATAACAGCCACGTACCGTCGAGCCCTTTTAATACGAGCTCCACACGATCGTTTTCCGACATCCACCCAGCCACCTCAATATGATCCGGGTATGATAAAACGGGAAAGACTGCAAAAGGGACACTTGACGATACTCCGTTCTCGAGTAGCCATCTGAGAAGTACCAGCAACTTGTTCTGTCTCCCAGCAATAGCGACATATTCACGCTTTTCCGTCTCGTTCCGAAGCATGAAAAATTACCGAACCATTGTTGCGTATCCTCCTTGCAAGGCATGGTCCAGCATGAAGCACACATAGAAACCAAACCCTTTTGAGTGAAATCCTCCAAAGACTTCAGTATTTTGCACCACAACGAAGATGCAGGAGATGCGTTCTGGTCGGATAGCTGCTTCAACATCCCCTGAAAACACCAGCTGCTTGAAAACTGCGCCCTGGGATTTACTGAGTAGTCATGTCGGTAGTGCTGAATAAGCTCGAGAAGGAGCCGCATGGGTCCTTGACAGACATGGACAGCCAAGCCCAAATCAGGAACTGACTGTCTCGAATTATCAGCCAGGCAAGTCACTACATCCCAATCGCACTCCCAGACTGCTTGCTCGATCCAGTTACCCCTCTGTGACTCTGCTTCGTTGTCATTGAACCACTTTACCACCTCCAAGTGACCATTGGAAACTGCCCCGTACATGGCTGAATCACCGCACCCTTCGGGTCTGTTATCGTGCAGCCAGCGCACAACATCTAGGTGGCCTTTACTTGCCGCCTGCTCCATTGCGCTTTTGGTACAACCTTCGGTTCGGTTGGTGTGTTTCCCCGCCGCTGCATCCATCGCCTTTGTTGTGCAGCCCTCCGAGCGGTACATGTGCAACCACTGTACGACTTTGAGGTGGCCAGCTTCGGCCGCTTTATCCATTGCGCCCGTATCAAATTGGGAGGGAAAATGGTCATCCAGCCACTGCACAATGGGTAAATGCCCATTTTCGGCCGCATTACGCGCAGCAAATGCCGAACAGTGTTTTCTACAGTGCTCCAACACCCACTTGACAATGTCCAAATGACCACCAAAGGCGGCTACATCAATTGGATCGGAGGGGCATGATCTTGAACAATCTGTGTGTTCGTGGATCCATTGTAGGATATGTAGATGCCCGTATTGCGCCGCACTAATTAGCGCCTCCTCCGAGCGAGCACTCTCGAAATGCTCATATAACCATTTAACCTTTTCAAAATGCCCATTTTCCACAACGCAAGAGATTGTATCGTCCTCGTAAGTAGCATCAGTGTGCTCATTTAGCCATTGTACGTAGATGACCATTAACAGCAGCATAGTAAAACACTGCATCATCATAAACTCCGCGCTTGGTCGTGAAGCCACTTCATCAGCTCAAAATGACCCTGCGCAGCAGCCTCTTCAAGACAATGTTTGAAGTCAGATTTCCAAGGCCCTCGATGATCTCGCCGTCCCATCGTCCACTCGAAAACATGCTTGTGGCCACTTCGAGCTGCCGCATCCACCACAGCTTTCCAGTTAGGCGCCGTCCGAGCGAAAATGAACTCGAGAATGTGAATTGGGAAGCCATGTTCGCATGCCGCTTCGAGCACTTTCTCATTGATCAGAAGTACGACGTGTGGCAATGTCGCTGGCAGGCATTTACGGCAGATGATACGAGCTCGAGGCGGCCTGACCCAGCGAGATGACCTCTGCATAGTTCCACGCAGTTTGAAGACTGATAATGTGAGGATTTAGATTTTGATTCTAACTGACAATCACTCTTGATGAGTAAGGTTTCTAATCAGACGGATCCATCACTTCAACTAACGTTAGTTGTCTTGAACAATGTATAGCAAAGTGCAACCCCGCTCTGATTGGTCACTTTGCATCATCCTCCAAGGTTTTCTTTCAGTCGGCAAAAACGATGGAGAAGCGCTGGGGCGTCTTAGCGCCCTGGACGTCGGTCCTCCGGCTGCTGTTCCACCCACTAGACGCCTCAGGGCGTTCTTTGCCTCCGCTCTTCTCCTTACGCAAAGAGTGGGACGCAGAGCGGGACTGTGAGATTCTGGTGCGGTACCAGGCGGAGCTTCACGCCTGCGCTACGGCGGAGGCGTGCGTCCGTGACCTGGTTCAACACTGTGGCGTCCACCAGCACCACAAGCCTCGTCGGGCATATATTAATGCATTGGCGAAAATCGCAGCTATGGATAAGAGATTGAGAGAAGACAAACCTGGCGTGGAGATTCGGGTGCCCATTGAGACCAAGAGCGGGTTTGACGGACTGTCGACGATCCGCAAGGCGGAACGAATGATACAAGAGGAGTGGAGGGAGTCCTCTCAGCTAGAAGTGCAGCCGCTCTTGATGAGATGCACGTTTGTGCTGCAGCCTGTCGTGGTGAACGAGCTGGAAAAGAACACGATTGACTCGGCTATGACTGCAAAATATCGAGCACTTGGTCCGTGACAATATGTGGTTTTCTCGGGTCACATTCAGGGGGTTCAAGCTGATTACAGACACTGCAAACGGAAGCAACAAGCTGAAGAAGCAGCACGCTTTCGGTCAGCTGATGACCAGCCTAATTGACAGTACACGGCGCAGGCGTGAACTACCTACGACGCTCACTTTGGACATCGAGGTGGTCAATCCGAACAAAATGCGTCAGATCGACACTCTTTCGATCACGACGTACAGAATCCCGCCGCGTAAGAAGATTGAGGCGATGCTTTCCGCTATGGCACGGAGCCAATCCACCAGGAAGCTAACGCTCAGCTTGTTAATGAACTTAAATGATGTCGGCGATACTGCGCACTGGTGGAAGTGGGTGGCGTACGCGTTTTTCTCGAAGCGAGCCTGCTCCTCCCTCGACGAACTCGCTCTTACGTGGATTAGCTCGATGACGGTAAATGACATCGAGGCATTTTGCAGCGTTCTCGAGTCTGAACATCCAGAGGAAGACCACGAGGGATGGTCGAGGAGCGAGATGCAACCTTAATGGCGAATGCTCCAATTCGATGGGATATCAGTGAGCAAGGAGACCCGCTATTTGAATGGGGTGTTTCAGGCGGTTCCACCTACAGCCCATCGGTAGGGCTTCCCGCCTGTCCACCGAGTGCAAACTGACATTGTTAAGCGTGCTACAAGGCGAAAGGTTCTTCCCGGCAACCGAAATGAACAAGCGACGTCATTTCCTGCTGTCCCCAGTCAATCTTCAGGGTCTAGACGCGTACGTGGCCTCCAATATTTTTGAAATTGCGGCCGCGCCAATACTTCGGAAAGTGTATGTGGAGCTCTTCCGCTGAAAACCATCATAAAAAAGATTGCATCTTTAGATTCCTTTAATCGCGCAATTGCGAGATGAAGCCGCAGCGAAAGATCGATTCCGATCACCTTATTTCAGTCTGTAGTTAATTTATATCTCTGACTGAAAGTAATTACCGAGGTGCCACGCAAGTCGCGCACACTCAATTTCATCATGCAAGCTGTATCACAGCGGATATGGTCGTCACCAGCTCCGCTAATCTGCAGCAAGTACCTGCGGACAAGTAGCGGCCTCTTGCCTCACGTTGCCTTTCTAATCGATGAGTTTCTGGTTGATTCGTTGGATCAGAAAGTTCTACAAGCAGCATGCTAAAGTGGTGCCCCACTGTACATTCTGGAGTTCATTGCGGCTCGAACACTGCTTGACTGGAAGGATGTGGTAAATGCAGCAGCCCAAGGCGGACACGTTCACGTCTTCAGGTGGATGGCAGGCCTCCAAGACGAACGAGGACCGTGGAGGGCTGACTTTCACGAGTGTTTCGATTATGCTGCAAGATATGGTCATAGTGAGCTCGTGAAGTGGCTCTACCATCAACAAACACTGACCATTCATAGGTGTACACTTCATTCGGCTGCTTCCAATGGGCACCTCGCCCTCGCACAGTGGCTACACGAACACACCAACAGCATTTATATTTGGGAGACAATGCAGTGTGTTGTTGGACGTGGCCGTTTCGAAGTGGTGCGATGGTTGTATAAGACCTTCGAGATGGCTCGTAAATCACCGGCCATGTGGATGGCGGCGCAACACGGGCATCTGAATATCCTGCAGTGGCTACATCAACAGGGGAATTGTCTCGAATCTTGCGATAGCAGCGCTATGGACTCAGCAGCCCAAGGCGGGCATTTCCACATCGTGAAATGGTTGTTCGATAACTGTAGCAAGGGCTGCTCCAAATATGCTCCAGGGCATGCAGCTCGCAACGGGGATCTCGCAATGTTGCAGTGGCTGCACCAACACTACAGCAGTCAATTTGATTCTAGCGTGATGGATGACGCGGCGTACGGACGCCAGCTCGAAGTCGTCAAGTGGTTGCACGAGCACCGAACGGAGGGTTGTACCACCAGAGCGATGGACACAGCAGCAGGAGGTGGCCATCTACCAGTCGTGCAGTGGCTGCATGCCAATCGAGCAGAAGGGTGGGTGTACAATTCATGCTATGGACTGGGCTGTGGAAGAAGGCCACCTCGATGTTGTGCGATGGTTGCACGAAAACAGTGTGGGAGGATGCAGCGACTCTATGATGCACTTGGCTGCCCGCCGAGGCTATTTGGATATAGTAAAGTGGTGTAACGAGACAGGAAGAGGGAGGGATAGTGACAGTTTGGTAGCTGCTGCTTGGGAAGGCCATTTAGATGTTGTCTGTTATCTCGCTGAGGATAGAAGGCAACTTGGTTTTGGATGGGGTCTCGGCACTGCTGCCGCACGGGGTCATTTGCAAGTACATGTCGTGCTGGTGGACAACTACTATAGCTTTGGCACGATACTCGTATCTTGGAATACCCGCAACGCTATCGCGAACTGTATCAGGTAGACGCTAAGCCAGCTATCGGACCAGCAGGCGTCGACTGTTTTTGCTTCTTTGTGGTCTGGAATTCTCGAATCGGTAAATCAATTTCACTCAGGAGGGTTCTTGTCGTGTGTGGACATAGTGCTGGTTCAAGCGTTGCAACGAGGCTACGCAGCAATGGTTCGGCAATTCTTCGAAGGCAAAGACGAGTTGGTGAAAGGACAATACGTTGCAGTTGCAGGCGAGCAGCGTCAAATTCCACTGCTGCGGTGGCTGGTCAGAAATGGCACGCCGCTTGATGTTCCTACTGCTATCGAACTTGCCACAAAAAATTCGGAGCTAAATACTTTGAAGCGACGAGTTTGCTAGCCGAATGTGCCCGTGTTACACTCGTGCAAGAGCGACTTAGACAGAAGAAGTACGACGAACTGCTGCTCTGGGTACTTGACAAGTCTACCTCTTTGAGCGAAGGCTCTCGCACCACTATTCGCACTGCTATCAGGCAGCAGGATGATTCAGCTGAGTGGCTCGCCAACAACCTGTCCAATGACGAGGTTCGGAGTTGGTGCATTGAAGGAGGGATAATTGAAGTAAGACCTTCCAAAAGGAGACGGACGAATTAGAGAGCAGTCGCGGGGCAGTCTAGTTCGCGACACATGCACATATGTATGTTACGCATTGGTAAGAACTTTACGACGAAATGTAAGTGTTAGGTTAGTTAAGAAGCCGGTTTGCATCAAGATGGGTTCGTGGAATTAGATTTATCTATCGACGAAATGTAAGTGTAAGGTTAGTTAAGAAGCCGATTTCATCAAGATGGGTTCGTGGAATTAGATAAATCTTATTCCATCTAATTCCACGAACCCATCTTGATGCAAATCAGATTCTTAACTAACCTTACACTTACATTTCTTCGTCGAACGGTCAAGGATTATTTTTGCTAACGCTGCTGAATCATTGTGCTTTTCGAACAGCATATTGACTTGGCTACAGCATTAAGTTACAGCATAGCCAATGCTGAAGGAGGTCAGCCGCAGCGAGGGCATGATTCACGCTAATACTTGTATGCGCATTTTCATCTAGATATTCGTAAAAAAAGAAAAGCTGATAGAATTGACCGCCGAAGAACAGTCCAGCCTGCTGCACGCCCGGGAAATCACAATCGACGCGCAAATTTACTGGGGCTCAAAGCTATTTCTTTATTTTCTCTTACTTTTGGATTGTGCCAAAATAACGCTTGCACCCATTACGTATTTCCTCCGGGTTGCAACTGATGGCCAATCATTCGTCCTTGTAGTCCTCTCAATCAATCACGTTAAAAGTACGGATAAACCCTCGGCACTTCGCAATTTCTGCACTCGTCGGCAATGGCAACTCCGTCCAAGTGGAAACGCCCGCGCATCGCCGAACATTTGTGTGGGGATATTTTTTCGCATTCTCTGCCTCACGTATCACGTCTCATCGACGAGTTTCTCATTGAAGGGCTCCACTCGGACACCCTGAAAGAGGCGTGCGAGCAAGGAGCTCCAGTGTCGGATCTAGACTTCGTTCTCGCGAGATGCGCTCCATCGTGGGACGACGTAGTCAAGTCTGCAGCCAAAGGTGGGTACGTGCACGTGTTCCAATGGATGGAAGGGCTGGAGAATATGCGTGGGCCATGGGGCTTTGTCGACGGATGGGAGGGGGCCTCCAAGTACGGCCATGTCGACGTCGTGAAGTGGATGTACGAGCGTGGCTACCCGTGCAGGGACGCTAAAGAAGCGATGCGCTGTGCTGCTGCAAACGGTCACTTTGAAGTGGTAAAGTTCTATCACAAGTATCCGATCTGCAAGGTATCCAATGCCGCTGCGAGCGCTGCACACAACGGACACCTGGAAATCGTTAAGCTGCTGCGTGCCCGACTCCACCCAAGAAAATTAGAATTCGTGGCGGGATCTGCAGCGTCAGGAGGACAATTTGAAGTGCTTCGGTGGCTACAAATGGCTGGAGCGAGCTTGGATCACGTTTTCAAAGACGCAGTTCGAGGCGGCTGTATGAATTGCGCCAAACTGGTGTGTGAAGAGAGTACACAACCCCCTGCTAAGGATGTTTCAATATGGGCGGCAATAACGGGAAAGCTAGAGATGATCAAGTGGCTGTACGAAGAAGTACGCGCTCCATTCGACAATAACACAATGGATACTGCTGCTTCTCATGGCCACCTGGATGTGGTTAAGTGGCTGCATGAGAATCGTTTCGAAGGATGCAGCACCGACGCCATGGATGGAGCAGCACGATATGGTCACCTTGAAACAGTGAAGTGGCTTCACCACAACCGATCTGAAGGTTGTACGATACGTGCGATGAATGAAACCGCTGCAAATGGACACCTTGAGGTGGTAAAATGGCTGTCTGCAAACCGGTCTGAAGGCTGTACAAAGTACGCGATGGATCGTGCTCTTCGCCAGGGCCACTTGGGAGTGGCTAAATGGCTACACGAGAATGGGATCAAAGGGTAGTTCCCTAAGGCGATTAAATGGGCTGCATCCGCGGGGTATTTTGGCGTGGTTTGCTGGTACGAGGAGAATGTTCGGTGTTCGTTGGTGTTGCGAAAAGCTGCTGCACTCGGTCGTCCCAGTCTTATCTACCAACTAGTAACAACACTCCATTCGAGCAATGAGGTGGAGAGCAGGCTGGATGTGTGTCGGGCCTGCTTTCTATCCACGTTGGGAGGCCATCGGGTAGAGCGCAAACCCAATGTTTTCCCGTCCCAAGTTTTCAAAGATCAAGTTGCTGCAGATATAGTGAAATTACTGCGCAAGTTCCTCAAGAGTGGTATGGTTGAGTGCGTGTACGTCATGCTTCAGATAGCCCTGAAACTGGGGTATCTCTCCGTGGTGCGGTCATTTTTAAAACACCGCAGTGAGGACGAGTTACGGGGTTATATGGTGCGTTCTGGTGGGCGCTTGATGAGGTGGTTGATTGAGAATGGACCGCCGCTTGACGTCGCGACAGCCACTGAACTAGCGATGAAGAGCAGATATCCCCAGGCTACGAGGTGGCTATCAGAGTGCGACAGAGTGGAGGTAATCCGCAAGGGGCTGCAGTATCCCTGGCACAATTCTGTTCTGTGGATGCTTGAAAACATTTCATTCGAGGAAGAGAGGTCGCGACATGCGATTCGACACGCTGTTCAATCTGCACTGTTCGGTGCTTTGCAGTGGCTCGATGCAAATTTACACAATGTTGACGTGCGTAGCTGGCTTTTCAACTAAAGGCAGGGATTACGATCGATACAGTAAATATTCACCTAGCTTGTCTTCGAACGACGGCTAAGGAAAACTGAACATCTGGATTAAGATCTGTTTTTCACTGCTCGAGTTGCTTTGCACCATTCACACGACTTTTAAATCAATCACTGGATGATAACAATGACTAGTCTTGCTTTAGGGTTGAGAAACATGTCCACTAAAATAAATGCAGTGGGGCATGAATTATATTTTTAATTGATAAATGATGTTTTGTTTTCATCAATTGGAAATTAGACACCTGAAGTCGCGATCTATCAAGCAACGTCCACTACCTTTTGATCACTATTGAGCCATGGCCACCACTCCACGATGGAAACGCCCGAGTATCGCCCAGCCATTGTGTCGGGTATTTTTCCAGCATTATCTACCTCATGTGGTACGGCACATCGACGAGTTTCTTATTAAAGGCCCCCCTCCCGACATACTCAACGAGGCGTGTGAGCAAGGAGCTTCAGTGTCGGATCTCGACTTCATCGCCGAGGGATCCGCTCCCTCGTGGAAGGAGGTGGTCAAGTTTGCAGCCAAAGGGGGCACATGCACGTGTTCGAATGGATGGCGCAGCTCCAAGCACGTCATGGGCCATGGAGTGGAGACTATTGGAGTAGCTGGAAAGAGGCCGCTAAGTGCGGCCACCTCGAAGTCGTGAAGTGGATGTATGTTCGTAAGGTTCAGTATGGAAATGGAAATACTGAACAAGCGATGAAGCGTGCACCTGCCAATGGCCACTATGAAGTGGTGAAGTTCCTCTATAAACATTACCCGGACTGCTACGTAGCGAACCCTGTGGGCCGAGCTGCAAATAATGGACACTTGGAAGTTGTTCAGCTGCTTTGCGGTCGTCTCTCTCTATCGCGGCTGTGCATACCATCGCGTAGAACGGGTTTTGCGCAATCCAGAGACCCACCTCGAGCTGCACTATCGAAAACGGAGGCCGAATACTCGCGCTTCTTGCCCAGCCACTCGAGCACTTGGAATTGGCCTCTTGAAGCTGCACAACCCATCACGAATTCCAAACTATGCCGTTATGCAGCCATGGATACGGCAGCTTCAGGGAATTTGCCGATGCTTACATGGCTGCATGAAGAAGTACACACCCCAAGACGAAAACCGTTCTAAAGGTTGTACGCACCTTGCGATGGACGATGCGATTTATGAAGGTCATTTGGAAGGGGTGAAATGACTGCACGAGAATAGGAGCGAAGGGTACTCCTCTAAGAACTCGATTGAAATGGCTGCATACCTTGGGCATCTCGACGTGGTTTGCTGGTTCGACGCGAACGTCAGAAAGTCGACTGTGCTGCGCGATGCTGCTGCAAATGGTCATCCGGAGCTTTTTTTATCAAGTCGTCACGACATTTTCTGAGTCGGTTGCGCCCACAACGAGGATGGAAATGTGTCAAGTCTGCTTCTTCTCAACCCTCAAAGATCGCGAGACCGATATTTTGTAAGCTCAACTTTTACATGATGAAATCGGTGGAGATATAGCGAAATTGCTGGACAAGCTTCACGAGAACGGAGTAACCGAGTGCGTGTGTGCGATGCTTGAGCCGGCGCTGAAGCTGGGATTTATTACGGTGGTGCGGCAATTTTTGAAACAGCGAAGTGACCATGAACTACGCGAAAATTATATGGTATTTCGCTGCACGAACTTGATGAGGTGGCTGCTAAAAAACGGACCACCGCTGGACGTTGCTACAGCTATCTGTCTAACTGGAAGCAATGAATGTCGTGAGGGTACGTGGTGGCTATCGGAGAGTGATCGAGTTGAGGTAATCCACAAGGCATTACAGCAATCCTGGCGACAATTAGCTCTGTGGATTCTTGAAAAATCACGCCTCATAATCCGCAGTGCCGTCCAAACTGCCACGTTGGTGGATTCACAATGGATCAATGAAAATTTGCGCAGTACAAGCGTACATGGTTGGATCTTCGACTAAAATACGAGCTGTGTTTGAGGTATTCGGTCGATATAGCTAACACAAATAAGATAAGAGACATCACATAATTCTTGGAGCCTAGACAGCATTGAGCATGCTGCCTTGTTCTTCTTTATTTCTTTATCTTAGATAGTACACCCACCCTCCCAATAAATACAACAAGGACCGAACCGCTTAATAGCCTGCACCGTTCCTTCATTCAACGGAGTATTTAGCGATCAATTTGAATCCAGTAGAATGAATATCGAGGCGAAATCAGCCCCCTCACCCCTTTTTTAGTCCAAAGCCTACTATGCGTGGTTATTCCGTCCCTGAAGCGTACTCTGTACTTTTCGATGATGACGAAAGAACTTGCTAGTTCACGTCCTGTCGGTCTGATAGCGATTTCTGGCGGCCAGAGACGTCGATCGGCTACTTTCGCAGACTAAATCGCTCTACACGAGAAACCATGCCGACATCGTCTCACTGGTTAAGGCCATCACCAGCCCGGGTCGTATACCGTAAATGTCTGGCACTATGCCCTGGCTCGTTGCCTCACGCGGCAATTGTCATCGACGAGTATCGAATTGACTATTTAGACCAGAAAGTGGTTCAAGAATCATGCCAACACGACGCCCCAGTCTCAACTTCAGCTAATTATCTCACAAATCAATTTGGCAGACAACATGCACGGTATATCTCCGGAATTGTTATCGCCAGCAAACATTATCTGTGGCAAATATGTCGTCCATATTTGCCGGTGACGGGTTATGAATTGCGACACCAGAACATTGACAGTATTTGCGTGACTTCAATCTATGATATCAGAAATATTTCGGAATTTTATTGCCGCCAGTCAGTCTGTTAATCACTATATTTCAATCAGTCACTCATAAGAAGGGAGGACCCTGGGCTTCACTACCACTTCTCGTCCAACATGCGCTGGGTCTGGCCGAATCGAGCTCGAATCATCTGCAGTAAATGCCTGCCAGCATCGTTGGCGCACGTCGTCTTTCTGATCAATGCGTACCTGATCTCGAACCTGGACCAGAAAGTACTCGAAGCAGCCTGCGAACACGGCTCTCCACTTCACCTTCTCGAGTTCATTTTCGATCGGACGGCGCCTAACTGGAAGGCGGTGGTGGATGCGGCTGCCCGGGGTAGCCACAGGCATGTTTTCGAGTGGATGATGGAACGGCGAGATGGTCGGGGGCCTTGGAAATCTGACTTTAAGAGCTGTCTCGAAGAGGCCGCGGCACATGGCCATTTTGAGCTGATGAAGTGGCTCCACGACCAAGGCGCTGGGGTTTATGACGACTCGGTGTTTTACTTTGCTGGTATCAACGGCCATCTAGGCATCGTGCGATGGCTACATGAACGCACCGATGCTACTTATGAGGAGGATACAATCTGTGGCGTTGTGAGAAACGGACATTTGGAAATGGTAAAATGGCTATATGAACGTTTCGAGAGTGCTCGTTCCGAGTTCGCGATAATTTTCGCGGCGAAATGCGGGCGTCTACATATTGTACAATGGCTCCACGAACGCACAAGTTGCTCTGAAGCGTGTCCCTCCGATCTAAATGATAAAGCGGCCTTTGGTGGGCATTTGGACGTTGCCCAGTGGCTGTTTGAGCACTGTAGAAACCAATGTCCGAGCTATGCTGCGCGTAGTGCGTCCGAAAATGGGCACTTACCGATGCTGCAGTGGCTCAATGACCACTTTCCGTCCATATTTGATACGGGCGCAATGGATGAAGCGGCCGGTGGTGGTCACCTCGAAGTAGTACAGTGGTTGCACGAGCACCGCTCGGAGGGCTGTACAACAAAAGCGATGGATGCAGCCGCGAAGAATGGCCACCTCCAAGTCGTGCAGTGGCTACACACCAACCGCTCCGAAGATTGTACGGCAGAGGCTATGAATCGGGCTTCCCAAAAGGGGCACCTAAAAATTGTGCGCTGGCTGGGTAAAAATCGACCTGAAGGTTGCACTAAATGGGCCTTCAGTTGCGCAGCGTCCAGTGGTGATCTGGAGATGTTACAGTCGTTAAATGAGAACGTGCTGGAGGTGTTTAACGACAGGATGATGGAAGATGCTGCCTGGGGAGGGCATTTAAAAGTAGTGACCTACCTTGGCGAAAACTTAGGGCAGCGAGATTCGGATTGGGGGCTTGCTGCTCATGTAAAGCAAGGGCGCATGGGACTCCTTCTCGAGCTGATCAACCACTACCGACATGACTACTTGGTAAATCCCAGGGCGCAGGGTTCAAGCAGACGGTGTTTTAAGGGGATGTTGAAGCAGCTTTCCGACCAGAACGCATCTCGTGCATCTTCATTGTGGCGTGAAATACTGGAGTCGCTGGAGGCATTCCACTCGAAAGGGTTTGATACCTGTGTGAGCCTCATGCTGAGCCATGCATTACAACGAGGATACGCAACGATGGTTCGACAATTTTTCATGCTTCGGAACGCGCAGGAAAAGCACCAATATATTACTGCTGCCGTGGCAAAGGGCAAAATGGTACTGCTTAGATGAATACTCGAGAACGCAGTAACTGCGAATGTCCCTCTTGCAGTCTTCCCCGTTTTATCATACCCGGACTACGTTGAGGTGGCTGGGTGGACGTCGGAAAAGGATCGTGTGGAGTTTGTACTGAAAGCGCTCGACCAGACAAAGTACGGTCCGTGGCTATTGTGGGTGCTTGAAAATACAAGTTTTCAGGACGACAGCTCTCGCGCTACTATCTGCAGCGCTATTAGTCGGCGAAGGGACGGTACAGTAGAGTGGTTTTCTAGAAATCTGACCAAACCGGAGGTTCGCAGTTGGTGCCTTCCTGCAAAGAGGAAACAACAAGCTGGCAGTCAGATGGGGGCAACCAAGCGGGGTCGTGTTATATTTGATGATATTTTTTTGAAAAAGACATAAATCGCTGACTTCTTTAAGTAGCGTTAGGGCTGTTTTCAACTTTTGGTTTTGGTTTTGGTCTAAGAAGAAGAAGAAAAAATGGTTAAAGGCGGTTGTGCATATGACAGCGGTCTCGACGACGCTCTCTCGCTTGAGCGCGGCGGGCCAATATGGAATTGGATGGCAATTGGTCTCCACTTCGTTGTGAGCGAGCAGAATTTGCTATCACGAGCTTTCTTCTGTTTTTGATTGCGCTCTGTGGGCGGCGAACATGTAGCAGAAGTTGCAAGCGCTGGACTGAGTTGTTCTGCCCGCGGCGCATGCTCTACGAGATCCCGGTACTTATCTTGCTGCAAAGCCAGAAAGAGGTATGGATAGAGGGAGTCGAAACTGTTTAAAATGTTGTATTGCTGAATCAAGAGGGAAAAAGGCTCGTGATAGATTCAAATTATCGTTTTGTGATAAACACTGACGCATATGGTGCTTCAAACCTCACCAATCTAAAAAAAAGAAAACGTTCGCGCAAAGATGCACGCTGATGTACGCAATTTTGCAACATGTACACTCTAAGTCCATCGTCTCCTCTTGATGAGGTTTCATCCTCTAATTCCAACTTGATAGAAATGCACACGGATGTTTTTCATACAGCCACTCAGATGTGTCATTTTACTTCGCTGTTGGATGCCAATCGCGAGACGAGCTGCTGTACAGTTTTCAGATTATATCGACTGATTGATGTATTTGGCCAATTCGTTCTTAATCGCTCACCATACTTCATCCATTCCGCATTAGTCAAACGGAAACATTCCCTCGGTATCGACTGTTATTTAGGCGGATTCATGGAGGGTTCGCCTGACTCTGCATGGCCCTCGCCATCTCACTGGTCGTGGACCTTACCAGCTCACATTGGGTGCCGCAGCAGCTTCCCTGTGATGTACGGCTCGTTCCCGCACATTGAGCTTCTGATCAATGAGTACCTAGTTGATCATCTGGAACAGAAAGTGCTCCAAGCTGCGTCTGAAAATGGTGCTCCACTGCACGTTCTCGAGTTCATCATTACACGGATGACGCCTTCGTGGGAGGAGGTAATCAAAGCGGCAGCGAGAGGTGGTCATGTCCATGTGTTCAAGTGGATCCTGATGGAACGCCGAGACGGCGGTGGACCCTGGGGGACAGACTTTGGGGAATGTTTGAACGAAGCTGCTGCCCATGGCCATCTTGAGCTCGTCAAGTGGCTCCACACACGCCGGATAGGCACCTGCAACAACTCGGTGTTCTGCAGAGCTGTTGTGAATGGCCATCTCAAAGTCGCCCAGTGGCTGCACCAACACACTGACGCTACTTATCGGGAAGGAGCAATATCTATCGTTGTGCAGCGCGGTCATTTCGAGGTGGCGCAATGGTTGTATGAAACCTTCGAGAAGGCTCGAACGGTCTATGCGATGACTACTGCGGCGAGATACGGGCATCTCGAAATGCTGAGATGGCTCCACCAACGCACAAATTGTGCAGAAGCGTGCACCCCGGGTATTATGAATGCAGCGGTCGGTGGCGGGCATTTCAACGTGGTCAAATGGTTGTTTGAAAACTGTTGCAAGGGCTGCTCTAAAGATGCTGCAGAGTATGCCGCTAGCAATGGGGATTTAGTGATGTTGCAGTGGCTACACGAACATTTCAGCACGCAGTTTGATTCGAGTGCAATGGACGAAGCAGCCGGAGAAGGACACCTCGAAATTGTCAAGTGGTTGCATGAACACCGAGCCGAGGGATGTACGACAAGGGCGATGGATACAGCAGCGGCTCACGGCCATCTACAAGTCGTGCAGTGGCTACATACCAATCGAAGCGAGGGCTGTACGGTAAAAGCCATGAGCTGGGCCGTGGAATTCGGCAACCTCGACGTTGTCCGGTGGCTGCACGACAACCGATCAGAAGGTTGCCGAGACTCTGTGATGTACTTGGCTGCCCGCGAGGGGTATTTGGATGTGGTGAAGTGGTGTAATGAGACTGAAATTGGCAGGGATAGTGAGAGTTTGGCAGGTGCTGCTTGGGAAGGCCATTTAGATGTTGTTTGTTACCTCGCTGCGGTTAGAACGCAGCGTGGTTCTGGATGGGGTCTCGGCACTGCTGCTACACGGGGTCACTTGCAAGTTCTTCTCGTGTTGGCACGACACTGCTACACCCAAAGTTCGTTAAGGAAGTGGTGGGTCCACCGTGCGGCCTGGAACTTTTTCAACAAAACCCTAAGTCGGCTATCGGACCAGTCGTCGTCGCCTGCGTCTTCATCGTGGCGCGAAGTGCTAGAATCGGTGGAACAATTTCACGCTGGCGGGTTTCATTCGTGTGTGAGTATTATGATGGAGATAGCGCTGCAACGAGGATACTCGAAAATGGTTCGACAATTCTTCGAGCTTCGAGACGAGCAAGAGAAGCGAAAATACGTTTCAGTTGCTGCTCAACCACCACTATGTAGGATGCTGCTCGTGAGATGGCTGATAGAGAACGGTGCGCCGTTAGATGTCGCTACCGCTATCGAAATTGGCACAAAGCGCAGTTACGCCCAGAACGTCGAGGTGGCGTGGTGGTTGTCGGAGAGGGATCGCGTTGCGCTCGTGTTGGGAGGGCTCAGCAAGAATAAGTACCGCAAATTGCTGTTGTGGGTGCTGGAACACACTGCTTTCAAGGACGCGAGCTCTCGTGCTACTATTGGTGACGCTGTCAAGCAGCGAAATTATGGCACGGCTGAGTGGCTGTCTGAACAGGTTGTCAACCCCGAGGTTCGTACTTGGTGCCTCCCTGCGGAGGAGGAATCAGAGGAAGGCAGACCCTCCAAGAGAAGACGGCAAAAAGTCAAGTAGCCTCTTCTACTTTGACGTGGTCGCGGTTGTCTTCGGAGTTACGGCGTGGGACTTGGCCACCTGCAGCTATTCAAAGCTGTGACCGTATTCAGATACTCGCAAAAGTGCCCGCAGCTGCCGCAGTCATCATGCTCGAATGAAACGTTTACTTTTCTTGTTTAGCATCGATCTTCAGTGACTTGGCTATCGATAGAGTCTGCGTATTAAGTTGAAGCTGCTACGGACGACCTTGACCAGATCAAGAACGAGCGCCTCGACTTGGTTGCTCTCCAGTCTGTTACCAAGTTCGACTTATACTGGGATAGGAAGCAACGTTAGTGCTGCTATCGATTATACTGGGGACATCCGAAGAATAAGGGGGTGGACAGCTCCCAACGGATTAATTGGACGCGTAAGCGTAACTTGGCGCAACCTTCGCGGCACAGTTGGAGTAATGAATGTTGACCCAGCAACTTCAACGACTTCAACGGCAATGACAAGACAGTAGCACGCTTGGCGCGCGAGGTCTTAGATGTACTACGCGAGCAGTACGGTCTTGTCACTAATATGGAATTTCTTCTTAGTAAAAGAGCGTCTCGCTCATAACTAGGAGCCGGCGTACGAGTTACGTTAGGTAGCTCACAAATGGTAATGTTGCTATCGCTGTATAATATAGCTATATATTTATTATATTGTTAAAATTAAAGCGTTAACTTTTGCTTGCCCTTCCATTGCTCAAACGCTAATGTTTCTCCATCGAGTGCGTACGGCGGCAGTTCGATAAACCCAATAAGCCGCTGCATCTGGTGCCTACACAAAGTTACGTTGGTCTATCAGTGTGAGAAGACATTACCAAGGTGGCTTCATGTTAAACATCAATCGTGTAGAGGCAGAGTATGACTTTTGGCCTAACCTACCCTCTTCTTGAACACGATGATACTAGTCCATCTACACAAACAATGCATTTTAGAGGCACCGATAAATGAAATTACGTACCCAAACTAGCGTAGAGGTCGACACTGTCTTTTGTTACGTGCGCCAACGACAGCAACTTTGCACGACACTCACACGCTGACGATAGCAAAAGTGACGATTGCAATCCGGTTCGGTTCACCGCCTCGTACATTCAGCTATCCCGGATCTGGAGTTTGGTGAATGTCACTCATCGAGCTTTCAACAGTCAAGTTCCCCCTCCCCCCGCCATTTAAAAAATGGTCGTTTATTCAGAGCGAGAGGTCACTCATCGAGCTTTCAACAGTCAAATCCCCCCCCATGCATGGCCGTTTATTCAGGGCGAGTGCCCCAATGTTTTTTTTTTTAATTTGATCGAACCGTACATTATTCGAGTGATTTTCTGGAAAGTGAGAGAACCATGAAGGCATAATAACAAAACGTGAAGTCGCACCCTGTCCATCAAAAGGCGCAACACGATTGATGTTTAGCGCTAAGACTATACTCTCACTCAGCTAATGTATTTTTCTATCGATATATTCTGATCGGTATACGCAAATTTTCGACAGAGGTTGCTTGAACATTCACCTGAAATACTATGCTCTTCTAGAGCACCTCCAGCAGAGGATGGGAGTATCACTTTAAGTCGGGGTACAGCTTGATTTGCTATTTGTGAGGATTCTCTTGTATATCGAAAATGGTTGGATCGAATTGGTCAGATCTGGTCTAGTGGCTTACTCAGACGAGAGATTCCTAAACTCTGAAATAAATTTCGCGACGTTCTTTTGCTAAACGGTAGACCCCCAAAGCTGATCCCATTGGTTAAGTGCTGCTGTTAAGGCGCAAGACACGCCTCTTTCGATTGATGCGGTTAAATCGCGATTCGTACATAGGTTGATTAGTAACAGCCGTCTCACTTATTTCCATGTTTCAAGCTGATAAAAACTTCACATACGCCTCTACTATATTTGACAAATAGCATTTGTTAGATTCGGACAACCGCGCACCATTTCTAGTACTTGCACATCCGAGCATCCCGACGTCATTTCGCTGAACGAGGCACACGAAGACTGACTTGTGAGGGACTACATCAGAAGTTACTGAACAAGAGATGTAACCAGCAGCATCCGCGCTGCAGCTAACAGTGCCGTGGCGTCTTTTGGGCGGCCCCTCACTATGCATCGTAAGTTTGCCCATGCCATTTTCCAGGGCCCCATCAACTTCAACATCTGTCGATTTCTCATGGTTACAAAGCCGTTTACTGTTAGGCCATTTCAAACTGATAAAACGGTTTTGATTCGAATCAAATAGCAAACTGATCTGTGGAACTATTGTTGGCAATGTAGTTTGCAGCTTCCACTTTGGCGTGCTGGGCGCAGTATGTACGCGATGTGTCGCTCGAGGTCCGCAATCCAACGTGGAAGTCTACAGACCATACAAGTTGTATCTTTTGTAGACATCCATGTTATGATAGAACTTGTTTTATGAAGCGAATAATTACTCGACTCATGAGCTGGAACATGAATGGTAGAGGCGGATAGTAGAAGATTAGATCGATGAGAATGTTTTGCTGGACGAGTCGAGAGTCTCGTTTGTCTAATGTTAGGCTTATGAGAACAGCTTATACAGTTCGTTAGTGTATTGTCAAAAGCATGAGCGTGTTTGGGGAGTGCAACATGTGCAATACAAGATCTGCCATGTCCACAAGCGGATCAGCTTCATCGCGCTGGACCAATAGCCCACCCAGCGCAAGATCACGTCTTGCACAAAGTGCGTTGAAAAACAAAACAAAACAAAACACATTTCAGTCGAAGTCGCTCACGATTCTGGGGGCGTGCCAAACGCGGCACAATGATGACGAAGTTGCATTGTAGCACCACCACTGCCGGAGTATCCGGGCGTGGGGGATGCCCCTAAACTTGATGCAATGCGGGCTTCTGCAGCATTTGCGACGCCATCCGCGATGTCAACTGCCCACTTATGCGCGTGTATCGTTCGACTGCGTCGGACTTCCATCTCCCAAACAGCTTCACTGCCAGACTATCAAAACCAGCATTAAACAGCGCCGTAGCGCTGCCACTTCGAAGGGAGTGCGAGGCGTAGTCTTGCGGATTATGGCCAGCTCGACCAGCAGCAGGCTTTATCGCTCTTACCACGTCGGATACTTGCAAATTGTGAGATGCATCCACCTTGCACAGTAACTCGCCCGCATCAATACGAAGCACCTCGTGGTGACGAACTAGGTACCATGCTGCTAGTACAGGGCAACATCACCGATGCCCTGATCTCGCCAATTCTCGAGAAGTACCCTTGCCAAATTGGTCGGATTTACTCCCTCGAAATTGTAGAATCACCGAAGTCACATCATGAAGGTTTCGGGTCTCGTGGCCTCTAGCATCCACAAATTTGACGTCCGCTCTCCGAATTGCGTAGTCGTGCATCCTTGAACCTTGAGCCAAATATTCGGATCTTCTCAAAAGAAAGAAGAAGCCCAGCACCGAAGCCTCCCCCAAATGACCCGGTGCTGGGCAACTGCGAAATCGAGGAGCTCATGAGGCACTTGAGGATTGCGCTTGTAACGGGAGATTTTGGCTTGCTTGATGGGTCTTTCCGCCGCATTCCGGTGATAGCGAGTTGGTGGCCCGGCAAAAGTCCGACGTTGTAACCAAGGGTTCGCCTATGATGCCACGCAATATGGCTGACTTTAGAGAGCACGGTCGAGGCAGAATTCCCCGATCCCGATTTTCCCCAGCCATATTTCCAGCAGTACGTGGCGAAAAGGGCGAGCTGGTACGAATGTTGCCGGCGGTCTTCTGGCAGCCATTTTGCGAATTGAAGCCGCTCACACCATCTACACCACTGTGTCCATGTGCTTGCATACTTGATCTTGGACGTCGTGGCCAGTGACACGGACTGAAGAGATTCGAGAAGTCGATGTAAATTTTCCTGCATTCTTGTGGAACTTGTGTCTGCACCCAACACGAAGAAAAATTAGTCCATCGAGCAATGTAAGGTTCGGTCCAAGCTCGCGAAGCTGCATCAGCCATCCAATTGGCCAATCCTGGAATATGATCCGCCGATACTCGAAGGTTGAAATACACTTCAGCCAGACCAATCGCCCGATTTATTTCTTGGCTGAACGCGTTGTTGGAGTGCATCCGATTGCACCAACTCACAGCTGCGGCATTGTCACTCCAACACTTGACATGAATTGTGCGTCCGTTCGCTTGTGCGCTCCACTTTGAACCCCACGACCACAACGCGATGGCAATGCACAAGTGTTCCCTGACATTGATTGAAAACTCGTCATGGCCGCTACCAACTTTGTCGATGAGCAATTTCTCTTCGTCATCAAACTGAATCTGTATATATGACTCGCAGGCGGGATCAAGCACGGCTTGCCCAAGGTTGGACGCGTCCATATACAGCTCCACGTCCGGTGCCGACAGCTCGCCAAACATCGCAAGCGGGAATTCAGCAAAACAACCATGCATTAAAATGTGCCGAAACCACACGAGATCTGTTTTGGCCCCTGCTGTAAGTTTAATTCTGCCGAACCGTGGTGCTGATGTACACAGTGTCTGCAATCGTTGGTAAAAAGGCTTGGCTGTTGGCAGACAATTAGCCACGTGGCGAAGAGAACCCAGTAGCTTGTACAGTTCGGATTTTGACGCTGTGCCGCGTTGCTCCACCGCACTGGCGCGAGCACGAGCTTTAGCGATCTTCTCTTCTGGTATCGATACGGTGCGGCGCTCGGTGTTCCATACTAGACCCAGAACAACAACTTCCACACTCCATTCCGAAAATGTTGCCTCATTGATCGAACGGGGTCCTAAGACAGCCAACATAGCGTGTCGTAAAGTAGCTTCAGCGAGTTCTAACCTGTTCTGGACATCCGGTTCGACCAAGACATGGTCATCTACCCACTCGTAAGGAAAAAATGGGTTCGTGTCGCTCGAGTCGGACACCGCTGCAGGTGAATTCTGCCCATTAGCCACGTGATGGCACGGCCAAAGAGTGCGTAGCAGGGGGGCGAACCTGACCAGCCAAATGGTGCCGCCATATCGACGACGAGAATGCCGAGTTCTTTCACATATGCCGCCATTCTGAAAACCTGGTTTGCGCGTGTTCTTAAGTGGCGAAAGGCACTCTTGACATCTCCCTTGAGGACGCGTATCCGGCCTGCATGCCCTGCTTTTGCTAAACTGCCGATGCGCCGTGCGATAACTACCACTGACTCGTATCTCACTTTGGGCACCGACTCGACAATAAATGCAGCGTTTACACAATCGTCTTTTGGGTAGGATAAGTCGTGAATTGTGCGCACTTCCTCCATCGGGTCCACATCCTTCTTCTCAACAGCACCGAGCGGACTGCAGATTAGTTCTGGCCACCGCTCAATGATATCAGCAACAACTATCGAATATTGACCGGAGTCTTGGCCATCCCGAATGCTTCTTGTGACAGCACGTAGGTAAGGTCGGCAGGAACCATGGTTCTTCGGTGGTGGCCGCGTCTCCACCCCACGTCGATGCCCTTCTCAGCAATTTCAACGAGTAGATCGAGATGTTGATAGCCGTTAAGAACGGTCCGCAGCCGGACAGGATCGATGGCTTTGTTCGGTCTGCTGTCTACGCTATCTTCACCCCGCACAAATCGCGTAGCCTCTTCCAGGGACATATTGTGCGTGCGAATTACGGTGGATAGAGACTTGCAGGCTACTTCGTCAATTGCGTAGACAGGAGATGCGGGTCGCTTTGCACTAACGAACCCCCGTTTGCGGTGCAGGACGGAAATTCGAGCTTCGGCCCGAAGTAAATCCGCTTCCAAACATGATTGAATCTCTCGCGCCGAATCCAATGACAGACTAATGTGGGCGTGACTGCAACACCTCAACCGACAAACGCTTGCACCCTCCACCGGCAACTGCTGCGACCCAAGTGATTTTGAACGCAAGTCAGCTACCCGGGTGCAGGATACCTTGCCGGTCTCGCTCCTTGCGTCTGCCTCTGTGTCATAATAAGGCCTCGATTGACGACTCTCTGTGCAACCAGCAGCCATTGGCGCTGTCGGATTTACCGCAGATCCCGCCGACTGCGCACAAATTACCTCGCCAATCTTGCTCGTTGTTGTGGGTACCCTAATTGAGTCGCGTGGGGGCCTTGATTGCACGCGTAATCTAGACTGGTCCAACACCGTCTGAGATCCATCACTTGAATTGATTGTGTTAACGCAGTTTGCTACTTGACCTCGCGCCACCCTATCGGCTTTGCATGACACCGCCGACGGTCGGTCGTTTTGCGTTCGTGATGGATACATTGCCAGACCAGTCTGAACGAGTCATAACTCTTTGTGCTCGTCCTTCAGCCCACCAAAGCGCCTGTCAATCTCTTTTTTCACGATCGCGGGTAGCGGCTTGGGAACGAAATGCCCATGCTCGCTGGGACAACCGCCATCACTGTCCACCGCACAACCCGCCGCTGTGAGAAAACGCATGCACAGTCGTCGCGACTTTCCTGATGCGGGGTCGTTCTGCACTGGTAATTTGCGAAGTACTTCCTTAGGGATTCGCCCAAATCGCTTCTTACCGTCGTGGTTGCGGCCGTTGCGGAGCTGGGATCCTTGTTCAACGTGGCCCTCAAGGCGTGCTGGTCCCGACATCATCTCGTGGCGTACATCCTGCACTTGCCGATGCACCTTTATAAACATCACATCTTTGAGCAACCGGTCATCGGTCGTACAACGTTGCTGTACGGCTCGAAGCTCACCACCTTCCTCAGCTGCTGTACGCAAATCCTCGAGAACGTCATTTACCCAGAAAACTAAGCTAGAAATCTCTTTTGGCGTCCACGATACCTGCGATAGCGTGTGTTCGGTGAACTTCACGATGGTCTCAACCAATTCGACCAGTTCAGCACAGCAAAACTCGCGAGCATAGGTGAGGAAAACCCTGGCAGAGTCCACAACATCTTCGATGCGCGATGCCGGCGATGCCGCCGAGAATTCTGCAGTTGCGGACAAATTGTCAAAGTTTGAACCACCGGCCTCCAACCAAGCCACCCGCTCATCCCTCGATAGTCTTGCAAAGTGTCGAATCGAAAGACCACCAGAACCGAAACGAATATCATAGGCCCGCGTACAAATTCCAGGTACGGCTTTGAACTCCACGTGCTCGGACCGAACTAAACCTCTGCAAAACACATTGGCAGACTTACCTTTGTGCTTCTCCGTTGTTATGCGCTCGTGAACTAATTCCTGCTCCTCGGACGGTGCAAATGCGTACTTAGACGACTTCTTTCCCCTTGTCGTAGGGAAAGGCTTCTGTACGTGAGTACGCATGGTACCACCACCCTCCGCCGGCTGCGCTTTGACGTTGGCCTCCTTCCTAATCATCATGAAACGCTCGAGAAGGTCCGGTTCGTCGCTTATTTTTGCGATAATCAACGCGTCTTGATCAATAGCGGTTTGAACTCGTTGTCGCTTGGAGGGGACGTGGCCATCGTCGCCGTTGGCAACCGTGACCTCTTGCTGTCGTTTTGTCACGTGTTGTGTGGTAGTGTTTGCCCGACCAACTTCAGCACCGCGTTCCGATTCGTCTTGGGGCGAGTCATCGTCGTATGGAAACAGGTCAAAGAGCTCTTCCACGTCCTGAACCGAGCCGCGCGACAAAGTGGGCTTGCTCCGAAGCGGTTGGGGCGTTGGTGGTTTGCAAAATGAGTTGCCTACGCTGCGTGGTACTGGTGACACCCCTCCGCCGACGTAAGAAGCGAAATTTATAGCGTGCTGGAGTGGAAAATGAGCTTCCTCTCCTGTTCTTGGGTCGATCCACTGACACACCTTGTCACCACTAGGGTGATTTTCCTCACTCATCAAACCTTCCAGTATCTCGGACACTTGATTTGAAGCAGAACTACCGCCGGTACCGAGCAGCCGACTCAGAATTGACTGCTCCATCGCCTCTAGGTCAATAGGACTCCACTCGTCGCTTCTGAACTCGACGTCTTCAAGCAACAGAACAATCACTGGTGGCACCACTGACACTGCAGCTGCCGCTGCCACAAATTCATGACCACCGGATCGGATCGTGACACTGCTCTGGTCGACCGAGGTCACTTGTCCATACTGAGCCTCTCCAGCTAAACTGACGGGTCGTCGGAGCAACGAGATGTGACCGGCCTGGGAAACTTCACTGGCCCGAACCACGTGGTCTTCGGCGACGGCATGATCCAGTTTCCCTTCGCCTCCTTCCAAGCTGCGAAACGTCACCTCCTCCGAGTCTAGCTGTAAGACCTTAGCATAAAACGGATGCTCTGCTTCGAACTCCACCACTTCAGGTGTCAAGTGAAGGAAGGAGCGGCTTGTAAGTCTCACCATGACCGGAGTGCTGAAGGCTGAAAGCTAAAGCAGGAGGGCTTAAGCGGCAGACGGAGATTCTGAAACTAACGCTACGACATCTACGACTGCTCCTAGCACTTGAGCGTTGGTTTCATCTCTGCTTTCTCTCCTCAAAAGCTATTTTCACCTTGAACTTGAAAATATCCAGGAGCTTGCTCAGAGCCAAAACGAGAAATCAAGGGTGATTTCGAGGGTAACTTAGTCTGCAGCAACTGCGTGTTGTCTGCGACTGACAGTGAGTAATGAAGTCATGACTATTCGAAGAGACCCGAGGGTTTCTGGGAAGGACTTTCATGCGTGCGGTTGTTGTAATTGGCTGAGGCCAATATTTGCAAACGGCGAACGACAACAGATTTCCCTGTGCCCCCGCCGCCGTGAACAAGGGTAAGCGTTTGCCTTTTCTACCCGTTTTCGTCAATGCCCGATAATATCCTCACCAGAATTTCATACTGCTCGTTCGACAGTTCGCAGGGCCCAATCAGTGTAACCCCATCGAGCGGCCCCAAAACACCCGCCGACGCGCGATCGGAATCTCCATCAATACCATCAAAACTATCAACTTCGTAAGTTTACAACTTTGACGCCACCTGCGCCATCGATTGGCCTTCGTCTTCGGTTGCTGAGTCTGGTAAAAAGACCGGAAGGCCATTTCAGGGCAGGTTTCTCCAGCTGGAGAAATCTCGCCCCCCCCCCCCCCCCTCCGCCACCAAAAACTGCCGAAAGTGTGTGCGTGATTGCCGCGATGTCAGCACGCCACCTCGAAGACCCGGTCGCGGCACGAACTAACAATTCATAAGTATCGGTTTCCGTTGGAAGCATTCCCTCAAACTCAGCGTCACCTCCGCCACTATCCCCGCGAGGCGGTAAACTCGGTTCAGCTCTAGGCTTCTTCCAGTAATCCACGCCACGGTTCCTCCAATCCGTTGCAATTCGCTCGTTCCTACTATTCCGATACCCTTTCATCATCACGTTCCGAATATGCCGGTAACGCTGTTTGTTTTGGAGCGTAGCATCGAAACGATCCCAAGCATCACACAACTGAAGCACGCCGGAAGCATCATAAGACCAGGTGGGCCCATCCGACACCCACGGAGTAAATTCACATAACAGGTACCTTGCTAGAGTGTCGCGCTTTACCTCACCGTTGTCGCCGGCGACGATATTCGTCCACGTCGGAGGCGCCCCCCCCCCCCCCCCCAAGAACAGGTGTGAGCATTTTTGCTCGGATATAACCACGGTGCGATTGGAAAAGGGGGTGCAAAGGCGAAAACGGAAACCCCACACGAGCAGGGCGACCACGACTCGGGGCTTGACAAGCAACACTTGGCTTTCCCGGTAAAACATCTACAATGCATTCAAATTCGGCCGGTGAAAACTCTGCAAAATCCTCGCCACTGTGATAATACGACTGAGTATGTGCCACGAACACCACCTTTCCATCAACTGTAAACGCCCTTGCGCCGCCCCCAACACATTTAGATGACAAGGTCGGTAAAGAAAAGTCTTCCTCGTTGGTCTAGTTCGCGAGAGCCGCAAGTTCCTCCTCGGCGGTGCGAAGAGAAGTATTTGCAGGCACCGCTACATCCTCCGGAGCCTCGCGCAGTTGCTTTACAAACGCCAGTAAAGCGAACGGAAAGATATACCAAACGCATCGCTCGAAATGAACGAGCGGTAGCCCGTTATCGCGTACACCATTAACGCATGGGACCACTCATGGGCGCCGAAAAAGCTGTTCACTGTCCGGGCCGCTAAGTATTTACCAATTCGCAAGTTGGATTTCGAGTCTTCGGCCCGGCTCGGAAATTTGTTTTCGTATTCAATAGCGCCTAGCAGGGCCGTTGCAGCGCCTTTTAACGCGATCTGATTCTTAGCCATGTAGGCCTCTTGGTATTCCTCAACCATGTCCCCCGACGACTCGCCATTTATTACAGACGAATTTGTATGCGAGACAGTTAGCGTCGCAAGAACAAGATTGGTTTCGACAACCGAGGCATCCATTTGCGCCCTCTTCAATTCCCATACCACCGGGCCCTCATCATGCGACCGGAAGCACTGCCCCTTTTCAGTAGAGTATCCCGCATCAATTCCCTCACAAATGTGCGGAGGGAGGTTATGCCCTGTAACGATAGGGTATACTCCAGCCGCCATGTCTCCTACTCTCTCGCGGGTCACGATCAAGGGGCACGTACCACGATCGTGAACGCCGGCCGGCCGGGATAAACGACACTCGTACTTGCCGCGTATTCCTTTTAAGCAAGTTGATGTGTGAGAGTGGAAATTCGTGACCGAAGCGACCTTTTGCGCGGCCAGCAAAATACCAGCGGGGTCATCCAGAGCGTCCGGTACAGCGATTTCAAATGCCTTTGGGACACCGCCGTCGGCTTTGCAACGTTGACGCCACTCGTGTACAGATTGGTCAAACCCCGTGCAGCACACCGATTCAAGCCAATCCGCCGCCCGGCGACAAAGCCGCTCGGAACAGGCAATTCGGGACAGCAACCCTGGTGACAACTTGGACCCGTAAACACACATGTCAATGTGCAGGCGGCCATCAGCGTGCGGCTCGACGACAGCAGCGTGCGCAGCAACTGTTCCATATGCCCCGGGGCACCTCTGCAAATAGTCCCTGGATATCCTGGTATCAACCGAGCGTTTACATAGAATTATGTCGTTGTATATCTGCCGCACGCGGCGCTCAAATGCGCGAGCAACCAGGCCAGGGAAAGCGTTAGATATTATCAGCCTGCGGCGCGCACTCGATCTCACATTCTCCGGTAAATCGTTTCGGCAGCACTCCTTACGACCGAACACGCTCGTAAGCTGATTCCTCTCATTGGCTTGTCAGAGTTGCGCGATGCGATGCAACTCAAGGTCATAATGCTCGGGAGGGGCGACCGTCACCCAATGCAGAGGGACCCCATAGTGCGTCCTCATTGCTCCCAATTTCGGCCGCATCGCTGCCCGTTCAAACGGCGAGAACGGGGCACACCCGCCAATCAGAGAGAGTACCCTAAAGAGGTACGCACTGACCCGCTTCGCTTCGCGTGATTCCGGGTTCTGCTGCGAGCGTATGAGCAGCGCCTTGAATTCTTCAGAGTTTGATAAACTACCAAGCCGCGTTAAAACCGACGCGCGCGAAGAACCAATGCGAGCGGCCCTACGCACGGATGTGTGGCGCTGGAGCTGATTGAAAAGCGTAGCAACCAAGCGTGTATCTTTTTCAAAACGCCCATCATAGTAACGCATCAAGTGCCTCGTCAAAGATGCTGGCCAGGTACCACAGGGCAGGAACTTTCCCCCGCGCATAAACAATTGTGGAAACGCGGCAGCTATCATCTCCCCGTTTTCAGTCCATTCAGTAACAGGATCGGCCCCCCTGCGCACAACAACTGGCGCGGTCCCATCCTCGACACCACTCTCTGTGTCACCGTTTCCCCCGTCCTCCCGTCCCAACATTGATAGCGTAGCATCAACCGCCGCATTTGTTACTGATAGGTCGAATGCGTCCACGCTCTTAAGCGAGTTTTCGCCACTATGGTTTCATCGGTATCCCCACCCATATACTCGTCGCCATAGTGCTCAGCCATCATGCCGTCATCGACACGCCCGGCTTGTTCAGAAGTCATAATTTCCACCGACGCCTCGATCCGTTCTTCAAGTTCAACGAGGGCCTGTCTTGCCTCGGCAGACTCGTCGATACGGATATCATTGTCTTTGAAATATGAGTGAGTTTTCGACAAAACCCGCATCCACGCATACATATCATCCACCGGGAGCCGGTAAAGATTTTTGTAGTGTTTTCGTTTCACTCGCCAGTCGTCGTGAGGGCCAACAAACGTGACACTCGGAATGCAATCCCTAGACGTGCACGGCAAAACCTTGGAAACCTCAGCAGACCCGTCGACGGAAAGCATATTGAATGACCGACGCTATGCTTACCCGACGCCGTAATTGCCAGCCCAAATGACCGCACGGGCGCTATACACTTGCTAGCAACATCATTGAGCTCCGGAAAGCACCCAACCGGCCCATAGTCATGCCCAGAAGCAATGCTATACTTTGACTTCCGAGGGTCTTCCGCACATTTCACACACAGAGGAATTGAACCCGGATCACGAACTAGATCAGGGTTCAAATGATACATCAAAGCGCCAGAGCGAAACACCTGAATGTGGTTATCAATTACACCCGCCCCTAAACCGGATACGGCTTCCATTTCATCCCCCGTTAGCAGGAAATGTGGATGAAGCCCCTCGCGCGGGATGAACGCAACACTGTCCTCCACGGTATTAAGAATTTCACAGCATGAAGCGCAAGCCCAGAGATCCCCCGATTCGCCCGAACTTTTCGCCACTCGTTCTTGGCAACGATGGATATCGCCAGCGCTGACGGGATTATCCAGTACCTGCATCAGCCGCTCGACGGTAGCCTCGCCAGCCTCGCCCTCCAAGCTCTCGTCGTTGAATACACACGCGTCAGGGTCGGCGGAACAACAGTGGTAGTACGGTAGTGCTAGTCGGGGATGCTACATAAAATGGCGGCTAAGAATTCCCAGCTCTTACTTTGGACTGTTGTCGCCCGGTCAATCAACAATTGGAGCTTATTGTTGTCCTCAGTGCAGCTATTATCAGTTGCATGGCACCTCTATCGCCGCGCCTTCTTCCTTCCGGCACCTGCAGGCTCAGCTGCTGGTAAACTGCGCTTCATTCCCCTCACACTTGCCAGTGTACCATCGGCGCCGTCAGCCATATCAAACCCGCGCCAATCACGAGCAGCATTCGAAAGGACCAACTCATCCACGTGATCGGGAAAACCCCCCGGAATATAGTGGTTTCTGCTGCCAAACGAAACGCTTTCCGTAATGTTCGCGGCAGCACAGTGATTGATAGCTAAAGGCCCCTCGCTTGCAAGCCCCTCATTCCCTGAGTAGCCCTCTGGGTAAACCCCAAAAATTCCATCGACCGATTGCACGACAATTGGACGCCCCAACATTAATGCCATCGTGCTAATGGGAATCGCCCCCGAGCATTGCGCATACTGATTTGGCATCACCACCAAGTCCCCAGCATAAAGTGGGCCTTTGCCCAAGTCATCACTTATACGCCCTTCTTCAAGAAAACGAACTACTTCAACTGCCACTTTCACCCGCATGTGAAATACATGGGCCGACGACGAGACGCCAAACGGAGTCGACACACCAGCGACTGATACCGCCGACCACACCACATGATACAAGCAGTTGCCACACGCCGGGACATCAAAGCCAAACAACCCGACAGTCATATTACTCAACAGCTCGCCGTCGCATGGAAGGGATACCCATCCTTCTTCCCTTGCACCCACCGAGGCGCGGGGCTGCGACAGCGCCCGGTTCACCGCCCGAGACTCCCACAGCTCGAACACCGACTCCGCCGTAATCAGCTTTCACTACAATTTTCTTTGTTCCACCGCTAAGAACACGGACGTCCTAACCCATCAACCACGAAGCTCTCTAGTCGCCGCATACTTCGAACTTTCTTACACTCGTCTATGGCAATGCAACCACAACTGACAAAGCACGACTTTACGTGAGCGGTCGCATAATAGCAATAGTGTACAATCCTGAGAAGCCGACGAATATAATTTCTGTTACATCTAGCCGGCACCGTTACAAGTCCATGAATATCACTTATGTCACATCTAGCCAAAACAAATCAAAAATGCGGCCGTGCTCCTGCTGGAGCCCATCTTCGCGAACTCCAACACCTCCATGGCTGGCGCGGGCGACTCGCTACGCCCCTCACCGCTGCGTCTACGCAGCTTCAACCCGTCCATGTGCACGACACCCCGCGGACTTCACCACGCCCACGCAGCACCTCCAGGACGGACGCTACTACACGCCGCTGACGGCCCCGTTCAGACGTGATGCTACTGCAGCTATGCCCGCAAATATGGCCGGTAGATTTGAAGTACACCGAGAGCGTGGCAGGCTGTCGCGAGTGCAGCGACGCGTTGAGGCTCCCGCCCTTCGAAGCATACAGTACACCCCGCTCGGCCCAGAAGTCAATGCTTAGCCCCGCGCAGGGGCCACGGCCGCACCGCACCGCGAGAAACCACGACAGCGTCAATGCAGCAAAACAAACAACCATCGCTGTGCGAGGGACCGGAAGGGCACGAAGCTGCGACGCCCAGCCAAGTCCCAAGAAATCCCCCTGAGCACATCATCCAAGAGCTTTTGAGGGAGTATGACCCCAAAATCCCGCGCTAAACTTCAAGAAAAGCTCGTAGAGACTTCCCGGGCCGGAAGCCGAAACATGTAGATCGTTCTATATTCCAATCATTTCCGCCCGGTGCTTTCCTCGAAAAGGGGTAGGGGGCGGACATAGTTTTTCCGGTCGCCCAGCCAAGTCCCAAAAATCCCCGCGAGTGCGCAACCTACGAACTCTTGAAGCGGTGAGACCCCAAATCCTGCGATACATTTAAGTGTTTACTTCAAAGAAAGCTCCCAGCGACAATGCATAGTAATACCCTAAAAGCTACTCACTCAAAATTGGCCAGCGCCCTTCCCGGGTTTTCCTCAAAAAGGGCGGGCGGGGGAGGGGCAGGCGACCTACTAAGCGCCGGGCTTCCCAGTTCAGCTTTTTCGGTCGCCACAGCAGCCAACCCCCCCCCCCCCCCCCCGTACTCACGGTAAAAAAACTCCGCTGCTGTGGTGCCGAGCTAGCTGGACTCGCCAAGCCGCACCCTGAACCGACCGAAACGGACGAAGCCACCAACGCCACCCCGCCAGCTACGTGGGCACATGCACGATTTGCGCTGCATCGCGATCCAAGTCGCACCCTAACTGCCCGCCGCCTTGCTCGCGTTACAACGATCGAGGTCGCCCACTACCTGCCTACCGCCGTGCTAACTGCTTGCTCGCCGGAGCGCTGGTATGCTATCCGTGGGCGCATCGAGCTGCATATACAATTGTACTATCTAGCCAGTTTTGGATTCTAAATGACAAAAATGATACTGAATTAAAAAAAAACAAGCCACCTTCACACTGTAGCATCGCACCCAACTCCTTGCGCACCATGCCCTCCCCACCATATCAATACTAGAGAGCGGTGTCGGGTCTCCACCGCGTATTCAGGGCCTCCGTCGTCGTACTTAACGTTTGCCTTTCATCTCTGGAACCGAATATTCTACTCAACCAGTTTGCCACTCCACCGAAAAAACCTCTACTTTTCCGTGAATTTCAAGAAACCATGCGATTTCTGAAATTATTAAACGGTTTCACTTGATTTCAGTATACTTTTACTTCATGTGCGCCACATATCAGGTGCATCGAATTAATCCTGGTTGGGCTGTCCATACTTCGTAGCCGAAGCACTACCAGGATAACCTTTTGGAGGCTACAGTGCGGCACCGGATTCATACCGGTGTAATAAATATTCTACCGGTTCGATTTGCCCACGCATATAAACCTTTTGGAGGGCCCAGTGCATCACTGGGGCCATACCGGTTTCAAGAAAATATATCGGTTAGATGTCAAGAGGGGTCATCGTTTGACTTGACGTACCACGGATATAATCCTATTTGGTCTGCGATAGCAGCACTAACGTTGCTTCCTATCCCAGTCAAACTTTTATTATGAAGTTTTAGAAATGGGTGACCCGTCAGCTAATCAAGCATTCGAGCAAAGAGGTTGATGTTATATTAATACTCTAATATATCAAAATGGCGCGGAAAGTGGTATCTCTGAAATAAATTTCAGAGAAAAGGAAAACCGAGAGGGGGGGGGGGTCCAGCTTTTCAACGAATGCGGTAGGCAAAAGCTTTTCAGGCTGCAAGGTACAGTCACTGAGCCGTGATAGAATGCGTGTCTCGACGCATTTACTATATGTAATACACGTAATAATGTAATATGTACTCGATGACGCGAGCGAGCAAGAAGCTCCCGTGTCCGAGCTTGACTTCATTCTCGCGAGATCCACTCCATCGTGACACGAGGAAGTCAAGTCTGCAACTGTGCAGTCGTATAACTCGGCCTGCAACGCTCCCGTGACGGTGTCGAACAAGCTGCTCCGTTGTATAGATCCAACTTCTTGAACGCATCGTTTCACAGCTAGAGTTGTTATGCTGCTAAAAATGAGTTAATAGCTATGATTGCAAACAATGTTTTTAACGTTAAATACGTTACATATTTTCTGCGAGAGGAAAAATGGTGCGGTCACTTTCCTAATTATCGAAGTACTTATCCCCTTGAAGTTGACCTTCACACACTCCACTTTTAAGCGCTTCGAATACCTCGATGTGGGCCGCGCTTAAGGCTTCCGCTGTCTGACCGAGTGCAGGGGAATGCTGCCAAGGGCATACAGTGTAGACTTTAGGTTGCTCGACCACATCCACCATCTTCTCCTTACTCGTACGCTGCGCGCAGCACGTCTCGAAATCCCCGCAAGTCTTTACTTCACAAGTCAACTTCCTACGGGCTACACAAGTCCTCTACAACTGGGCCGCGACTCCGATGGGCCGCAAGGACGACCCTGTATGGGGCGAGTTCGATGTCGTCGTCCCGAAGTCCAAGCCGACGAAGCCCCACCCCGATGTGTCGTGCCGTCACTGCGGTGCATTGATCATGAATGCCCAGCCCGGCCGTCATCTCTATCCACATATCCGCTTCTGCTCCAGAGCCCCAGCGACAACGAAGGCCACCTGGGCAACGTGCGACGCGCAGAAGAAGCGTAAGGCAAGGCCTCGGATGTTTTCGCCGTCGAAGAGCCGTCGCACAAGCTACAGTGGCTCTCCAGCAACAAATTCCCCAATCGTACTCAGCAAGGAGGAGGAATCAAGCATTCATCTGGACATCGCGATGGTCTTCTACACTGCTGGAATCCCGTTCCACGCGATCGAGACTGCGTACATGCGCAAGCTGTTTAAGCGTCTGACTCCTGCGTTGAAGCTCCCAACCCGGCAGGCGCTAGCGACCACCCTGCTCGTTAAAGCCTATGAACTGGAGAAGGCCAACCTGGCTGAGCTTCTTTCAAAGCAAACGTTTCTGGTTATAATCACTGACGGCTGGTCCAACGTAAACCGCGAGAGTATCGTGAACTACGTGTTGGGGTCACCCGCCATGCGTCCAATGATGTGGTCATCGGGTACTACGGGTTCTGAGGCACACACGGGGGACTACATGGCATCGGAGCTTCTGCGAGTCATTGCTGAGGTAGAAGGCGTGGCCGGCGCTGGCAAGGCTCCGCCGTTGTGTCGGACAACGCAGCCAACATGAAAAAGGCTGGCCGACTGGTTGAAGCTAAGCACCCAAACGTGGTCTTCAACGGATGCTCGGCGCACGCCATGAACCTGCTCCTGAAGGATATCTTCAAGATCAAGTGGTTTGGAGACGTGCTGAAGAAGGCCATCAAGATCGTCAAGTTTGTGCGCGCTAGACACCTGCTGCTCGATCAAGTTCGGCGTTACCGGCGCCAGCTACAAAAAGCAAGGAAGGCAGGCGAGTTAGCGGTCCCTGTGTCAACGAGATGGTACGCTCAAGCAAAATGCATCAAGAGCGTCGTTCGCAACAAGACAACGCTGACGGCAGCTTTGGCGGACTCGGAGCTTATGAAGCACTACACGGACAAAGAGAGTCAGGTGAAGCTGGACGAAGTTCAAGGTATTGTCAACGATAAGCAGTTTTGAATCAAGGCGAAGGTTGTCGTTCGGCTGACGAAACCGGTTACACGAGCACTAGCTGTCCTGGAGACGGATGCTTGTTCGAACTCAATGATCCTGCACGAGTTTCTTCGGCTGTATCAGGCGCCAGAGTACACTGAAGGTATCGCAGCTTTAGCCGGCAGCTCCGTTCAAGATGAAATTCGCAAGCTGATTGCTAGTCGATGGGACTTCATTCGTCCACCGTCCGATTCCACGACGGTTGCATACCTGCTGGATCCGTCCAAGGACATCTTTAACTTACCGAGCGGTAGCCTTGACGGCAGTGGTGGTGTCGGATTGAGCGGAGACAGTTCTGACGGAAGCTGCCCTATCAACGAAGATATACCCGACCCTCAAGACAGTCCGCTTCGTAAGGCGGTACGCTCCGCTGTAAAGCTTGCCGAGCGTTTTGGCCTCCCACCCGACGTGAGCTCAGCTCAGTTTCGCGCATCGCTGCTATCTTTTGTAAAGACGAAGAAGAACTGGACTGCTGCTCAGAGGGAGGCTGCTAGTGAGGACTCACCACTGAACTGGTGGACACTCGACGACCAATTTCCTGTTCTTCACAAGTTCGCAGAGAAAATTTTGAGCATCCCGACTTCGTCTGCAGAAAGTGAGCGCCTGTGGAGTGTGCAAGGATTTACACACAGCAAGCTTCGAAACCGCCTCAAGGTCGCAACAGTCGAGAAGTTGTCGTTCATCTACACGAACAACGGAGATGCGAAACCAACTCGACTGCCATTGTACAAGACTTCTCCTCGGCCGATAGAGCTCGATAGCGACAGTGACAGCGACAGTGACGAGCAAGAAGCTGAAGATTCTCTGTTTGACATTAACGACATGGAGTTCGAGTATCTCTTGGACGCAGTCGTGAGTGTGGACATTTCGCAGTAATCGATTTCTTTAGTCCTTGCCTTCACAACAATAAACGCTTTGCTTCTGAGCGTAAGGCGCACTAACGTTCACAATATAACACACGCTTTGCTAACACACACCGATATCACATGTAGAGTGCTATTCTCGATTAAGGTTTCAAATGTAACCCACAGCAATGACGCAAGCCAACACCCCCACTACTGAGCCGATTCCATGATACAGCTGCAGACGGTGGAGTAGCGAGGTGTCGGGTAGGGCACACACCTTCTTCTGCGTTTACGAATACTCGCGCCCAGCAACGTCTGCGTCGTGGCCATTGACAGCAACGAATTGAGCACCCCCGTCCGCGCGTTGTACACCGCGTGGCTGTTGTCGGGCAATGAGAAGCCGAGAAGCGTTGATTCACTTGAGCGCCAGTCCGCGACTCGAACGGCACCTTGCACTTCTTCAAAGTCCTCTCAAGGAGGACGAGGCCGTCCAGCCGGCCGAACGCGAAGACACCTCTTCTCGATCGCACAGCACAGCTGCAGCGACGTCAGATACAGCTCTGTGTCCGTGTCGTTGGGGAAGGCCACGCGGAAGGTGCGATTGGTGCCGTGGCTCGAGCCCTTGTCGTGCATCAGCTCATAAATGATCCAGCAGCAGCTCGCAGTTGCCTTCTTTCGTGGCGTCGTAGGCAGCCGCACTGCCAATGAGGCCGGCACCGACCGTCACGCGGTCGTACAGTGACGTCGCCATCACAACGCAAATCGGGGAATGGCACGAGCTGCATTTCAAGCGCGTTGGAAGTCCTGTCGATCCACGCCCGCCAGTCGAAGCTCCGCGGCCAGCGCCGCCTCCGCGAGCGCCTCAGGCGTGATGTCCGCTGTGAACTGCACCACATCAGGGGGGTAGCACTTCCCACACTACGCCCACGTGCGTACTTACCACGGAAAGCTCGTATTTCGCAGCCTCCAGAATCGTGAAGTAGAGGCTCTCTTGGCCAGCGAGCTGTCGGTTGAGGAAGATGTGGTCTTGACACAGTACGTCGCGCACTTTAAAGCCGGGCACGGCGCCGTAGAGCGTCACGCAGTAGTGCCGTCGGTGCTTCTCCAGCATCTCCTCGAGCAGCAGCCGTGTAAACCCACTCTCGAGCCCCTCGCGCAATGACGCACGCAGCACGAGGTTCTAGCGACACGTGTGCGAGATTCCGATGGCCGTGTTCACCGAGAACACGAGGAAATTTATGATCTTGTTGAAAAGGACGCTGGCAGCGTCCACGAAGCCGAAGAGCGAGTGATCCGTGTACACGGTCTTGACGCCCAGCTCCAGCGCTTTGGTCTACAGCAGACACTCGTGCATGAGCGTGGACGTTGCCTGGTGGCCATGCACGATCCGCACCTGCTCGCGGACGCGGATGGTCCGGAACAGCGCCAAGTGGCCCACGGACGTCATGTACGTCACGATGTCCAGCAAGTGCATCACCGGCAGGTAGTACAGCTTGTCATGTAACGCACGCCCGCGCGCTGAGTGGGGTGTTGGCGGCGCCGTCGGGGCCACTCTGACCTTGGGTCCGGGAACGGCATACGTGAGCACGATGACATTGTGGCCGCCGCGCAGCAGGCACTGCGAGAGCGATCGCATGGGCATCTCCACGCCGACCAGGAGCGGGAAGAAGTCGCAGCACATGACGATGCACAGCCGCCGCACCGTAGTCCAGCATGAGTAGCGAGAAATCTTTCAGCAGCAGCAGCAGCGTACCAAACAGCATGTTCAGCACTGTTAGACCGTGCTGACGCCGCCACGAGAGCGTGATGTCCAGCATGGGCGAGAATGCACTGTCCAAACCAGACTAGTAGCATCCCCACGTAGCGTTCACGCGTTGCGCTGATGATCACCTTGGCACAGTCGCTGTGCCCACGGCAGCGGTGCCCCAAGCACGGTCCTTCGGTCTGGCCATCCACAGATCTCAGCCCCACCTCCTTCATCTCGGCCAACTCCGTGCCTTGGGGGGGGGCAGCACGTAGTGCAACGGGTACTGCGCGAAGATGGCGCTAGCCGCAGATGGTAGAGTCGTCGTCGTCCAGGTCAGGATCGAGGGGGCGGCGTCCACGTCGGGATCAGAGGTGACGTCGTAAGGCCGCGGCGCCGACGTACGTCTGCACCGAAGACGATAGCCCTTGGCGCGCTGGTTCTGCGTTAGGTCCTCGCAGGGCTTACGCTTGTGCGGAGTACTTCGTCGGCCTGATAGAGTCCTCCTTTGAGAATTGAGTGCATGGCTGTAAATACAGAATAGCTGCCTCAAATGGGTTCAGCCAAATCTTGCCTTTTAATTATTAATAACTGTGCGCAATTTTGTGATTAACTGATGTTAACGTTAATATCACTTTTTTCCCTCTAAAAACAACTCTATTCACAGCGCGTTACACATTTGGTGCCTTCGGTCTATGCAAGGATAAAATTTATCCTCGCATAGAGCACAAGTGCAACACCATTCCTCACAACTATACTGCATTCAGTATACTCGACCCAATCTCAAGATACCTGTGGAGGTCGACTAATGCTTTGCTTGGCTACATACATTTACGAACCGACCACGGACAGCAAGATGAAGCTGAACTTCAGCGCCTGCTGAAGCGGGTCCCCCAACGGAGCTCACATTCTAACTTGCGTCTTCGTCCCAACCGTAAAGGAACCCGTTGACTCATTTCAAGCATGAAGGCCTTTGTGTTGCCCCTCGTGGCCTTTGCCGGTCTCGTCACCGGCTTAGCACCCTCCACTGAAGAGGCGGAGAACGCTCGCATTGAGCCCCCAGCTGGGGCCATCGTCGTCGACGCTACCGGTGACTATGACGGCAGCTACCTGACGGTGTCGGAAGGCATGGAGAGCTTGGACGTCACCACGACGGAAGTGCAGACCATCTTCGTCATGCCGGGCGTCTACAAGGAGCAGGTGCTGATCCCGGCGTTGGCGGGAGCCCTCGTGCTGCAGGGGTCTACGCGCGACGCCAGATCGTACGAGGACAACGAGGTGACCATCACCCAGGCCAAGGCGCAGAAGGACCTCCCAGCTCACGTGACTAAGGGCAGGAACGACCTGACCAGCACCATGCGCTTCAAGGCCAGCAACGTGACCGTGTACAACCTCAACATCGCCAACACGGCCGGCAACGTCGGCCAGGCGGTGGCCGCTACCGTCGACGGCACCGACTACGGATTCTACGGCTGCAACTTCACCGGCTACCAGGTTTGTGCCTTTGCTACTGTTGAGTTGCTATAAAACCTAAGCTAACATTTTGGGTTGTTTTAGGATACGTTGTACGCCAACAAGGGTCGTCAGCTCTACGCTCAGTCGTACATCAGCGGTGCCATCGACTTCATCTTCGGCTCCAAGGCCACGGCGTGGTTCGAGAGCTGCGACATTGAGTCATTCGGCCGAGGCTGCATCACCGCCAACGGCCGCTCTACGGAGGAGAACCCGTCGTTCTACGTCTTCAACGACGCGAAGGTGTTCGGCGCCGGCGCCAAGGGCTCGGCCTACCTCGGTCGTCCGTGGAGACCTTTCGCCCGCGTGGTTTTCCAGAACAGCGAGCTCGACGACATTATTAACCCGGCGGGCTGGTCGGCCTGGGACGCCGCCTCCAGCACGGAGGACGTCTACTTCCGGGAGTTCAACAACACGGGCGACGGTGCGGCCACCGACGACCGCGTCGAGTTCAGTCTAGAGCTCAAGAAACCCGTTCCTATGACGGAAATCCTCGGTGAAGACTTTGAGTCAGAGTGGTGGGTCGACACCGACTACTTGTAGAGATTCTATTAGATGAGGATGCCTGCGAGCTGCTTTTTATTTCGTCTTGGACCAATTAATTTGATGTTTCTCCGTAACTTCAAATCGTTTCGGTAATATTTTGCTTATATTCAGAACAATTACGTAAATTATTCTGATTATCGGACAAATTGTTGAAATTTCAGGAATGCTTATCCAATCGACTTCCAGCTTCATCTCAAAAAGACAAGATCCGAAGAAATGGAAGCGACCAGGCGCCTGCTCCTGCGGCAACGCTGGGGCTTCCTGGCCCCATGGTGCTACGAGCGTCTGCATGTCGAAGAGAAGGCGTGGGACGCGCCGCAGCGCCACCTGTTGGTGCGTCTGCCTCCCCCCTTCGAGCAAGAGGATGAAGCGACGTTTCGGCTGAAATTTCGGAAATTTCGCAAAGCTCTTCGCTATTGGCTGCTGTGGGTCACGTCGACCAATCAGCGTTCAAGTTTCTCCTACGACAATTTTGTGGAGTGGATCTTGGGAAAGAAGGAGAGGAAACTTACGAAGAAGACATTCCAGTTCGCTACCTGCTCATTCTAGACATAATGGAAAACAAGGGGCTGGAGGAGGATGACGACCTGCAGAGCAAGAACTTTGATCTGGCGCAGTTTTGTGGAACCGCCCAACGTGAAAATTCCAGTTCAGAATATCGCAGTGCGATGGCCATGATCTCGGTGCTGGATGCAAGTGTGAAGTCTGATAAGCTCGGCGTGGACATCAAAATCCCCGTTCGAGTGTACTGGATCCCCTACGACGTGTACATGGCCACAGAATTGATGATGATCAAGAATATTAGAAGAGCTGAAATGATCACGTACGAGGAGTGGGCTGACTATTCCGATTCCGATGACGCGGCCGGATCGCTGAGATGCACCTTCGTCCTGGAACCGTTGATCGCATTCCTCGGAGACCGCGGAGTTACGGACGAGATGGCAGACGCCGTGGGGTTCATGGTCCGGAATAACATGCGCTGCTCGCAGTTATCTTTGCTCGCAAATGTTGATCGCACTATGGTGCACGGCCAAATCGCTATAAGAGCAGCGTTGGGGGAAGCTATGGGCTCCATTTTTGACAGTGCGCGCGGACCTCCCGAAAATACGTACACAAGCCACTTTTTGGAAACCCAATCGGCGGATGAAGACTCGCGTCCACTTCAGCTGGGCTCGATCAACATATTGTGCACTTCAGGCATGCAGGCACACGAGTTTGCGGCCGTGTGCTCGGCGATGGCAGTGGCTCAGACAACGAAGAGCGTTTCTTTGAGACTCGAAAACTTTCCGCGCCGAAACATGCCCAGCACACATTGGTGGAAATGGGTGGCATACGCGTTCTTCTCAAAGCGAGCTCGTGCTTGCTCTACCGTCGAGACTCTCACTCTCACCTTTATTGTCCTTATGGATACGGAGGACATCGAGAGGTTTGTGTCGGTTTTAACTTCGGATCATCCTTAACAAGAGTTGTTTGGCACTCCGCCAGGCCAAGTTGAAGACGGGGATGTAGTGTTGAAGAGTGGTGCAGCAGTTCGTTGGGAATTTTATAACAGAGGCGAGCCCCGAGAAGTATCGCTCCCTTTAGTTTTCGAGACGCCTGTATACTCCGTTCGAACATTTTCGGACGATGGAGAAAGCGAGTGGGTGAACGCGCTGGTTCCTGGCTTTGGGAGATGCCACGTGCGACGAACCGACCTCGATCTCGAAAGTCCCACGTCAGTCACTGCCAACTCCTGTGCTATAACGTCCCTCACGGTCGGATTTCACGGAGCCATGTTTACAGATTCGACTGGTCTCGAAGCGTTTCTCAGCGCGATTGGATCAGACTTGGTGTCGTTGAGTCTCGAGAGTCCTGAGAGGTGTGACATCAGCACGGTACTTCGCCGTTGTCCGAACCTGCAGAAACTGGCGATCCGTAATGGGATAATCGACATATGGCTCGACTTCCACGACTACCGGCCAAGTCACGAGAGTATCACGTGCGAATGGTCTGATGACGTCGCACTCTCACGCGAATTATCCGACGACGCCAATCCCCTGACAATGTACCTGCGCCGGTTGAGAGTTCGCCTGCCCCACACTACTCCTCGTGAAATTGCGTCCATCTTTGAGGCACTTTTGGGCATGCTGGCGAATAACCTCACATTGGAGTACTTTGATGTCGTTGTTCTCTCGCGCATCGGGGCTACCTCGAGCAATTCAAAGAGCACCACCTCAAGCCAACTCAACGACGCGTTGCGCTATCGAAGGCAAACAAAGCGGCATTTCTGAGCGTGGTTTCCTCCGACGAAGCGTCAACGGGCCCTAGAAAAAAGATGAAAGACGAGTCGCCCCAGCATGAATCGACGAAGTCAGTACTCAGAAAGCTGGACCCGCACGTGCTGTCCTCGATCTTTGCGTTTGCTGCAGCTCCCGTACTCCGAAAAGTATTCTTCTCCGAGCCACGGCGCGACCCATCGGATGACTTAAACGATGACGGATGGGAACTTTGAGGCCTGCTAGAGCTGTTCAAGACATTGTTTGATATAGCTAATACATGCATTGTATGTAATTCGAAGTCGTATATGCGCAGTGTACCATGTGCACGGGTAATACACGAGAATTGCCCTGCATTTTACCGCAGAAGAAGAACACCGAACGTAAGCATACGATGAATCGCCAAATTCAATTAGTGGTTTTCCATATCGTCGCAGTGAGCAGTCCTCTGAATGGGGCTCGATGCAATTCCTCTTGAAAGAGGTGTGGGCCCTGGAATTCGTCGACACCGCGTTTTGACAAGCAAAACATTACAGGAAAGGACGAGCCGCCTCGAGGTTTGCCTTGAAGTTGTCGTCGATGAAGGGGACCTTGATGCCCTCTCCAAAGTCGGTCTCGCTCAGAGCACTGCGGGCCGCTTCGTCGACTGCTCCCACATGATGAGGTCCTGGAGTTCTCCACCCCTCGCGGTCGTTATGTCGAGCGAGCTGCCGTAAAATTTGTTCGTTCCATACGCGATCATGGGGCTCGTATCGTTGGAATAGTCCACGAAAGGCGGGGAACACCCACACGACGGGGGGCCGTCCTTCTTAATAGCATACCCTCCCCCAACGTTATAAGTCGACATTGAAGTGATGTACCCTCCTACAGTCTGCCTATCTCCATAGCTTCCAGGATTTCGAGCTCAACCTAGAATTTCCAGTGAAAACATCAAGGAGGGTCTGGGATCTAGCAGCTTGATCTTGTCGAATCAGCCACCGTTGAGCCCTTGGGATACGATTATGGGGGTCTGGAAGTTCTAATCTTAAACTTTGTATCTTCCAAATTACTGATTTTCTCGTCATCGCGCATCTTGCGTCTCACGCTAAGGACAAAAAACATGAAAACAAGTATTATTCTTCTTGATATATATTTGTTAATTAGTTTAAAAAAACTTGGACTTTTGTGTTGATGTGTGTCGCGGAGCTCAATGGGTTTCAAATCTAAATGAGCCCATTTTCGTATCGATTACGGAATTCCCCCTCAAAGGCTTTTCGAGCGAAGACTTGGCGAAGTGCACTGGGTGCCGCATACTCGAAGATGTTGGACAACGAGAACTGGTCAAATTCACGCCCCGCCCATTTGACACGATCTGAAGTTCCAGGTGTCAACTGTTTTTGGCTCGATGAAATCACGCTGAGCAACGATAACTTGCACTCGCTCGATAGTGGCTCGCGTGGACGACCGATGGGCTTGAGATGATACTGTCGGAACTCGTCGATGCAGTCGTGGTACGAAGGCGGCAGGTGCACGTCGAGGTATTCGAGGCGCTGATTTACTTGCAGCATTTCGTAGAATGCCGCTAGAATCGTTTCGATCCACACATCGTACACTGGTTTACCGTCTTTATCTCTTCCGTCGAAGATTCTATCCAACCTGACTCGCATACGGCGCAAGCACCTGGCAAGTGGAGTGGTGTTGTCACTTAAAGCTTCTGCCAGCTCCTCCAGGTCTCGCCACTCATAGTCAAATTCATCGATTTCCCCCTCGTAGTCGCTGAAGTTAAAGCGGAAGAAGGCAAATCCACCGCAAAACGTCAGCTCCTGCAACTTTGGGCAGTGTCGAAGAATATCCTCCAACCCGTCTTCATGGTAGTCCAGACCCAGGAACGTCAACGACGACCCTACCGTAGCGAGGAATATGACCAATTCCTCCCAGAGATCCCTTTCATTCTCAGCGAAACCAATCTGTAGCGACGTGACTCCACCATCTAAATCCCCATTGTAATCACTGGTAGCAGGTTGGAACTCCAGATCATCACGCAGGACTTGGCATCGTCCAAGGCCAGGAATGATCGCGTCCACCCACGTGCTTGTACCATCGTCGCTGAAGGTGCGAACGAATTGAACAGCAGCATCAAATGTGATCGGATCCCAGTCCAGGTTGGGCTCACCTTGATCATCAAACCTCCACAGGATCGGGGCTCCACTCTTCAGCGTCGCATCACGAGGCTTGAGAAGTCCACGGGGTCGATCAATAAGCTCCTCCTCCGGGTGGTCGGAGTTCATGACGGCAGTGAACGCCTCCATGTCTTCTATACTAATGCTTCCGATCCGCATTAACGCCAGCGACTTCAGAGAGGAGCACGCCCGAGCTCGCTTGGAGAAGAAGGCGACCAGCGCCACGTCGTCGCGGGATCTGCTGCCCCAAACCTCGCCTTCATCTTCAACTTGATCGATAGCTTGGTCGTCGTCTGGTTCACAACCATCGCCGAGCAAAACGCCTCAAACCTTGAGTTCGGACAACCACGGCAATCGAGATGGACAGCGCCGAGCTGAAGACGTGGGATATCTTCACCGACAGCATCTACGTCGAAAGTGTAGCTTGTTTCCTCGCAGGGACGGCGGGTATTGTCAAAGACTCGAGTGATGAGGTTAGCTAACAATTTCTTCGCCTCTGGTGCTTTGTCGACTTCACGCTCATGCTCCATGATCTCCTGCAGACAAAACTGCGAGAACCGAACGTTGCTCGTTATCATCGCCTCTAGCAGCTCCGCCAGTTCGGTACCCGTGATATGACCGAAATTCGCCTCCATTGGCTCCAACTCGAACGTGCATCTCAACGAGCCTGGCGGAACCGGGGGGATCTTCCCGTGCTCTTGCCACTGATCTCGAATCGTCTGCTCCGCTCGCCAAATGTCCTTCAAGAGGTGAGCTGGTCCACTCCAGCTCACCCTAACAGGAACTTTGACGTCCACGCCCGCACTTTCAGCCGTAAAACGGGGATCCGGAGCCGCAATTTGCGCCAGTGCCTCGATGTATTCCTCGCTGGGGTTGTCGTGGAAATTGGGTCCACAGAACTGAACCAGGTCCGAGTTGAACGATCCGCTGTCGGTGCCCGCAGTCGCCTTTACGTGCATCCGCAGCTGGAAACGCGGTAGAATTTCATCTCCGTAGCTAGATTCCCACTTTTGACCAAGCTTGAACCAATTCAGCTCTTTGGTTCGGCTGTAGAGCCCACAGTGGGTCTCGAGCAAATACCTCCACGCGTTGTAGTCGACGTGAGCTACCACCGATAACAGTGCCAGCGCCTCCTGTTCGCGCTGGAACTCTCGTTGGAACTTGGCTTCGTCTTCTGGAGCCAAGTGGTAGTCTTCCTCTGGGTCACGTCCGCGCGTCGGAAGGTCAACGTGAAGGAGCCGCCTCTGCGTATCCCACAAGATTCCTTCATCGTTGGGTAAATAGTAGCGTATTCTCCCGTACAGCACGTCGCACCAAGGTACTAGGAAATCCCAACGCTCCTCCATCGTCACAGCAAAATCGAGTGTGAGTGGCTACGTGCTGAGATCGATTTGGAGAGTGAAGGTCTCATTGGGTTGGGTACACACGGGATTTTCTACACGATACCAGGGAATCCAGTTTTCCCTTGGGTTAAAAAATGACCAACATTCACTCAGTTGATCACTACACCATCGATTCTGCTGTGGCGATAGAGGAGCGCTGGGGGTTCCTGTTGCCGTGGTGTGAGGTGCTCAAGGGGAGGATCGAGTACCGCTTCCCAAAACACGAAGAAGGCGTAGCTTGGGCCACGCGAGGTCGCTATCTATGCGTTATCCTGCCTGAGGGCGAACGCCTTGACGAAGAAGACTACGAGATGAGCCCAGATGACGAGGTCAAGTTCCAGAGAGAGCTAAAGCACGTGCAAGAGGCCCTGGCGTTGCTATCGGTAGTCGCCTACGTGGACTACAAGGTGTGGAGGTATTTACTGGAGACCCACTGTGGCCTATACAGCGTTGGGCAAAGCGAAGAGGCGAGGTACGCCAATGTCATTGTGCCTCGATTCCTGCTTAAAACTCGTGTAAAAGCCCTTCAGAGCACGGAAAATGGGTCTTTCAACTCGGCGCTGGTCCAGTTCTGCGGAACGAGCCTGTACGACAACCCCAGCGACGAATATCTTGACGCGTTATCAAGAATTGCAGCTCTGGATCCGAACTTGACTTCTGATAGTCCCGGTGTGGACGTTAAGGTTCCCGTAAGAGTACGTTGGCACAGATCAATTCGCCTTCTGGAAGATATTTGGCGAGCGGAGCAGACAATTCGAGAGCAGTGGCAAGAGCACGCGGAGGAACCCATGGTACCACCGGCAGGCTCGTTGAGATGTACGTTCAAGTTGGAGCCAATGGAGGCGGATTTCAGTTATATTGAGAGGGGTGTAATGGCAGAGCTGCTGGAGGAGTTGGTAACGAGCAACGCTCGGTTCTCGCAGTTTTCTCTACACATGAGGGAGGAGTATTTGCTCGAAGACGACAACCCAACGCTGAGGAAGCTGTTCGTCAACGTCATCACCCGAGTCTTTGACAATGTACGCCGCCCGATCGAGGAAGCACATTACACATTCGACGTGGATGCTGTCGGTGAAGACATTCCACGTCTCCAGCTCGGCGCTGTCCACCTCGATTGCCGTTTCTGTTCGACCTCCATGTTCGAGGCGTTTTGCTCGGCGATGGTTGTGAACCAGACAACGGCCAAGCTGTCGATCAAGTTAAGGCTCAAGGTTGAACACGAAGGCCAAGGCTTTTATCCGTTCGATCCCGTCAGGGCGCGACGCTGGTGGAAGTGGATCGCCTACGCCTTTTTCTCCAAGCGAGCTCGGGCGTGCTCCTCTCTGAAGTCGCTGGCGTTAATGCGGATCGAAAGCATGAGTATTGAGGACATGGAGGCGTTCACTGCCGTCGTGAAGTCTGAGCACCCGGAGGAGGAGCTTTTCGACCGACCCCGTGGGCTGATCAAGCCTCGTGATGCTACACTCAAGAGTGGAGCTCCGATCCGGTGGAAGTTTGACGATGAAGGTGAGCCCAACCTGGACTGGGATCCGATCACATTGGAGTCCGATATTCCATTCGTTCGCACCTTCAGCGATGATGGTACTAGCGAGTGGGTCGACGCGATCATTCCTGGCCTTGGGCAATGCCAAGTCCAGCGTGACGATCTGGAGGTTCAAGCTACGAGCGAAGATGGTGTTGGTGATTCAAATGGTGGAGTCACGTCGTTATAGATTGGCTTCGGGGGGGAGGATGGGGATCTCTGGGAGGGGCTGCCCATGCTTCTCAGTGCAATCGGATCGTGGATAAAGTTCCTGGGTCTTGACTATCACGAAGGCGGGTTTGAGGATATTCTTCGACATTGTCCGAATCTCCAGGAGCTGACATTCTGTGGCGGGCTCGCAGTATTTAGATTCAACTTTAGCAACTACGACGGGGAAATCGATCAGTTTGACTACGATTGGCGGGATATCCCACTCCTCGCACAGGCTCTCAGTGAGAACAAGAACCCCCTCTCGAAGTGCTTGCGCCGTTTACGTATCCGTTTTGACTGGCGATGCACTCGCGAGCACACGGGCGGCCCGAACGTTTACAACCCCTGCATCAAAACGGATATCGCGGAGCTGCTGAAGATGCTGCAAGTGAACCGAAGCCTCGAATTTCTCGATGTGCACTTGCCTACTCCTTACCACGACTACGTTGGCAATTTGCGAGAGCATAACAGCCTTCAGTCGCAGAAGCTGGCAACTGAGACTAAACTTGCGCTTCTAAGCGTCACTTTGACCCGAAACCAAGCGCCCAAGGTCGATAAGGATGAGGCGGAGATTGTCTTGCCCCAGTGTGCACAGAGCAATCTCGACGAGCTCGTATCTTCGATTTCGTGGCCCCACCAGTTGTCCCGCAAGTGTACGTTCGTAAGGTTTTTAACGATAGTTACTCTTACCCAGAAGAGGAAGAAATCATTTAGAGTGGCAGGGCTCTATAGTACTTTTGAAGGAGCTACGTTTTCTTTTGTAGTAACAAGCAGCAACTTGCACATTTCACCAGTGAACCAATCGTGTCTTGTGCTACTGCTGTAAAGCTCGCAGTGTGTCTCCAGCATAATATCCCCACACTTTGTATTCGGCGTGGGCTACCACGGACAGAAGGACCAGCGCCTCTTGTCCGCGTTGGAATTCTTTTTGGAATTTACCATCATCTGCTAAAGTCAGTGGGTAGTCTTCCTCAGGTTCACGTCCGCGCGTAGGCAGATCAACCGGATGGAGATGCTTCTGGAGTATGTCTGTCCGGTAGAAAGTAGCTTAGTCTCCGTCAAGAACTTTGCTAAACGGTACCAGAGATTCCGAGCTTTCCTCCGCTGCTCGGGCCTCGTGTCGTGCACGCGTTTGAGTAAGGGCGGGAAGGGCAGAGCGGAGGAAGGACATGGTAATGCGAGTCTGCCTACACGCACGTGTAACGTGCTTTACAGAACGATAGCCGCAGGCGTGCTTGTTCCGCCAGAGCAGCTTGCAAACACCAGATTGGTAGCGTTAAGACCTACGTGTGCAGGCGCCTCAGCCTTCTGTGGGAGGACAGCAGACGTCTCAACGACATTGGCAGCATCTGTGCGAGCCCAACCAAACGTATCAACGCCATTTGCGCGCCATGTCTAACGATGCTCTTGCTAACAACGCGAGGTGTGCGTTCTGCACGCCATTCGGCTGCCATCCTCACCCACCCAATGGTTCAAGGCACTGCCAGCGTTCCGTGCTCAGAATTCCACCCACGTGCCAACCGTAGTCTGGACCAATACTCGGGACAGCCACCCAGAGCGATACTCGCAGCACCGCAGCAGGTTGAATCGAGCCAAACTTGGGTCGCCACGCACAGGTGAGCCGAACCTTCTGGTGGTGCCCACCCGATCCTGTGCTCGACTGCCTTTTACACGTTCATTGCCGCTTTCACTATGGTCGGGGGCTGATCCAGATGGCGAGACTTTCGCCGATCTCGGACTCGCTGAGCTCCATGCGGACGAACGCGTCAAGTATCGTCGCCGGTGGTGCCTCCAGTCAAGGGCCACGTCACTTGGCCACGCAGATCTGGGATCCGATACGACGTGATCGGGCGTCGTGTTCGACTCGTGCCAGTCGCGCGTGGCGCCACGACGCTAGGGGAACGAGCTGCAGCCCAGCCCAGCTCAGCTCAGCCAAGTCGGCCGACCGACACACCGACCGATCTCAAGGCGTCTTGGTCATTGCTCACGTCTCAACTGGCCTCGTCCACAACAACCGCCTCAACAGCAACCATCACCTCCTCTTCTCCATTACAAGATGAAGGTTTTCACGGTCCTCTCTTCCGTTGCTGCTGTCGTCGTCGCGCTGAGCTCGACGGCCGACGCCCAGCGACTTCTGCGCTCGGAGGCGTCAGCGCAGACGGACTCGACCGTCACCACCACGGACTTCACGACGCTCGGGTCCATGGGCGGCTCCAGCTTCACGCCCGGCAACGTCGCGGCCGGCAGCAGCTTCGGCGCTCTGGACAAGGAAGGCGGCTCAATGAACGACCACCGACCGTCGGGCTCCATGCGCGGCGGCTTCGGCTCGGGCAACGGCATGCACAACGTCGGATCGGGCGACGGCTTCGCTCACGGCAGCGGCTCGTTCGGAGGAGGTCGCGGCGGATTTGGCGGACACGGACACCACGGCATGGGCGGCGGCTCCTTCTCGGGCAGCAGCTTTGCCGGCTCGTTCAGCGGCCACGGAGGCTTTGGGGGCTCCGGATTCGGCAGTGGCCACGTCGGCGGGGGCTCGTTCGGCGGCAACCCGCCGTCCATCGGCTCGGGTGAAGCCCCGACGGAGGGCTCGGGCGAAGGCCATGCTCCGGCTGCTGCTGCTACCAGCTCGGTGGCTGCGTCCGGGTCGGCGTGATCTGAAGACCGCGCATCAAGTGACAAAGGTTTTGAATGTTGCGTCGAAGAAGATGTGTTTCATGCTCGAGAGGAAGAGCTCAGATGTCGTAAGTGTGTAAAAGATGTTTAGTTAGACCGGAGTCGTAGTAAGTGGCTGCATTGGAGATGCAAAATATACCATAGCTGTTCCTACCAGTTTTAAGCCTTCGCTGTGGTGTACGCTGATTCTCCGTCTTTCAGCGGGCAGGGCAGGAATCGACTGGTGATTTTCCTCCACTTGGGGATGCCGATCACTCGATTGCCCGCTGCGATGTCCTTGGCGATCAAGTAGCAGCGCGGGTGTCCCTCGATGTTAAAACTCTTGCGATAAGTGTCGGAGTAGTCGTTGGCTGGGCCGATGCACTCGACGTAGCGCTGGCACATGACCATCTCCACCTGCGCGCGGGCCGCCCAAACTTCAAAGCCAAAGAGCCTCGCAGCCTCGAACAGCGCGATGTTCACGCGCTTGATGACGTCGTCCTCGTCCGTGCCTTCATTAATAGCGTGACACAGCGGCTTCGGAGGAGGAGGAGCCCGAGTCACGGTTGCTTGCCGGTCTTCAGCCAGCAGAGCCGAGGAGGAGGAAACAGCACTCAGAGTACTGGAACCCGAGCAGTTCTGGTACAAATTGGCCAGTCCACCGCTGATGTTGTACGTGTAGCTGTAGTTGCCGATGTCCTTGGCGTCCACGTAGGCTGCGTACGTGTACGGCAGGTCCTTGAAGAAGAGGTACAGGATGTTGCTCGGGTTCTGCCACGCGTTGACGAAAGTCTGGCCGTCGAACGCTGACAAGTGCATGGTGACGTTGTCCGAGGCGCTGAAAGTGCCACCGTCAGGCCTGGCGCTCGACGTCCAGAAGCGAGGGTCGCTGCCTTTGCTCTCTGCTGAGAGGTAGGTCTGCTCGTCCCCGAGCTTGCACTTGAGGTAAATGGTCTGCAGCAAGTCGATCAGCGCGTGGTGCGAGTAGAAGACCGGGTCCAGAGGCGCCTGCATGTATGCCATCATCCCGCTCAACGCGTTGTGCACCGTGTCTGCACCAAACACAGTCAGTATCATGAACCAACGTATCAAGGGAAAATTCTCGACGTACTATGCACTCCGTTCTCGATCGCGGCGCTGACGTTGACCCAGGCGCTGGCGGTGAAGAGCTGGCTGGTCACGGAGCTGAAGGACGCCTCGTCGGGATACGAGGGCATGTACCTGCTGCTTTGACGCAGGGTGCAGTTGGCACACGTCGTGGTGTTGCCGCAGAAGAGGCTGAGCACGCCCTGGTTCACGCACTTGACCTTGGTCGTGTACGCGTACGAGACGTTGTAGATCTTGATGCTCTTGCTCAGTCCCGTGGTGCCGCCGGTGTCGGCGATGATCGGCGAGCAGTTCTCGATGGTGGAGCAGCTGCCGGCTCCTTGCTGCGCCGACCCTGAGAGGTGGTCCCAGTACGGCACCGTGACGCACTTGTACGACGAGTTGAGGCTGCGCAGCATGTTCTCGTAGCCCAGCAGCAGCATCCGATGCCAGTAGACGAAGGTCGGCGACTTGTGCGCCTCCACGCCGCTGAAGTACGTCGTGTGGATCTGCACGAACTTCTGGTGGAAGCCGGCCTTCATGGCGGCGGCCACCGCGTCCAGGTACAGCGTCTTCTCCGACGCTTCGAGCGCGTCCCACGACTTGCGAACGCGAGGCTTCGAGCACGACGTCCCAACTTGCTGGCCATAAGTTAAAGAGCTTGATAACAAGAGGAGCCCAGTCACCAGCACCACGACGAACACTCGCACCATCGCCATCTTGAACGCGATGAGTGCCTGGATCCGAGAATGACACGGATACAGAGGAGATCTCCTTCTTGTTTGAAAGACAAACGCTGGCCGCACGTTTCGGATCTCTACGACCTTTCGCCAAAAGATCGCGCCCTTGAAAGGAATTTAGGAGCGAGATCATCATTCGGACACCGAAGCTTGTATTGCTTCAATAGCAACTTCAGCAGCAACTTAACTTCTTAGGATTTCGTGCTCGCGTACTTGTCCACCGCCTTCTCGAACGCCGTCTGGGTTCTCTTCTTGTACGCAGCACAGGGGAAGAATCGGGTCGTGATGTCCTTCCACTTGGGGATGCCGATGACTCGATCGCCGGACTTCAAGTACTGCAGCAAAGTGTAGCAGCGCGGGTGGCCCTCGACGCCGAAGTTGGCTCGGAAGAGGTCCGTGTAGTCCGGGACACCTCCGAGACAGTCGGCATGGTACTGACACAGCGCCATCTCCATCTGCTCCCTGGCTGCGGACTCGCTGTAGCCCACGATTCGAGCGGATTCGAAGAGGGCAATGGACCAGCGCTTGACGGCGTCATCATAAGCGGTCCCTGGCTTCGTGATGGGGCACAGACGTTCACCACGCGCTTGACTCTCACGCTCACCGGCCAGTAAGCTTGTAGGTGTCTTCGTAGCCTCCAGAGTCGTCGACGAGCCGCAGTACTGGTAGATGGTGGCCAGTCCCCCACTGATCGCGTACGTGTAGCTGTAGTTGCCCAGGTCCTTGGCGTCCACGTAGTCCACGTATTTGGGCGGCAGGTCCTTGAAAAACGGGTACAGCAAGTGCCCGGGGTTTTGAACAGGCTTGACGTCGTATCCGCGCATTGTAATGTTGTCCGAGGCCGTGTAGTTCACTGCGCTATTGGTCCTTCTAGCGCAGGAGCTGAACCAGCGCGGGTCGCTGCCTTTTGCTTCAGCGGACAGAATAACGTTATCGCCTCCAGCCTGGCACTTGAGGTAAATAACTTGCAGAAGATCGATTAGTCCGTGATGGAGGTAGAAAATTGGGTCTGCAGGCGCGATCAAGTAGGTCATGGCACCACCCAGTGTGCTGTGGATGATATCTAAACAATAGCAGCAACGAACAGTTATGTTAGACAACCAGGAGATTAGTATAAAATTGGTGACAACCTACTGTGGACTCCTCGCTCGATGTTCGTGGTGAAATTGGAGAAGTTGGTGGTGGCGAATTGGTTCGAGATGCTGGCGAACGTGGCCGAGGGCGGGTACTTGTACGTCGCCAGGGATGTTGTTGTCCTTCGAGTGACACAACCGGCACAGACTGTGTTGTTGCCGCAGAAGTGCGACAGCGGCTCTCGATTCACGCACGTGGTGCCCGAATCCTTCAGAGTGACGTTGTAGACGATTAGATTCTTGGTCACACCCACGTTGCCCCCAGTCTCGCTGACAATCGGTGCACAGTCTGCAAGGTTCGCGCAGCTCCCCGCCGTCGACCGACCCGAGTTGGAGAGGTGGTCCCAGTACGGCAGCGTCAAGCAGCGGTACTTGGGGTCCAGACTGCGCAGCATGTTCTCATACCCCAATAGCATCATTCGGTGCCAGTAGATGAACATGCAGTTCTGGTGCGCCTCCTTCTCCGACATGAACTCGGTGTGGATCTGCACGAACTTCATGTGGAAGCCCCTGTCCATGGCCAATCCCACCGCCTCTTTGAACAGCGCCTTGTCGGTCGTATTGAGGGAGTCCCAGGATCGACGGACGCGAGCGTCCGAGCAGTTGGTGCCCACTTGTTGGCTGTTGGCATTTGGAATCGCAAGACTGAAGAGCAGAACCAGCAAAAACGACACCACCGACGCCTTGAGTTCCCAATGGGCCATTGTTGCGGTGACAGAGCGGAAGATCGGGAATGGCACTAGCCGGCCGGCGCTCCAGAAGGACTCGAAACGTCGCGATCCTACGTCATGTGGAATATTCAGCATGGATTTTGGGTTTGATTGGCCAAAGATAGTGGATGAAAAACGAGAGGACCAAGTTCTGTTTTTATTTATTCGAGCCAATATCTTGTACTGAGCCACTCACTGTAGGCTGTAAACGAAGCGGGAAAGCAAATACTACTAGCAAACCAAATACTAACTTACTACGTAGTAGTAGTAACTGTTGACGCTACGTCACCAAATAAGTTTTCGTCGTGCTGGAGGTATTCAAGTCTTACCAAGTCTCAACAGTTCCATACATTCATACCGCTACTCCTCAACCCCCTCCTTACTTCACATCTCTTACGACGACGCCGAGCTCGCGTACTTCTCCACTGCCTTCTCAAATGCCGTCTGAGACCTCTTCTTGTAGGCCGCGCAGGGCAGGAAGCGCAGAGTGATCTCCTTCCACTTGGGGATTCCGATGACGCGATCCCCAGAGTTCAAGTACTGCATGATCGTGTAGCAGCGCGGGTGGCCATCCACGTCGAAGTTGGTTCGGAACAGGTCCGTGTAGTCTTGAACTCCACCGAGGCAGTCTTCCTGGTACTGACACGTGACCATCTCCATCTGCTCCCTGGCTGCCGTCACCGTGTAGCCCACGATCCGAGCTGACTCGAACAGTGCAATGTTCCAGCGTCTCACGGTATCGTCAATAGCCGTCCCTGGCTCAATGACTGGCTTGAGATGCTCTGGTCCACCACCACGTTCTCTGTAGTTATCACTGTCGTCCGCCAATAAAGTCGATGCAGTGCTGATCGTGTTAGAAGCCTTGCAGTACTGGTACATCGTTGCCAGCCCGCCACTCATTGCGTAAGTGTAGCTATAGTTCCCCAAATCCTTGGCGTCCACGTAGTCCGCGAACTTGTACGGGATATCCTTGAAGAACTGGTAGAGGATGTTCTTGGGGTCTTGCCACACGTTCACCGTCGTCTTCCCGTCATACCCAAAAGCTTGCATGGTGATGTTGTCGGATGGCGTGTAACTGCCCTTGGTTCTCCTAGCACACGCACTGAACCAGCGCGGGTCGCTGCCCTTGTCAGTAGCTGACAACGTAACGTTCTCGGCTCCAACCTGGCACTTAAGGTAAATGGCCTGCAACAGGTCAATGAGCCCGTGGTGCATGTAGAACACCGGGTCCGCCGGAGACTGGAAATACGCCATCACTCCGCCCAGAACGCTGTGGATCGTGTCTAAGCAGCAAGAAAAACACAATATTAATGGTGAGGACACGGACTTGGAAGACCAGAACGTTCGAAAGTGTAGACTTACTGTGCACTCCCGTCTCGATACGATTGCGGAAATCGTTGTACACGTCATTGGAGAAAACCTGCTGATAGACGGACGAGAAGGCGGCTTCGGACGGGTATGCGGGGCCGTAGCTGTTGCGGAGGATGCAGCTGGCACACGGAGTGTTGTTGCCGCAGAAGTGAGAAAGCGGTTGTTTGCTCACGCACGAGGTTGAAGACGATCGAGGTACTGTCATGTTGTAGATGAGCAAGCTCTTCCTCATGCTGCTTGAAGAAGCCACCGCCATGCCGCCAGTGTCAGGGATGACGGAGGTGCAGTCCATCATGGTGGAGCACTTGCCAGCCGCCCTCTTGGCTCGGCCAGTAAGGTGGTCCCAGTACGGCAGCGTCAGACAGCGGTACTTGGGGTCCAGACTGCGCAGCATGTTCTCGTATCCCAACAGCATCATGCGGTGCCAGTAGATGAACATGCAGTTCTGGTGCGCCTCCTTCTCCGAGAGGTAGTCGACGTGGACCTGGATGAACTTCTGGTGGAAGCCTCGGTCCATGGCCACGCCCACCGCCTCCTTGTACAGGGTCTTCTCGCTCGCGTTGTACGAGTCCCAGGAGCGACGAATGCGGGCGTCCGAGCAGTTGGTGCCCACTTGTTGGGCACTGGAGGGCGACGTCGAGACACAGAGCAGCACAACCACCAGCCCCAACACCACCGACTTGAGCTGCCCAGGCGCCATCTTGCCACTCCTGTTTAGGCAGAGAAGATCGCAGAATGACAAGCATCGATGACAAGCATGAGGGGTCGCAAACGGATATGCAACGTGCGGCCAGGAGCCGCCCGAAAAGATCTTTGCACCCGAAGAGACGCGATCTTTTGAGGCACCTAAATCTGTGTACGACACATAAGTGTCGCGGGAGGTGCTCTCGACCCTGCATGAGTCAGCAGTACCAATCGATAAATGTACATGTACCGAGCTCTCGAAATAAATAGAGGATAGTACACGCAAGTAGATGGCGGGAGCGCGTACTATTTGTAGTTTCACCACTCACGGTGAAGAACGTATGCAAAAGGCAGCTCTTGTTGCCATCGAGCAGCTTTGGGATGCAGCGAACGTCGGCCACAAAGGCGCTTTCTCAGCAGATCGACTGCCCCAACTACACAGCTTCATGATCCAAAGCGGAGATGCAACTCGTTCTTCAACTTGGATGCGGATAGCGGCTGTGGCGCTGTTGACGCCAGTTCCCTGTCTTCTCTTTAGGGCACGCCGGTATCGATATACTGTTTCCTGGTACACACGATGAAACATCTAGGATTACCGGTTGCCTTTATTTTATGCAGATCAGGTCTAGGATTTGAACATGCTGATTATGAGACCGAATCGAAAGACCTGAACCAAACAACCACAGCAGTGGAACATGCCACGACAATTCTTCTCCATGCTCCGTTCATGTATCTGTCCTACTATGCATTGGCCAGGTTTGTTGCAGTTAAAGGTGTTCCATGTGAGTGGCTACACCGAATGAGCAAACGTTGTGCAGTGGCAATCCCCGATGTCTCACTATCGCTGCTAGCCACTTCTAACTGTAAGTTAGTCCATGTATTATAATACCTGCGTCCTTAGTTTCAATGTTATGCTGCTCTTCCGAGATTCTAGCCACAGCAAAACGCATTGGCGGTAACTTCACATACTGGACATTCTCTACGTTGGTATGGTGTACTAGAATGTAAAAAAAAACATCGTGGGAAACAACACGAAGTCTACAGTACAGGGCACCGATACGTGTAAACCCAGTAACTAGGATATCCAATTGCTTTACTAAGGCGTATTAAGGTACAACCTCGTCCCCGAAGTGCACAACGCTGCTGAAGAAGCTGTCAAAGACGCATACGTTTGCATAACTTCGGAGCAATACATAGTGTTCGAAGTTCGAACTTCGAAGCAATTATATTCGTAATCGATATGAAAACTACGAAATATGCAGACTTTACTATCCTTCTACTTGGATCAGGGTGCGGCGAAACTTGGTCTTTACTACAATGTCGCTCTCTTTGCCCTCGCTCATTATAAACAGCTCGAACGTCTGTGTGAGCTACGTCGAGCTGCGCCTTGCCCACCAACGCATCGCTGTCCGTATCTTTGCCGCAGAGTTTGTACACATGTCGAGCAGCACGAAGCGTGGAGCGGGCTTGAGTCTGCCGTCGTCGTCATTCTGAGGCTGGTGCGGACGTGGGAGTGCAGGCCTCCATCTTGACTTGGTTTCCTCACTCTTCTCGTTTGTAGTCACTGTAGAAAACGTCGTAGCGCATGGCGGGACTGGACTCGAGCTTCAAGCGAAGCAGCTGGACCCCCCATGTCTCTGTCCGAGGTGCTCGTGGGCGGCGAAGCAGTAGGCGACCACGGTCGGCCGTCGGAGGGGGACGCAGACCTAGAGCGCAGCACTCGCCGATGAAGTCGCTCGTGCAGCGAAACTCTGTTGGACGCCATTTGACTCCTGCGTCTGGGATCCCCCTATCCATATCGATACCACAGCATGTACACCATCACAGCGCTGGCGGTGCCCACTGGCTCGGGTGGCATCAACAGCCTCGAGATGGGCTCCGCTGTGCGCAGGAACTTTTGATCACAGGGTGCGTGGTCAGTCGGGCGCGATGCCCGGTGGGCGTGCCTGCGTTCTCCTCCTCCTTGAAATGCATCCGCCGTCTCGTGTCCAACGGCGACTTCTCCGGTGACGAGCCCGCGCGCTTTCCGTAGGTGCGCCGCCGGCTACTATTGCTGCTGCTGCACCTGCATCTCCCAGCTCACGCTGTGGTTGCCGGTAGGTGGAGAGGGGGCTCACTCCATGACGTGCTGGACAGTTAGGGCTGGAAAGCTCGACATCACCGAGGAGCTGGCATGTCGAGGATGCTTGCCGGTGCCGTGGCAGCCACTGCGCTGAGGCTCGGCTACTTTCGTAGTGTCGGCCCTTGCGATCAAAACATGGCGAATGTGAGCCAATCACGAGATCATGAAAAAAGTACCCTCTGATCAAATCCAAGACCTGTTCTGCATAAGACCCATTTAAAAAATTTCCGGATTACCATCTACCAAAATCTGGTATACATGTTTCCTAGGAAATGGGTCGATAAATTTGCAAGGAGTATCCGGGCAACTTCAATTTGAAATCATTTTTTTAAACTTGATGCCTACGCATAATATCCGGATGCGGTAGAGTTACTGTATTTATTGCGACACATTGCGTTCGACTATCCGAACACGGTATAGCCGTTGCTTGAGCTGCAGTGCTGGTCTAAAGAATTCCACTTGGGAAACGTCCCCCTTCAGCTCTCACCCCTCAAACCAACAAGCCCGCCAGTACTCACTAGAATGGCTTCCACCGCACGCCTGCGGCCTGCTCTGCTTTGGATGCCTTGATACACTCTTCCAGTCAGGTCGACAGGCTCAAGTTCGACATCAACGTGTACGTGGGGCAGAAGCTTGGCATGAAGAGAAAGCGCCCTGGATGCGCGTTATCTCCCACAAGACGTTGGGCAACTGTCGAGTGGTTAGCAAGCTTGAGAGGCATTTGAGCGGAAGAGGGTGAAAGGAAAAGTGAATTCAATTGAGAGTTGTGCAAAGCTGCCTAGCCGCCTACCTGTGCGCAGCACTGGAGTTCGTCCTGTGGCTTACCTTCGTGCAGCTTGATCTCTGAGACGCCTGACCTCCTTGAAGTAGAGTAGATGACCCTAGACATGATGACGCGGTGTCCAGTGGTACTGTCGGCTGATACTTGTGCCGCACTTCGCTTAAAGCGTAGCACACTCCGACACTCCCACTCGGCACAAACCAAGCCTCGTGACGAACAAGGTGAACTTGTCTTGAGGCAGCGGCTTGGTGAACAAGTCTGCAACCATGACCGCCGTCGCGCAGTAGCTGATCTTCACAATGTCGTTCTGCACCTGCTCTCGAACCCAGTGGTACCGTAGATCAATGTGCCGCGAACGCTGCGAGACCCCTTTGCCTTCCGCCACATGCTGAGCTGCTTGATTGTCCTCGTGGACAATTACCTTGCCGACGTCAAAACCCAGCTCGAAAAGCAGCTGTTTGAGTCCAATACACTCCTTGATGCCGTGAGCTAGAGCGACGTACTCGGATTCGGTAGTCGACAGCGTGACGATCGGCTGTTTCTTGGATCCCCAAGCAATGCAGCACCCGTTGAGGAACACGACGAAGCCCGTTGACGACTTCCGCTCCTGTTCGCAGGCAAATGCAGCATCACAATACACCTCGAGCTGCAGATCGCGCTTGTTCGACTGTCGATATACGAGCCCCCTGTCGACAGTCCTCTTCAAGTAGCCGACTATACGGTCAATCCCGTCCTTCACGGTGCGTGTTGGCTGCTCGGTCTCTTGAGCAACGAGACGTACCGCCGTAGCCAGGCCAGGGTGGCTCACAGTCGATGCGTAGAGTAGTGATCCGACGGCAGGGCGGAATGTTTCGTCGATCAACTCGGAATCATCGATTACTTGGCGCTGGAAGTTACACTCCATCGGGGTGTGTGGCTGCGGCTTGTCGTCTCGGCCCATGAAGCGCTTCACCACTGCTGTAGCATACTTCTGCTGTGAAATCGTCAGCATATCCCCCGTGCGACTCCATGGCAGCTCCATTCCCACGAAGCTGCTGGAAGCAGTGCACTGGTTGATTGCAAATCGACGGGTGATGTTGGCTTGAAACGAAGTCAGTTCCGACGCAGCGTTGCTGAAAATCAGCATGTCATCTACATACAGGAGAACCACCACAATGCCGTCAGTGGTGCGCTTGACCAAGACGCACGTGTCCGACTGGCATTGCACAAAGCCAGCGTCGCACAAGAACTTGGTCACGGTCTCAAACCAAGCGCGTGACGCCTGCTTCAATCCATACAGGGCTTTACGCAATCTCCATACCTTGTCCTCGGATTCATTGGTAGGCGGCGTGACGTAGATGGCTTCTGAGAGGTCACTGTTCAGGAACGCAGTTTGCACGTCCAGCTGCAGGTGCTCCCAATTCAGCTGCACGGCAAGAGCAAGGATAGCTCGAATGGAGTCGTGACGGGCGACGGGGCTGAATGACTCCGTGTAGTCCACTCCAAACTGCTGCGTGAAACCCTTCGCCACTGGTCTCGCTTTGTACTTGTCCAGTGAGCCATCTGCCAGCGTCTTGCGGTGAAAAACCCATTTGGTTTGCACAGGTCGCACATTGCCTGAGCGAAACACTTCTTCGTATGTGCCGTTCCACCTCAGACTCTCCAGCTCTTCATTGATGGCTTGCCTCCACTGCTCGGCATCCGGTCGGGACATGGCTTCCTGCAGTGTCAGCGGGTCCTGAAGCTCACTTACCAGAGCCAGCTCCTGCGTGTTGTGCGACTCCTCGAACTCGAGTCTTCGCACGCTCTTCTTCTTAATGCGAGTGCTGCGACGCACGACCTGCTTCTCCACCCGAGGATCAGCAAGGGACTGACGCGACTGCTCGCTAGTAGATGATCCACAGTTTTCCATTGCGATGTGTTCCTGGATGGCGTCCAGACCAGTCGGGACTTGATCGCTTGTCACCTCCTGTTGCGTCGGCGCTGGCAGGTCTCCGTCCAGCGTGATAGTCATACTCTTCGGAATACTGGACTCGAAGAACGCCGCAGTAAGAGACGCAACGACACTCTCACTGCCTCCGTGACCACTGGACACCCCGAAGCGGTAGCCTCCGCTCTTTTCGTACCCAATACAGACGCCTTTAGCAATCTTGGCGTCCAGCTTCTGTCGCTGCGATTTCGGCAACAGCACTTCAGCGTCACAGCCAAACACGCACATCTTGCTCAATACGGGGGCGTGACCCGTCAGCACCTCAATTGACGTTTTGCCCGCGAGCACTCTGGACGGGCAGCGGTTTCGGATGTACGCTGCAGTCTTGACAGCGTCGCTCCAGAAGCGCTTGCTCATACCAGCTGCTTGTAGCATGGAGCGTGCCATCTCGACGACAACTCGGTTGCTGCGCTCAACTTTGCCATTCTGCTGCGGGCTATACGGCGTGCTGAACTCTTGTGCGATCATGTTCTGATTGCAGAATTCTGCAATTTCTCCGCCAAAGTACTCCGCGGCGTTGTCACTCTTCACTACAGCTACGCGCGCCTCAGGAACCGCCACGTTGAGATTAGCGATGCACTCTCGTAGAGCGCGGAGTTGAGTGGCCGAGCTCTTGTCTTTGACAGGGAATACTGCAGCCAGATGGTACGGCTCGATCATCATGCTCACCATGCCCGTGAAACCGTCTCGCGACGTTGTCTCCATTGGCCCCACATAGTCAATCGAGATCAGTACTGGCTACGTTTTAGGTCGCGTGGCTTCTTCGCTGGAAATGGACGACTGGCCAGCTTCCCAGCCACACACCCTTCACACGGTCGCAGCTGCGTGGTGGTCGTGGCTATACCGCCAGCCTTCAACAGCGCCTTGAGATCTCGCGCGTTTAGGTGTCCAAGCCTGGCGTGCCAGATTGCCAAATCGTCCGATCCACCACCAGACGCGTAGTCGGCTTCAGCACAGTTGCCCGTATTGGGCGTCGATACGACATACAGCCCACTGCTATGGCGTGTTGCAACTAGTTTTGCACCGCCGCTGGAGATCACACATCGCGCATGGTCGAACGTGGCCGTGAGCCCGGCCGCCCCAACCTTGCTTAAGCTGACGAGGTTGCGCTGCAGTCCAGGTACATACAGCACGCTATCCAACGTGCAGAACCCTCCAGTAATCAGCGGCAAGTGATCCTTTCCGCTGTGAGTTTCGGTCAGAGTCGTGCCGCTAGCGGTCGAAACAACGACGCTACTGGTCATCTCGTGCAGGTTCGAAAGGAGACCACTGGTGCCCGTCATGTGGCTCGATGCTCCAGAGTCGATGATCCAGTCAGCTTCGGCCGCTTGCGTGGACACCTGGATCACAAAGCCCGCCTCGGCTTCGTCGTCGCTGTCCTCGCTAGCAGCGGCATTGCCAAAGGCTCCTCTAAATTGCTTCTTCGACTTGCACTGATTCTTGAAGTGGCCGCGCTTCCCACAGTTGTAGCACTTGCCCTTCTTTACTCCTCGTTTCCCGTGCGATGAGGCAGCGAACGCATTTCCGCTGCTGACAGCTTGGCTGCCCCGATGCTTGCTCCGTTGAGCTTGCGTTGAGCGGTGTCTAGCCTCAGGAGCCGCCTTGATGAGAAGCTCCTCAATCGAGCCGCACGCTTCCAACGCACCAATGTAGCCGTTCCAGTCGGGACCGAGACTCTGCAAGAAGTTGCTCTTCTTCTCTGCGCCGGACAGCGACACCTTGTAGCACTCCAACTCGGCCAGCATTAGGCGAGTCTGCCGGATGTCCTCCAGCATGTCCCCGCCGGTGTCGATGTACAAAGACATGTACTGTCGCTTGAGAGCTCCAACGGTCGTATCACACACATGACGGCGCGTCTTCTGCAGCGCTTGCAGCATTTCCTGCGGGTGCGTGAGATCGGCGACCAACGCGGCTTGGTCGTCCGTCAGCGCGGACAGGATGATCGTCATGGCGAGCTTCTGCTGAAGCTCCAGTTGATGCAGCGGCCGTTCTCTCTACGATCACCTTGGCCGGACTCTTCGTTTGCCAGTTGCAGCGACGTCGGTGCAGGCTTCAGCACAGCGCCCCACACGTCCTTCACTTCCAGATACAGCTGGAGTTGGCGCGCCCAGACGCGATAGCCTGAGCCGTCGAACTTGCGAAGCTTGGTCGTGAAGGCGGTCGTGGTATTGGAACTCATAACCTGGCGAGTGGTTAGCAAGCTTGAGCGGAAGACGGTGAAAGGAAAAGTGAATTCAATTGAGAGTTATGCAAAGCTGCCTAGCCGCCTACCTGCGCGCAGCACTGGAGTTCGTCCTGTGGCTTACCTTCGTGCAGCTTGATCTCTGAGACGCCTGACCTCCTTGAAGTAGAGTAGATGACCCTAGACATGATGACGCGGTGTCCAGTGGTACTGTCGGCTGATACTTGTACCGCACTTCGCTTAAAGCGTAGCACGCTCCGACAGCAACTGTGGCGAGCAAACCATCGAAGAGAAGGAGCTTCTCGTGGAAATCAAGCGATTGAGAGCTTAAGTAGTGGCAGCAGTGGGATGCACGATGGCGACCACGACAACATCTCCGACGAGGCTCTTATCAAACTAAACTGATGATTTGATTAACTGGTTATTGTTGGTTATGAGGCTCTTATCAATGCGACGATGAAAATAGCAGTGGTGAGGAACTCTAGGCTATATAAAAAATAGAGGATCGAGGTACACGTACACCAATGTAGCCTTCTTGTAGTCTCATGATACTGTTACCATCTACCTCGGAAAGGTACCCCGTAAACTAACGCACCCTACTTCTCTTGCTTCTCCTGTCTGAGTCGCTGTCATTGGCTTCGCCTCGTGACGGGCCGAAAGCTAATGGTGTTTTCTGGCTTCGGGTCTGGCTGGTGCAAGGCTCCTACACGTACGCATTCTTTATGCTGGCGCTTTACTGTATCCCGGAACTCCCGCGACGATTTCGACGACTCGTCCCCATTTCAGCGGTCATTTCAGCAGCTTATACAGCGGTTTACTACGCCACAGCTTCAACACTTGGATTCCCCGTGCCATTTTCGGGTCTGGTATTTGTTACGCCTTGGGTTCTTTTCATCGTTGTGGCGTTGTGGCTCTCATCGGACCAGCGTGTCTCTGCAGCTCAGTGGTGTGCTCGCAGCTCAAGAAGTTTGGAATCATGATGTGTGTCGGATCGAGCCTCGCTATTGTGTACTCGACTTTTTAATACTGTTTTCGGCTAGCGAAAGAATATTCTCATGCCCAGGTTCTTCTCACGGTGCTGGTTCTACCTGTGATAAAACTCCTCGAGAAATTGCTCTTGTTCCAAGTCACGTGCCACCTTCGCGACATCCAGCCGGTATGCATCGCGTTCAACGTGGAAGTTTTCAACGGCCTATTCACGTCAAGTTGCATGCGCCAGACGATATTGACGACGGTCACGTTTGTGCTGATGACAGTTGATCTCTTAAGTTCTATCGCTGCGCTCTACGGACTGCACAATCCTGTCGAACGAATTGACGAGCTGAGCTTCAAGGCAGGGCCTAAAGTTACACGAGTAAGGAGGCTAGAAGTTAATTCTTTCAGATACGAATAGCTCAGCAAAACCCCGTGACGAAGTTTTCGGTCATCTCGTTTCCAAGTTGTCGGATGATTTCGTGAAGATGTGGAGAATTACGAAGCTGTCGGCCACTATTACTCTATCGGTATCGTCTTCAATAGATAATTTCGGCTATCGAGGTCCACGCTCGGCCAAGAAGAGCCTTATAAAAATCGTTGTGGGTGGTAAACAACCACTGAGGAAGAAGGTGTCGAGCAACAACACTGTCGAACCGATAAAGTCTATACTCCCGCTATTTGAGCCACGCGACCCAGCTCTGCCAAGTAAGCGCGTGCTACAAGATCTTTCAGTTGAAGAACGACAGCGGTTTGTACTCGAGACGTGTCGTATCTTGCGTCGCGTCGAAACATTGCTGGTCGTCGAATACATCGAAGTGATTGTGCCCGTGCTATACGGTAAGTGTATCTGTATTGAAACTCGTTGACAGGAACTTACTACCTACTAACAGCATTTTTTGTGTTTCCAGCAATTTACAAAGCAGTGGTGTACTATCTGCCGAATCGAGCGTACTTTTCGAATCTACGGGAGCTGAGCTCGCCACTACCGTGAAAGGAGTTTTGTGCTACGCAGCACTTCCGTTGATGTCCTTAGTACTGGCAACTCGGCAGCTTTCCCGCCGAGTTGATCTTGCACCCTGCGCGTAATCATTTCGCCTTGATGAACGAGATGATGTTAGTGCAGTGGACACTTCCGTTGTGGGTCATGTATGTGCTACAGACATCGCTCGATCATACTGGTACGTGCAATCGGAACTTCAGTACTGAAGCATGCAGAAACTCATTTCAGCAAGGATTTTGTTTCGATGTTTACTCACTTCAGGCACTGATTACACTTTCAAGTATGAGTTGCTTAGCAAGAAATAACACGTGTGATGCACTTGGTAGACCTTGACCCGGCCAGAACTTATAAAATGAGTAAGTACAGCCTCAAGGTGGAGAGAAAATCACCTGCCCTACCCACCAGCGCTAGGAAAAAGAAATATTCCATATAAATAGTACTGCTATTTTTTAACTGAATTATTAACTATTGTAATATATGAAGAAGCCATATTATTGATATCGACACCAATATATTGGTAATATAATATTTGTCGGTTCGGTCCACGCGGACCGGTCAAAACGACAACTTGAGTGGCTCTGGAGAGGCAACAGCAAGCTTTCTCCACCGTACAACCAAGCTGTGCTTCGCGCACTCACTCTCTCATTTCCTATTCTCCCTGCTTGAGCCTCCACCGTTCTCCACGCTATGACTTCGACCACGAACCGCGACCTCTGTCGCTTCTTCTACGCGGCGACAACTGACCACTACTACGCCTGCAACTACTGCGGCACGAGCCGCAAGCGACTTCCCTCAAGTGGCTACGCCAACCTGCTCAGCCATCCCAAGGACAAGCACCCCAACTACGTCGAGGACTACGCAGCCCATCAGCTCAGCCAGGCTGGATCTCTCTCCGCCTTTGGCATTGTCAACCCGACGGCAGCCAACATGTGCCGCTGGATGGCGTGGGTCGTCGACCGAAACATGCCCCTCAGCGAGGTCGACGACCCAATCACCCGGGCGATGTCTGCCCTAGATCCCACCTGCTTGAAGCCCTGAAGCTCTACCTGGCTACTACGAAGACGCTTGTCGAGGGCATGATCGGTGTCGACATGCAAGGGGCGTGCGGCGCCATGTACGACGGTTGGACGTGCAACTTAGAGCACTATGTTGTTGTATTTGGCGTGTTCTGCAAGAACGGGAAACTTGAGCAACCGCTCCTTGCTATTGCACCAATGGGAGAGGGCGATCTGACGGCCCCAGCGCATTGCGCATTCATCACGCGCGTGTTCGAGAAATACAACCAATCACTGGAGAGCTTGGCGTTTTTGATTGGCGACAATTGTGCCACCAACCGAGCAGCTGCGACACGCCTCGAGGTCCCGCTGATTGGCTGTGCATCTCACCGCTTTAACTTGGCGGTGAACAAGTATCTGGAGGACTACACGGAAGAGGTGAGTGTAGTGAGCGCGCTGATGCAAGCGTTGCCCACCATCAACAATCGCGCTGCGTTGAAGGACCAGACGAAGCTGTCGCCGCTGCGCCCGAACGTGACCCGTTGGGGCTCAACCTTCAAGATGTTGGCGCGCTACGTTCGTATCCGGGACGATATCAAGCAAGTAGAGGCTGTCTTCGATCTCATCCCCACGGCGGCAATGCACGAACGTATCAAGAGCCTTCTCGAGGACCTACGGATTTTCGACAGCGTCACCGTTGCACTCCACTCCGACGACCTGTCACTTGCAGATGTGCGTGTACTTTTCGACTCTATTGTTGAGCGCTTCCCGCTGCTGAAGCCAAAGCTCGGCCCCACGGCAAGCATCGTGCACTCTCCCAGCTTCGAGACGGCTGCTGTGAAGGTATGTTATTATTTTCGGAAAATGTACAGCCCATGTTTTCGGATTTGAGGGGGTGAAATGGCCCGCAAATCTATCGTGATGCAGAGACCAAGTCGGCATCAGTGGCGTTTGAGAAGCATGAACAACCCGCAAACGTAGTCCCGAAGCAAGGCTTAGGTCAACCGTTCCCTGCCTAGCGATGGGCCTGCCTTTTAAAGGTTTTAAGGACAGGTAGAGCCACATTTAGCAGCTCGATTACCCAGTTCCCAGGGATTTGCAATAGATTTGGGTGCCATGACACCCGTCCTGAAAACCGAAACATGGATGTCCATGATTTCAGCATGTTTTACATGTTTGGAGATCTTACTTGGTTTTAGTATGCCTTTATCCCTAACCCTATTCCGAAATATGGGCTGTAGGGCCAGCCTATTATTTTCAGTATTAATCATGTGCCTTTGGACACTACTAACGAACATGTTATTTGCCTGTAATATCCAGGTTATTAATGGGGAAGGCCGGTTGACAGCCAATGAGCGCAAGGCCATTCGTCATTTCAAGGTCTCAACAGCACCAGCGGCCGTGGAGGTAAGCGCAAGGAGAGGGACGAAGACGACACGCGCAGAAGAAGAAGAACTTCGCGGCCGCCGTCCTGAAGGCTAAGAAGATGAGCGCAGCGCAGGGTGGGCTATCGCTGTACTCGGAACTGCTGAAAAGGATGCCCCCTACGAGCAACCGCTGCAAACGCCTCTTTTCTCAAGCCAAGCTGGTGATCACGCCACAGCGGTCGTCGTTGTTGCCTGAGAATTTTGAAATGTCGATGTTTTTACGTGCGAACAGGCGCTACTGGGACGTCAACACTGTCAACGACGTCTATCGCCAACTGCGGGGCTCCTCGTAAGTGATTCCGCATTTGCGAAGGTCTTGCAATACATTGAGTATTTTGCAATGATTATCTATTGTTCTTGCTGCTATTGCGTTATTTATTATTGTGATCTTGGCCAGGCCTTCCGAAATAATCATTGTATTGCAGATCCAATACAATATTTCTCAGTAAATAATTTATTTTTTTGTAAAAAGCATTTCTTGGTCAATAAAGTATTTTTTACAGGTAATTACTCCTATTGTTTTTTTACGAAAACACACTTTTTTACGACACTGTAAAAAAGTGTTTTGCTAAACTCTTCACGACAGCCACCAGATAGCTCGTAATTTTCGCCACAGGGCATGCCTTCAAGAGAGCTGATCATCGCATCCACTCTAGCGTACTACCAGCACCTTATCTACCATTTCTGAATTCATCATGCGTTCGCAAACATCCTTCATGACCAAGCGAGTCTGCACCTACTTCTTCACCCCGCTGCTCGACGAGCAAGATGAGCCCACTGAGCACTTTCGCTGCCAGTGTGGCACAGTGTGCAAACAAGACGTCAAGATGGGCTACTCGAACCTCTTTAGCCACGTGCTGAAGCAGCACCCCGACTACGTGACCACGCTGGCGAACAGCGGCTTCAACTCGGGGACGCTGGTCGTTTTTATCGACCAGAAGAGCCAGACCGTCTACTGCTGGCTGGACTTTGTCACTGAGTGCAACCTCCCTTTTTCGTTCTGCGAACACCCGACTGTGGACAAGTACACGACGATGAAGCGGATTTGCACCGAGACGCTGTTGAATTACGCGGTCTTGGTGACCAAGGAGGTCGAGATTTGGCATCAGTGCGTTCCTCCCTCTCGAATTCGGTATCATGCTGGACGGGTGGGGTTTCCACTCGGAGGATTACGTCGCCATTTTTGCGGTTTTCGAGCACGACCAGCGCTCTGAGAAGGCTCTCCTGGCATTGGCTCCAATCGCGGATGACGGTGTTGAGGACCAGACGGCTGAGAGCCACGTCGCCTTCCTGACCGGTATTCTACCGTTTTTCAAGCGGGTCATTTCCAGCATCATCTACCTCGTGGCTGACAATTGCTCTGTCAACACGAGGTTGGATGATTTGCTTCAGGTGCCGTTCATCGGCTGCGCCAGCCATCGGCTGAATTTGGCGGTTAACGTGTACCTCTCCGACTACGAGCCACTGCAGGAGCAAATGCAGCAACTCATGCTAAAGCTGCGAGGACTGAACAAGGCGAATCGACTGAGGTAATTTGCACTTTGTGCTTTTTTGAGATCGTGATATATTGTACCGATCTAAATTGTAGTTTTTTGCTTTTTTGCTCTTTTTGCTTTTTTCTTAGGCAAAAGACCAATTTGCGCCCGGTACTTCGCCAGGCGACTCGATGGGGCTCCACGTTCAAGATGCTCGACCGCTACTTTGACCTGCGCGACGCGCTGGACACGGACGACGACGACATCGTGTCGTTGATGCCGTCTCACCGCCAAGAGAATCGCCTGCGTGCCCTGCGCGACCAGCTCCTTGATTTTCAGGGCGCGACGATGAAGCTGCAGGAGGACAGCACCACGCTTCTCGACGTGCGCGACATCTTTGATGCGCTCGTCGAGAAGCATCCCGTTGTCGACAAGTACCTTGCAGCCGATGCTGCCATCGTGAAGGACCCAGACTTCGAAGCGTCGTGCGTGCTTGCGCTGGCGGACAAGACCGAGGAGCTGACGGAGGACCAGCAGCTCATGCTGAGTCCGTTCGAGACCGTCGCCGTCGCCGCCGCTACCGCAACTCCCAGCCCCGGCGGGCGCCCCCAAGGCTTCGCGGACCAGGTCCTGTCGGCGAGGAAGAAGCAGCGCACGGCGCAGAAAAGTTTGGAGGGGTACGCCACATCCCTCCAACATCTAACGCTGTCGAACGTTTGTTCAGTGTCGCGAAGCACACGCTGTCGAACCACCGACATGGTATGCTACCGGTGCACCTTGAAACGGTGCTGTTCTTGAAGCTTAATCGGCGCTTCTGGAATGCGGGTACCGTCACCAAGGTGGTGAACGGACAGTAAGTCACTCGATAGTGATGAAGGTAAAGATCAATACAATACTTTCCACCCAATAATTTACTTTACTGTTGCCGTTGTCAGTCATAATAGTTTATTTCTTACCATTGTGCTAATACTATTGCAGTATTATTATCGGAAGGCCTGATCTTGGCCCAGGAAATACAATTGGGGGTTTCAAAGTTGGGCTGACACAAGAATTTTTTATATTTTAAACATCTTTTCAGCCAATCAGATCGCGCTGCGGTTTTGCCGTTATGTCATGTTTTACTGACGCCAAAATCGAGTCCAAACGACCTAAGAGCCTATTGACTTGGAATCCGACGGCTAATCTAGCCATCTCAAAGGCTTATTCCGCCAGTAGCGCGCGCCCGCGAAGGCGCCAACTGCGGCTCCAGCGCTAGCGCCCATGGCGTCAAGCACACACCAATGCGCGTTGGCTGCGTGAAACATGGCACGCCGCGCTGGTGCAGCCAATATCCGTCCGGCCGCTGAACTTGGTCCAAGCCTCACGGCTCGTGCTAGACTTGATGTAGAAGCTGCTGTTGCTGACCTTGACCTTCTTCCGCTTTAAGTCTTGCCACGCGTACTTGCCCTCGACGCTCTCGTGTCTCCTGTTGGCCTGAATCACGACGCCAGTGCATTTGTACTTACCCTAGACAACGTCGCTCGTCTTGTACTGTTGTGGACTTGCACTTGGCCTGGTTGCAGGTGCTCGACTTGACATTCGTACACGTGGCGGAACTGCACAGCCGCTTCGGGGCTTATGTTTGCTTGCTGACTTGTCGAGCTCGGAAAAGGGGGTTCAAAGTAACTTTTGAAACAGCCAATCAGGAAGGCTGGAAATTTTCATGTCTTCAGGAATATGTTTGGCAAAATCCTACTTTGAAACCCCCTAATAATATAGTATGGTATTTTCCGAGCCCTGCTACCCACTAAAGGATGGAGAACCAATGTGCACCACAGCGAAGGCTTAAAACTGGTAGGAACAGCTATGGTATATTTTGCATCTCCAATGCAGCCACTTACTACGACTCCGGTCTAACTAAACATCTTTTACACACTTACGACATCTGAGCTCTTCCTCTCGAGCATGAAACACATCTTCTTCGACGCAACATTCAAAACCTTTGTCACTTGATGCGCGGTCTTCAGATCACGCCGACCCGGACGCAGCCACCGAGCTGGTAGCAGCAGCAGCCGGAGCATGGCCTTCGCCCGAGCCCTCCGTCGGGGCTTCACCCGAGCCGATGGACGGCGGGTTGCCGCCGAACGAGCCCCCGCCGACGTGGCCACTGCCGAATCCGGAGCCCCCAAAGCCTCCGTGGCCGCTGAACGAGCCGGCAAAGCTGCTGCCCGAGAAGGAGCCGCCGCCCATGCCGTGGTGTCCGTGTCCGCCAAATCCGCCGCGACCTCCTCCGAACGAGCCGCTGCCGTGAGCGAAGCCGTCGCCCGATCCGACGTTGTGCATGCCGTTGCCCGAGCCGAAGCCGCCGCGCATGGAGCCCGACGGTCGGTGGTCGTTCATTGAGCCGCCTTCCTTGTCCAGAGCGCCGAAGCTGCTGCCGGCCGCGACGTTGCCGGGCGTGAAGCTGGAGCCGCCCATGGACCCGAGCGTCGTGAAGTCCGTGGTGGTGACGGTCGAGTCCGTCTGCGCTGACGCCTCCGAGCGCAGAAGTCGCTGGGCGTCGGCCGTCGAGCTCAGCGCGACGACGACAGCAGCAACGGAAGAGAGGACCGTGAAAACCTTCATCTTGTAATGGAGAAGAGGAGGTGATGGTTGCTGTTGAGGCGGTTGTTGTGGACGAGGCCAGTTGAGACGTGAGCAATGACCAAGACGCCTTGAGATCGGTCGGTGTGTCGGTCGGCCGACTTGGCTGAGCTGAGCTGGGCTGGGCTGCAGCTCGTTCCCCTAGCGTCGTGGCGCCACGCGCGACTGGCACGAGTCGAACACGACGCCCGATCACGTCGTATCGGATCCCAGATCTGCGTGGCCAAGTGACGTGGCCCTTGACTGGAGGCACCACCGGCGACGATACTTGACGCGTTCGTCCGCATGGAGCTCAGCGAGTCCGAGATCGGCGAAAGTCTCGCCATCTGGATCAGCCCCCGACCATAGTGAAAGCGGCAATGAACGTGTAAAAGGCAGTCGAGCACAGGATCGGGTGGGCACCACCAGAAGGTTCGGCTCACCTGTGCGTGGCGACCCAAGTTTGGCTCGATTCAACCTGCTGCGGTGCTGCGAGTATCGCTCTGGGTGGCTGTCCCGAGTATTGGTCGAGGCTACGGTTGGCACGTGGGTGGAATTCTGAGCACGGAACGCTGGCAGTGCCATGAACAATTAGGTGGGTGAGGCTGGCAGTCGATGACAGGCACATCATGCAACTCACATTGCGAGCAAGACCGACGTTAGACATGGCGTGCAAATGGCGCTGGAAGGATTGGTGGGGTTCGTACGAATAGTGTCGATGTGGACATGCCCCCGTGTTTGTTATGCTCTCGACTCACGGACCATGACTCTGCAAGGCAATCACAACAAAAGTGTGCTAGCATCTCATAAGACACACCATGCTTTTGTTACCATCAATTTCTGCTAATCTGCATAAAAGATCAAGGCGACCTGCTGTCCTCAATAACTTGGTTTCAAACGACTCAAACGTGGGCAGCAAGCTGCTGCCGAACTTACTCCTCGATACGGACCATCGTCAAATACGACGGCACACCCGAAATCTCCGAGGTTTCCTTGCAAAGGACGCTCACTTTGGAGCCTTCGCCCACGTGGCAGATGCTCATCAGAGAAGTGCTAGTCTGGTGAGTGCACAAAGACGAACTATACTTCGCGGTGTACGAAGCGCATCCAGTAGCCGCACGCTGGACAGTCACTCCATTCACCTCGAGCACAATGGAACCAGTCGCGCCACAGTCCGGGCGGGGTAAATGATTCACGAGCACACCGATAGCGTAGAGACCCGGGACCAGAACCGTTACCGAGGTCTTGCCATCACTGAAGCTGAACCCTTCGGTGTTCACCTCCTTCCACGTTAGCTTGGACGATTCCCACTGGTCGCTCTCCACGTAGAGAAACTTGCCGCGGTTGCGAAGCTTGTCCAGCTCTTCCTGCTGATCTTTCAGCTTTGACTCGAGAATGTCCATCCGGTCGACAGCAATCGGTTGCAGCTCGAACACGTACTTGACGCTGCGTGCCGCCCGGAGTAGGCGGATCTTCAAGCCCAATTCCAGTTGGAGTTTACCACCGGAGAGAGCCGTCAACTTTTGCTGAATGTCTTCTTTGTTGTCCAGCGGGCAGTCCAGACACTGCTTGAAGCACTACAACGAAGAACACGAGAGGGATTCATGTGAATAACAACTGCAAAATCTTTTACGTTTGTGTGAATGTACTTACAGCCACGTAGTCACGAGCGCACGCGTCCACGAACACGTTCGCGGCCGTCTTCTTTCTTTAGCATTCCCGTTTGCCTCGAACAATCACGCGAAAGCTTAGAATTCAGTATGAACGGCAACCTATCCTTAGCGACTTGCCATTGCTTCTTGCTGGAGCGATCTTCTAGCCAAATGCTCAGTTTCTCACTCTCGAGTGAGATGATGTAGCGGTAGGTAGTTGTGGATTGCGTCGAGAACTGCGTCGCCCCTTCCACCGCAAAAACAATCGGTTGGGCCATAGTTACAGAAGAATATGTGGCGTATACAAGTGAGCGTTGGTGGCAGAAAAGCAAATGGTCTGTGGTTTGCAGCGCAAAATTCACGTCCCAGTTTCCTGCGGGTTGGAAGTTGGGGAGAAGAGAATCTCCGTTAGACTATCAACACGCTACAGTTGAGTCCGGAAGATGCAGCGAAGTGAAGATCAGTAAGGTGAAACAATGTGGAAGGCACAAGCTGATCGGATTGGCTTGAGGCTACGCAGAACATAAATCAACTCTCGCTGTTCGTTTGTACGCTACCCTTTCAAATAAAAAAAACTAATTAATAAAAAAACGATTGCACCTTGCGGCTTTTAGTTTCCTCATTGACCAAGTCGCACCATGTTCAGGTATGCCGGCGCACTGGGGGAAGTTCCGGAAAGAACAAGGGAAAGTTGGTCGCCTTCCTCCATTTTGACGACGCACATCAAGGTGGACGTGATGCTGAGAATCGAGGTAGTATCAAAGCGACCCCTGCGAAATCCTCGATCAGGTTTAGCACCGATGGGGATGACTTGGATTTCTCCGCCACTCTTGCACAGAGCAATTGATCCCTGCGAGGAGCTTGGCGAATGGTTCGCTACGACAATGATGGAAAATTCTCCAGAAGTGAGCCACACGACGGCGCTTTCATCGTACTCCTCCACCTTGAAATTGTTCGCTTGTAGCACATCCCATAGCAGCTTGTTGTCTGAAAGTTTGGTCTGGGACTCGAGGTAGAGCCAATCGGCCGCGCGGGGCGTTCGCGACTGCTGCTCTTGCAGATCCCGCACCTTTGACTCCAGAATGTCGATCTTGTCCAGTGAGACAGGAAGGAGTTCAAACACGTACGTGGCCTCGCGTACCGTGTCGAAAAGGCGGGCGTTCATGGTCAGTTTTAGCTGGAGACTGTCACTCTTCTTCGATATCAGCTCGCGTTTCGAGTCCTCAGATTCGCGTAGGTCGGCATTCAGCACCTGCTTGAAGCACTAAACAAAGGAATAAAATGCTCACGATTGTAATTTTCGGCAAGAAAGCATCCGTCGTACCGAGACGTATTCGGCAGGCGTGGCATCCAAAAACGCATTCGTTGCATGCACGAAGTCCGCTTTGCTGAGAGCCTCCGACTGCCTGAGCAGCAGTGCCAGTATATGTTCAAGACAACAACATATCGTTATGCCAGTTTGATCGTGTGAACATACGTACCTTGCTTTTTGCTCGCTCGACTTTCCATCCAAATGCTGAGTTTATCGTCTCTCTGCTGGAGCACATATCGGTAGGCACCACCAAGCCCGAAATATGTCATTCCGTCGACCTCGATGTCACTTGCCATCGCAGCACGAACATGATATGGCTGCCTGTTACCCGCTGAGCAAAAGACAGAATGCAGCCCGCCAAGCGTCCGTACCGAATTTGTTTTGTAGAAGGATACACCCACGTATGGAATACAAGATAGTATTAGCCAATCACAATTGTAAATTCAGATATATAGTGCTTGACTTGTTGAGGGATACACCTGTTTCAAGCCAGTAATTTTTGCACTCTCGGCCGACCAGCGTGCGATCATTTCTACAATGGCGCGGGCGCCACCAAGTCGTCCTCGCCTGTCTGGAGGCCGAGGAAGGTGGAAAACGACGCGGGTCCAACCTGTTTACACTGCTGCGATGAAGAAGGCTGCTGTCGAGTATCTGAGACTACACTGCAATGTTCGCTTCACTCTAGATACGTTCTTTCCGGGTCTACCTACAGAGAAGTACCGGTATCAAGGGAAAAGAGTATGGTGCTATGTTGGGCTCGTCGTTTAGCTCTATAGCTCTGTCTGCGGCAGGAACAAACGGAAAGTTCATTCTGCGTTCTAAGTTGCGGGTGTGTCGGCAGCCGCGTTGGTGAGATTCGGCCTTATAGAGACTTCGATCTAGCTGAGGTAGAGTATCAGTTTAGTAATTTTGATAAATGCGTCCGGTGCCGATTCATTTTTTGAGCAAAATCGGGCGTCCGATATTTTAGCTCCGGTAGGGTGTATCCCTCTACAAAACAAATTCGGCATAGTCCAACCCCAGAGTTTTTTTTTTTCTTACAAGATGCCACGGGCAACTTTGTATAGGCAACCCGGAGCGTTGCTCCGGGGGGGGGGGGGGGGGGGGGTACACAGGTCGACGAATAGTTTTATGGACGATGATAACGGATAATAATTGAGTAAATCCCAAAGTTGTACTGTCTTTAATCCTTAAAAGCACTACCAGCCCAACTCTCTAGTTGATTCTAACGTGGGCATCTACTGCGCCTGCTTCGCAGCCGCAGCATCTGCCCGGGAATGCGTAATTGAACAAATAGTTGCGCACATCGAAGTGTATCGGTACGGAAATGATGTTTCAGCCAAAACCTTTGTATAGGCTGGCCTTTATCGCTGT